GCTGGTCAGTCGCAGCCAGCCCTTCAGGGTCAAACTGATCGATTTTGGAGAGGCGATTCCAATAACCCAACTCCCACGTGGTCCCCTGTTGCAGCCTGTTGGATACAGGTGGGTTCATCCTGCAGCTCAGGGGTTAAACCAGAGGAGTTTGACTCTTGATAAAGTCTCCTGTGTCTGCAGACAGACTTCTAACCTGGTGTGTGGTTCTTCCTCCTCAGAGCTCCAGAGGTCTCCTTGGGCCTGCCCCTCACGGAGGCAATTGACATGTGGGGGGTCGGCTGTGTTTTGGCCTCCCTGTTTTTGGAAGATAACCTATTCGAAGTCAACTGTGACTATCTGATGGTAGGTGACCTTCTTCACACACAGAGGAGACTTTCTGCAGACCCTCCCCTGACCGTCTTTTTCTTTATTTTTTTCTGCAGATGAAACAAATGGTCATTACATTGGGCCAGCCTGAGGACTACCTGCTTGCCGCTGGTAAAAACACCCACCGGTATTTTAAGCAGGACCCCTGGTGGAACTTGGAGGATCCGTTGGCATGGATGCTGCTGGTAGAGAAACCATGTTCCTCTTTCTTTGTAAAATCACCTCTCTCAAACACTTTGAAAAAACTGTCATCTGACACATTTTGTTTCTACAGACACCCAGAGAGTTTGAGGCAGAGAATTCCAGGAGCGCCTTCCTGGATGACACGGTGCCTCTGAGATCGCTGGAGCATCTGGCTCATGTAGGTCCTCTCTACTGTGTTTTAAAGACAAATCAGAACTACTTAGTGAGCATCAGCTGACATGAATCTGTCTCCAAATTTCAGATCTATCCAGACGGTGATTCTGCAGAGATGGAGGACAGGCTGGCTTTCGCAGACTTCCTGAAAGATCTCCTCCATCTCGATGGGTTTATGAGGATCTCTCCTGCGACAGCTCTGCAGCACAGATATTTGACCATGAGACACCAGGTGATGTCTCCAGAGACGTCAGATGAGTAAGTGACTGTGTGGATGAAGCAAAGCAAGGCAGCATTATTTTGTCAAGCTCCATTCATGCACAGAGGGATTCAGATGCTTTACAGAGATCAAAACAAAAAGTTTAGAGCATTCAAAGCATTCAGAAAGAATCTGATATTTAACATGCACACAGACATCTGTCTCACTGGCTGTACTGATGATTGATTCACTGATTGATCTTCACCCTTTTTCTTCCTGAACAGCACCACAAGAGTGATGGGGAGCTCACCAGTCCCACACCAGCCTCTACCTTCCTTCCCCAGCCTCTCCCTCCCCTCCCCAGCCTCTCCCTCCCCTTCACCAGCCTCTCCCTCCCCTCCCCAGCCTCTCCATCCCCTCCCCAGCCTCTACCTTCCTTCCCCAGCCTCTACCTCCCCTCCTCAGCCTCTACCTCCCCTCCCCAGCCTCTCCCTTCCTTCCCCAACCTCTACCTTCCTTCCCCAGCCTCTCCCTCCCCTCCCCATCCTCTCCCTCCCCTCCCAAGCCTCTCCCTCCCCTCTCCAGCCTCTCCCTCCCCTCCCAAGCCTCTCCCTCCCCTCCCCAACCTCTACCTTCCTTCCCCAGCCTCTCCCTCCCCTCCCAAGCCTCTCCCTCCCCTCCCCAACCTCTACCTTCCTTCCCCAGCCTCTCCCTCCCCTCCCCAGCCTCTCCCTCCCCTCCCAAGCCTCTCCCTCCCCTCCCCAGCCTCTACACTCTGCCTCTGCCTCTCGGGACTCAGACCTTGCCTCCCCGGCTTCAGCCTCCACCAGCCGCAGCAGGAAACTTCTGAAGAGGGTCCGAAGCTTCTTCAGCAGGTTGAAGACGGTCCTCTGTTGCTGCTGTCGAGCAGAGGAGGACTAAACTTTCCTCTCCTGCCTCAGACCAGAGCAGCATAGCTTCTCCCTCCTCTCCCCAGCCTCTACCTTCCTTCCCCAGCCTCTCCATCCCCTCCTCAGCCTCAACCTTCCTTCCCCAGCCTCTCCTCTCCTCCCCAGCCTCTACCTTCCTTCCCCAGCCTCTCCCTCTCCTCCCCAGCCTCTACCTTCCTTCCCCAGCCTCTCCTCTCCTCCCCAGCCTCTACCTTCCTTCCCCAGCCTCTCCTCTCCTCCCCAGCCTCTACCTTCCTTCCCCAGCCTCTCCATCCCCTCCTAAGCCTTTACCTTCCTTCCCCAGCCTCTCCCTCCCCTCCCCAGCCTCTACCTTCCTTCCCCAGCCTCTCCCTCCCCTCCCCGGCCTCTCCCTCCCCTCCCCAGCCTCTACCTTCCTTCCCCAGCCTCTCCCTCCCCTTCCCAGCCTCTACCTTCCTTCCCCAGCCTCTCCCTCCCCTTCCCAGCCTCTACCTTCCTTCACCAGCCTCTACCTCCCCTCCCCAGCCTCAACCCCTGAGGCTGGGGAGAGAGGCTTGTTGTTCCTGCTGCCTCCTGTCTCTCTCTCACCCTCGTTCCCTACTCTCTCTCCCTCCCCCTCCCTCTCCATACTCATTCTCTCTCGCCTTTCCCCTATCTTGTTGTCTCTCTCCCTCCCCCTGTCCTCTCCCCCTCTCCCCTCTTCTCTCTACATTCCTCCCCAACCCAGCAGCGGCATGGTGGCTGTCTAGCATGAGTCTGGTCCTGCCCAAGGTTTCTGCCTGTTAAAAGGAAGTTTTTCCTTGCCACTGTAACTCATGTTAGTTGAGATGGGCCAAAACCCATCTTAGGTTGGTTCTTGATCATCAAACAATGAGCGTGGTCTAGACCTGCTCTTGTTCCTTGAAAAACGTCTTGAGATGACGACTGTTGTGAATTGGCGCTATATAAATAAAATTTGATTGATTGATTGATTGAACCCCCCCTACCCCCACCCCCATCTGTGCCACTCAGGCCTCAGACCTCAAAGACCTCAGACCTTTTTCTTAACTTACTGACTTTTTCTTAACTGACTTTTAAATTTTATTTTAATTTGTTTGCTGCTTGTTGTTTTTTTTTTTTTTTGTTTCTGTTTTTTCTTTGTTGTTTGCTTTTTACTGGACTTTTATTGTCTTGAATGACCTTTTGCAAGACTGTACATGTTTTATTGAATTATTTACTGTATTGTATTGTATTGTTTGTTTTATTTGTGTACCCCAGGAAGAGTAGCTGCTACTTTGGTGGCAGCTAGAGGGGATCCGTATGAATTTTTTTGTTTGCTCTTTAAATAAAATGTGTTTGTTGTTTGCACTTAAATGCCCTGACATAGACCTCCATTTCTTAATCCAAAGGTTACTGGTAACTGGTAAAACAAAAAATCAAAATAGTAAAACACTGAATAGAAATCCAGAATAAAAAGATGGCATATTAAAATGTTAGAATAACTTCAATAACACAACAAACTGAAAGGCTGTCTGACTAAAACAGAAGTATCATTATACTGTAGAATAAATTCTAATATAGAAAAGTAGAACATCAGAAGCTAAGTCTTTGACAAAAAGTCCTGGCAGAGCTTTTTGTTTTTTACAGTGAGAAAATTGTCTTCCTCTCATCCACGAAGGAGATACATACTGCCCACTGCAGGATCCAGGCTAAATTTCAGCATTTGACATGAACACACACACAAAAAAACTGAGTTGGTGTATGGTGATAGAAAATTACTGCCAGCTCTTAAATAGAGGTTGGTGGGGGGAAAAACACAATGGTATTGTTTTATGGTATTTTTTTCTCTTATTTCTTCTTTATGATGTTTTGGTCTGTCTATTCTTGGCAATTCATAACACACTTAAAGCAGAGAGAGACTGGAAACGGCCTGTTTCATAAAGGTATCTGATACTCATTTTTGTGTCATTGTCAGAAGACATGAGGATCCGTTGGGTTATATTGTGGTGCTATTTTTATGAGCGAGATTGCAGAAACAGTTTGCTTTCATTGTGTAGAGCAGTGGAGGATAGGTGCAGATTACAAGATGACAGGAAAGGAAAGAAAGACAGCTGGGTGAAGCTCACTCTGCTTTCTCTTTCTATCAGGAAAACTGTATTCACCAGCATGAAAATGTACCAAACTTTGCAAACTGGTTCTTAACTTGTGGGCAATGAACTATAACACAATCTGCACTCATGAGTTTTCTTATCAAATCTCCCTTCACAGGGATAATAAACACGAAAACCTTAAAAACTTTTTCCCATATCAAAAGTACATTATGACCTTTAAAACTGGCACCAAACTGTGTCCAAATTAAACAAACAAAAAAAAAAATGTTTTGGCAGGCATTTTAAAGTCTATCACTGAGAATAAAACAATGAGACCAATCTTCTTCACGATAACTCTTTAAGCAAAACGTTTTGTGGCATTGCATCATTACAGTGTCCTGTCGACCAGTGGTTCTCAAGTCCAGTCCTCGAGGCTCACTGTCCTGCATGTTTTGGTTTCCCTGCCCCAACACACCTGATTCAAATGATTAGCTCGTTATTGAGCCATTACAGAGCTTGATAACGAGCTGATCATTTGAATCAGGTGTGTTGGAGCAGGGAAACATCCAAAACATGCAGGACAGTGGGCCTCGAGGACTGGACTTGAGAACCACTGCTGTAGACATTTGTGATCTCTCAAAGTCAAAATTTCCAGTTATCAGTTACTAAATATAAAACTTTGCAAAAAAACGAAAACATTTAAAAAAGTTACGAGAGCAGAACTATTACACACCAGAACTATTACTTTATTACAGAATATGCGACTGTGTTGAATTCAGCTTCTCCTGATCAGTTTGGGACATAAAACCCTTAATTCTAGATATGTTCTTAAATTGATAAACACCCATTTGTTGGATTGTTTTTTTTCTTTTTCTTTTTTCATTATATTTTAAAACAACTATTCAACATGATGAATGATTCTGGTTTAATTAATCTGCCATTATTTTTCAAATCATGACCAAGATTGTGGTTCTTTATTGAAAAACGTGTTAATATTAAATATTTTATACCGTTCAAAAGTGTCAAATTTACTCTTAATCCTCACCAGAACTGTAATGAACCTCCGGAACTACTCTGCTTTCATTCCGCGGACCCTTTTATAGGACGGAACGCCCAGTGTCACACCATTTACTTCCCGTCAGACAAAGTGTTGGACAAGCACAAGGTCTGCTGTAAATCGTTCTGTATTAAAGTTGTTTAAAGGTTTCATTGTAAATATTATTGATGGACTGTACGGGGGAGAAAGAAGCAGAAGCGAATGCGCCTTCAGTTGTTGATCGATACTACACTCGCTGGTACAGAGCAGGTAAATCTGATCTGACTGTGATGTGAGTCTGGAGGCTAAAGCAGCGAACAGAAGCTGGACATGAAGTCCTATTGAGAAATCATTTGATTATAATCCTGTAGATTAATAGAAGTTAAAATATAAGGAATATTTCGAGATTGTGTCTTTTGTTTCACTAGATATGAAGGGGAAACCTTGTGAGGACCACTGCATCCTCCAGCATTCAAACAGGTGAGATCCATCAAATAATTTAAACCCTGCCCCTGTTCTTAATAGAGGTGAATGTGTTTTTATTGTGATAGCACTTTTCAGACAGTCCCTGCACATTAAAGTCATGCTTAGTGCAGAGGGGGTGGTTATAATGAGCCAAAAATATGGACTAAATTGATCACAATGTGTTAAAGTGTGCCAACCATATTTCCTTTAGACAAAAAGTAACTTATCAGTTTTGCTTAAAATATGATTTAAATTTGAGACTGTAGCTGATATTGGGTCTAATGAGACATTTTGACTAGAATTACGATAATTTTCTTGATGAGATTTTATTTATTTTTTGCAGAGTAGACATTCAGTCAGCTGTCTGTCATGATGATGGAGCTTGTATGGTTTTAGCTTTGCTCTTGGTTGTTTTCAACCAGGTTGTTCATAATATATACAGTCTGTGGTATAACTGTGTCTCTACAGAAGTTGACATAATCAGTGAAGCAGTCAACCTGTTTATCAATGTTCATACTATCCACATCACTAGAGAAAAAATCCTGGGCCACTGTTAAATGAATAAATGTACTTAGTTACTTTCCAGCCTGTTAGTGACCATGAGTATATACCAGTGGCGGCTGCTGGTCTTTCAAGGAGGGGAAGCTCATTTTTCTGGCCTACATCATAATTGTGTTTGTTTATTTGTATATAACAGAACACAACGGCAGTCGTTTTTAACAAAGACAAAAGACAAAAGTCGCTGAGGATCGGTAAAGTCTCCGGAGCAGTTAAGAACAACGGAATGAATAACTTGGAAAATGCTCTGGTAGATGTTTTATTCTTCAAGATCGCTGATTCGCTTGTTTAGCTGTCAATCAAAAAAGGATTTTGCCTCAGACAGCTCATCCAATTATGGATGCAGAAGCTCAGCGTCCGCGAGAAAGTTGGGACCGCCCTCTCGTCATAGAACTCCAGAGACGCTGAGCGTCCGATGGGCGGGACAAAGCCCAGCATTTATCCAATGAGCGTCTAGTTTCGCTGCTGGAACAACCCACTTTGAGCTTCCACATTGAAGTCAGCAGAAGCTGAGCGTCCGGCTGTGTGAAGCGCTGAGGCGCTGCGAGGATGAATGAGAACGAAGTTTAGAGCTGTGATTATCAGCTTCTTATCACAGTGTGATAAGAAGCTGATTCTGAACAAAAGATGAAGGCTTTCTAGCGCGTATTTAGTTAATGAAATGTACACACAGCAGTACGTATTTCACCACCTTTTTCTTTTTTTGGGGGGGTGACATTTTAAGGGAAGCTGAGCTTCCCTTGCAGTCTTAGAGCAATCGCCACTGTTATATACACATATTTTGTTAAACCCTGGGATAACTACTACAACTTCCAATCTGAAGTTGAAAGACATTTCTGAGTACTCAGTACTAGTACTGGGTACTAGTGTCCTTGAAAAATACGATTCAAATAAAAGATAAAAGCTTCATAAAGGCTACAGTGTAGAACATTGAATTTCCCTTTAGGGATTAATTAAATTCTTATCTTCTAAGAAAATTTAAACTCTAATTTTCTAGACCGTTAATAAAACTATAGATGTAAAGATTTAGTTCTGTAGAAATGGAGGAGCTACTCTCTGAGTCAGCAGTTTGTTTTGATCTAAAAATTTTGTTATCTTATTGTTTTTAACCCTGTTCACTGTGACACTTGTATCGACTGATAGCAGTTGAATTTGTTGTCCTCTCTTCAGAATATGTGTCGTCACGTTAGCTCACACTCACCCGATCCTCCAGGACGGACGAACAATCAAGAGCATCAACTACCAGATCAGTAACGGCTGCAGTCGGCTGAAAAATAAAGTTTCTGGAAAGTCCAAGAGGGTAAATTTATCTAAAATTTTGACCCTGTAGATAGATGTGTTCACTTCTACATTTGTAAACCTTTTATGTTTTTCACACCTGTGAGTTTTCTGTTTTTTAACCTTCTCTGTACCCATTACAGGGCGGTCAGTTCCTCACTGATTACGCACCTCTGTGTAGGATAACATGCACAGATGAAACTGAGTACACGATCTACAGGTGAGGCAGCAGTCTTTGGTCCAGTTTTATGTTCTTGATCTTTGTGACTCCTCCTCATTCACATGTGTGTTACATTCATAGCTGCATCCGGGGCCGGTTGCTGGAGGTCAATGAGAGTATTTTGGAAACACCTTCACTCCTGCTGGAAAAGGTAAAGAGGATTTTTTTTTGCCCTGTGCTTATCAAAGTCATGTGCATATGTTTTTATGTCCACCTGTGAATTCACATTCTGTACCTGATTATTTGACATGAAATACTTTGTGTAACTCATAAATAATGTTAGTTTTTGTCATTTATAACTGCAGTGTTGGTTCATTTGAGTTTCACTTTGTCAGATAATTGAAAGTGTAAGAGTGTTTTTATGTTTAAATCCAAACAGCCATCCACTGAAGGATACATCGCTGTCATCCTGCCTAAGTTCGAGGAGAGCAAGAGCATCACAGAGAACCTCCTGAGCAGAGACCAGTTTGACAGCCTGGTCTCTAAACGTACTCTCCCTCAAACACAGCCCTCCTGACAGAGTTTGGGGTTGTGCCTTGTCTAAGTTTGGACTCTTCCAGGAGGTCTTCTCTTCTTTTCACACTCATCATGTTTGGTGAAGACTGGGGACACCGACCTGGAAAGTGACTGATAAATAAGGGACTTTAGAAAAACAATTGCATTCAATGCAAGCACTGAGCTGTGCCTCCATTATTCATTGTTTTTTATCATGTCTAAATTCAAATGAGGTTTCAGAAAGCACGAAGACATTGGTTATTTATGATTTGGATTTTCTGGGATGTGAATAACTTTCATTTGTCAAAGACTTTAATCTGATTTTCAGTCTCCAGAAGTTTTTTTGACTGTCAATAAACACCAACGAGAGAGATGTAAGAAAAATATTGTTTATTTTTTATGTCTCACTTTTATTTAACCTCTCACTTGTCAAAATAATAGATGGTCCAAAACTATATCTATGATTTCTTCACATCTGTAGTGCCACTACAATACCCAGCATCCTTTGCTGCTCTCCCTCTGTACAAAGCTTAATGTTTGTTATTCATTTCAGTCATTTCAACACCCTCACCTAGTACCAAAGTCATAACCTTAGGATACAATAGTGTGTATATATATTTATATATCTCTGCTTCAAGTACCATATTATACATACCATTGACCATTGAACACACAGGAGCAAACGAGGCAGCTTCACAATGATAGTCTTCATAACAAGTACACTTCAAGGCTCCACTTGCCACTGGTGCCAGATCAGTGTTAGATTTCATTTCTTTTATGGGTAATAAACATAAAACAGTTAACACAGAATATGATTAAATAATACCCAAGACAGTATAAACTAAGATACTGGCATCCCAAAGTAATAATCATGAAACTGTGGAGGAAGCAGACCCAAAGAAAGAAGTCTCCAGTCTTATTCTGGAGGAGTAAGAGTTTTAGATTTCAAGACTAGCAAGCTGATGTGGACAATCATATTTGGCATTTCAATGTAATGGCACATGGGAGCGTTCCATAGCTAACAGTATGGAAACATGAATCAGACGCCAGTGAATGCACTAGAATGACTAAACATCACCCAACAGAGTTAACTTTACAAAGCTGTGACACATTGATCATCAAGAGACTCAAACACCAGGGGGTTTGGGATGGTGTCATGCAGGGTGGGTTTTCAGTAATTATTCACCTCTTTTTCTGTCAGTTTGGCTTACATGTGCAACACGTTTACAGTACACCACAAAGCAAAGAGGCACATAGTGAAGACAGATGTATGGCTGAGCGTCAAGAGGAGTCCTTTCTGGGTAGTCCTGATCAGTTCGTCGAATCAAAGTCCAGAGAGAAGTTAAAACTCTAAAATTGGGTTTGTGCCCAGTTTCAATTAATGCGAATGGCAAAGTCAAGCGTTGGCTGATTGTCTCCATCTTGTGGATCGGGGTGGAACTGGTGCTTCAGGTAAAACCCTCCTCCAGGGCACGGAAAGCTCAGACCTGTAAACCTTCAGATTTAGCAAATACAAACTCTGACTTACCCTGGCAACTCTATCCCACTTCTGGTGGGTGCATGAGGATGAGGGGGAGTTAAGTATTTTCTGGATAAGGTCCTCCAGAAAGGTGAGGTTGGCTATGTGCTGCTCCGAGGGAGGATAGTGGATAAATGAGGTGACTACTTCCTGGATTATTTGCTCTCTAGGAGGTTGAGGCCGGCCATGTGCTGCTCCAAGGATTTGACTCCAAAGCCATTGCTGCTCTTGTTATTGTCCTCTTTGACGGGCGTGGAGGAATCCTGTCTCTCTCTCCACTCTTGAGGGGAACCCAGGCTGCTCCTCTCTGACTTGTACTGCAGATGGAAACAATGTGGAGAGGAAAAACCACAGAAAAATAACGTCTCAAGTCACGTCAGCTCTGCAGGTATTAGGAGGGTTTTGGTGTCTTTAGGGGGTTTTGTGAGAGACATTCAGTCATATGTTTTATTCAATGGTGCTCACCTTTCTGTTGAGCTTGTTACAGACTGGGAGAAGGGAGAGGACCACAGATAAGAGGTTCCTGGTTGTCTGAATGGATGACTCCACCTTCAGTAACAAAAAACAATGATATATAAACTCCATTAAGGAGGTGAAGATTAGAAAATGCACAAACATCAAACCAGTAGTTAATAAATCACCTGCCCTGGAGTACTGTACTTGTCAGACACACTTTCTCATTATTGGTAAATGACAAAGTGAAGATCAGAATAGGAAAACAGACTGATGGGAGCTGGTACATATCACACAGATGCTCATTAATCAGCTCTTTCTATCATCCCGCCCTTTTAATTCAAACCTTTTCTGTGATTCTGAGTCAAAACCATTTATCCTCTAACCCATGCATTAATCTCACTAACTGTGTTTGATAATGGAGTTACGCGCAGATCAAAGATGACCCCGTAGGCAGTCAGCTGGTCCTTTGTAAGATACGTGGTTTTTTTATGTGATTAAGCTAATTTTCCCTTTTAGTAAAAAACACAGAAGGATCTTCTGTACGCAGGGTTCCTACACACTTTGCTCTGCTGCACACAAAGTGGTATTCATTTTCCTTTGAGTATTAAAAAGTCCTTAATTTGGTTTCAATGGCCTATGTTCATGCAGGCTCATGCATATTCATAAAAACCATGTAATATTTTATTGAATTGTGAAATAGCTAGTTAATTTTATTGATTTGATTTACTCATATTTCACACGTGTCGGATCTCTGCCTTTTTTATGCGAGCTTTAAGTGTTTATTTTACTGAATGGTTCTTAAGAATAGTTTTTATGACTGATATGTGGTGCATATGTTTCAAACTTCACTTTTTTGAGCACTCCAGCAATTTGACTTTTGTCTTATTGTAATCCAATGACAATAAAAGCTTCTATCTATCCATCTGTAGGATTTATCAAAACCACTTGTTATATAGAATATCCATATTATTAAACTATATAGCCATAGTTTTTCAGCTTTAAACATACTTCAGACTTTTAATTGTTGGCTCCGTCCATCATTCCCACAGATTAAAGCACGTAAAAAAAATAATTTAGTACTAAAATTTCCTCACTAAAAGACAGGTCACAAAAGGAAAAATGTCTTTTATAGCAGAATGGTCCACTTAGATTATGAGACTGTAATTTTAAAGGCATTAGAGTGTCAAACGCTTCATTGTCGAGGCTGATAAAGCTTCTTCATTTTAATCTAAAGCTAAGTAAATTCAATTTAACATGTCTACCCTATTTACACACTGCTTATGAATTCTTTCAGCATACAATAAAGGCAAATTGACACAATATCACTTCTCTAATATGGTGAGAGCTGTGGTTATTAGCTCTGACTGACAAACGCACAGTCTGTATCATTATTCTCCCTTACTTAAAATGTCTAATACTATAACCAGTCTGACATAATGTGGGAAAACAAATGCTAACAGCTTTAATGCACTGAGAGCAGACTGTCACAACCTCAAATCACATACGTGAGTTCAGATGGCAAAATTCATGATCACAAGGAAATGAACCAAAAACGGATAAAATATCTCAGGAGTGAAGATTTGATGAAGTCATAAGACATACATTGAAGGACACATTGTTTAAAGAGCTGCCCAACATTTAAAACTTCTCTATTATTAAGACTTAATATATGATTATTATTTGTAATTTAAGACTTTTTAGAGACGTTCTAAGGATTTGTAGGAACCCTGTGTACTCTCTGCCAAATGTCCTTCTGACAAAGCCTCGATGCACATATATTGGGGCCTGGAGGACAGCTCTAGAAAGATGGGAAATGCGAGGGAAGGCATACAGGAACTGGCAGTGGTCAGTAGTCAAACCAGCAACCATCGCAAAAAGGACTATTCCACTTTACATAGAGTGCTTGAACTGCTGGGCCAGCAAAACTTTCATTTCATTAAATGATACTAAATAGAGACATGAGCGTAGTGTGGACACCTTCTGGAAGGTGGCAGTCTTCCCCTGCACGGGAGTCTTTGCCCCCATCTGCAGCTGTTGGCACAAAGCCACCAGTTTCTCCATCTCTGTCATCACCGCAGACTTCTCCTCATCAACCAGCTGGAACAGAGAGACAGGCAAAGTGGATGAGAGCAGATATGCTGATAATGGTTTCACCCTAGGAGGTTGGACTAACATGTACAGATGGGTTTTTTTCGACACAAATCAAGCATCAAAATGAGTAAAAAAAAGAGGATTAAATACATTTTAGTGTTACTTGGTGTAATCCTTCAACAACAGCCAGGTCGTGATCTAAAGCTTAAGTCTGTTACCCAGCCGAGTTAATCCTTAAATCTCAGTCATGGGGGCTGTCCATTTGCTTCAGTTACATGCAACCACTGATGTAAAAACACAAACTCTTTTTCTGGAGGTGGCGCCCACAAAAGAGAAAACCTCAATGAAAAAATGTCTGAGTTCATTTGCATAAGTACTCTTCAGAGAAAAGGGTACAGAAGTGCTACAAGTGTGAACTGAAGGAGTGAAGGGCAAGACAAAAGGACTCCATTAGCAGCGGTTTGTTTAAGGTAATTAATCAGAGTGTGTGGCCAGTTATGAATTACTCCCCCACCCTCATCCTCCACACATGCACACCATACAACATCCACACCTACAGACGCAGCAGTGATAAATGGCGATCATTAATGGCTGCCAAAAAGAGCCCCTTAATTAAACCTAAAGGAGCATGTGAAGAACTTTTAGGAGCGCAGAAAGAGTAAAAAAACGGCTCAGAGGTTAGTTTAGTTTGTTTGTTTGGACCAAAGCTCAGAGACGGAAAGTAGAAAGTAGTGAAAGATTGTGACAGGCTTAATTTCCTGCTCTTGCCTCATGATTTATAAAGGCCGACCTGGCACCGTGGTGGCATGTCAGGATGGGTGATATGGGTGTGTGTTTGTGAAAGAGAGAGGCGCAAATGTGGGTGAGGCTACAGGTGTCAGGGAGTGAATGAGTGAGGGTGTTTGTATGCATGCAAATGGGCAAGCAGCTCAGCCTGTGCAAAAAAGAGTAAACAGCTTTTCTTTCACTTTTTTTCTCCCTACTCAAATTTATTCCTCTCAAGTTAATTACAACTCAGTAAATACTGTAAAAATAAAAACATTTCTTCTTTAATTTGGACATTCTGCTGTTTTCATTACCTGACTGGAAAATGAACATGGTGGTTAACTCGTAACAAAGCTGATGCCACTCCATTGGGATTTTAATGTGCATAACTGCCTGCTCACTATACATAACCCCTGACTTATTTTCATGAGCAACAGTTAGAGAGTAAAGTCATTTTGCTACGTGAATAAAGTCTTAATTTCATGAGGAAGAAATGGTAGATTTTAGTGATGATTAGCCAGCACAGGTGCATCCCAATGAATCAGAATAAAACTGTTCATTGTGTAAAGAAGCCAAGTCGAGGCTAAATGAGGAACATCTGGATAGGCAGTGTTGTATTATTACAATGTTTTTCTTAATATAAACTTCTGATTTTATTTATTTATTTTTCATTTCCATTTCGAGATCTAAGTCGAAATTTCAGGATTAAAGTCGAAATTTTAAAAAGTCAAAATGAAAAAATCGAAATTAAAACATTATTTACGACATTTCATAATCTTAAATTTGACTTAACTCGAAATTTCAATTTTTAACGTTGAAATTTTATTATTCTCATTATTTGACTTAACCTTCAAGTTTTTCTCCAGGAGGGGCAGTGTGGGGCACATTTTTTTATGATTCGGAGCTCAAATTCTAGATTGAAGCTCTCCCTTCCTTCCTCCCTCCTTCAATCAGTGAAGTGACGGTGGCCCAAATGGACAAGAAACCCTTGATGCAGGACTGGTATGATCCTCCATTTGTCAAGTTTAACAAGCAATACAAACCCTTCAGAGGAAAATTATCACTGTCTTCCTTTTCATTTTCTAAACAGCGAAACTATTGGAGATTTAAATACACTTATATTTCATTTCTACCTGTCTGCTCTGCTAAATGCCACAAAGTTTTACACACTTTACCTTTAATGTGGCCCATATACTTTTCTGATTATTAAATAAAGCATAAAACATTTCTCTTTCTCTCTGTGCTCATTGAGCAGGAATATTAAGGATGATATTGAGTGTGAACACCGTGATTTATTATGCAGCCTATGGGTGTGCATTTAAGAGATAGAGACAAATTGCCTCAGTATGTACCTGTGTGGAAAAAGTGCGCAGAGATGAGCACAACTGGAGACCCTCCTCAGAGAGGACCTAAAAAGACAAACATAAAAAAAACACACGCAAACATGAGCCGAATAGTTATTCTGTAACCTTCAAGCAGGACCAAGTCCAAAGATGCAGAGCAAAAAGTTTGGTCACTCAACACTTTGAGATGTTAGTTTTCTCAGCGCTGCTCATCTGTATGCTTTCCCCCTCCTCCCACTATCATCCCTCTTCCTCTCTTATCTTCCTCTCTCTTGACAACTGGAATGAATCCTGGTGGATATTTTGGACCCTGATTCGACAAATACTGCACATAACTGTTAATGTGCAATACGATACACCGCAGCAACGCAGCTTTGTTTACTGATATGTTATGTGCAATGTGGCGTCCTACCTTCAAAGTCTGACCTGAGATGGTACACAGGCATTTATTGACACACATTGATCCACCGGCTTCGCTGTGTTTTCACTTTAATGAATTAGTGGATGTATTCATTTGCAGGTTCGATAAAACAGGAGGAGAGAACAGAAAGTGGATGGACAAGGAGATTAGCAGATATGGATGCACGTACCTCAGCTTGATGAAAAAGATCCAGTGTTGTTTTCAGCAGCCCCTCCCCCCTGGGGAATCAATACAGGAAACACAGACAATGAGGACGGAGTGAGAGACAGATGAGGATAAAAATACATCCACAGTTATCAACAAACAGAGTAACCTGGATGAATCATAATGGTTTTTCTGTCAGAAGGAGGTATAATCATGGGTCCACATCAGGCCTGTCATAAGTCTTTACAGTGAGGGTCTCTCATTAACACCAAGACTCCAAAGAGATTAGTGTGCATGCTTCAGAGGCTTAACATTGTTGACGTGATGTGACAAGCTGCAGATGTATAATCAGAGCATGTGTGTGTGTGAGTGTGTGTGTGAGTGTGTGTGATTGTGTAAAGTGGGGCGCTGCTTGGTAACCTGGTGAATAGGTGCATGTTGTAGGCCATACTGGCCAGGCTCTGGCTCTGTCGGACTATTTCGTGCTCCTGCTCCTCCCATTTCTCCACCTCGGTGTCCACGTCTGAGGACAGCAGACGGAGCTCCAGGCCCAGTTTGGCGATGCTTGTCTGCTCCTGTGCACAAATTAATACAGACAGACAGACAGACAGACAGACAAACATGCATAAGTGACTCTCTAAGGGGAAAGCTCATATTATAATGCACTGAAAACAATGTTACTTTACGGTAAAGCAAACTGATACACATCAGGCACTAGGACCAAACGGCTGCTCAAACTGAAAACTGGTTTCCTTTAGTTTGGACCGCCCACAAGGTCCTTGATTTGCTCTAACGCAGGGCCACTTTTTGTGTGTGATTGGCTATTCCTGCTGTCAGTCATTCTATCCCCGCCGGACTAGTGTTTTGCAAGTTGCTCTTAAGAGTCAGTCTGTGAACATCGCTCTTCGCCCATTCACTATTCGCCAATGTAAGTTTACAGGAGGGCGGTGTTCTTTTTCCCTCCGTAAACGTCACATTCATCGAAGGTTTCATTTACATCCCTGTATCAGGTTTGTACTTCCATCTACCCGCTGGCCATATTGCCTCCTCTCTTATAGTGTGCGAGATGGCGCCATTTGCTAGGCGGGAACTGAATTCTGGAATAAATGAAGAAATCTGAGCTGAACATTGATGTTTGAATCCACATGTCATCTCCTTACTCGAGTTTCTTGTGCCCCCAACCTCTGAAATCAAAATTTCGTCCATGCACTGGACGGATTTTGGGCTTTGACATAAGATTCATCACTTTTTGGCGATAGGACATCGTATCCCTTTAATTATTATGAAGAAAAACTAATATCTTTACAACAGGTGTGCAATTGGTAACAAATTAAAGTATAAAAAAAATTAGCCCTCATGCCCTGTGCTGTGCATAATGTCTGCTAAATACGAAAAAATGAAAGGATGAAATGTGTGTCAGCGGAACAGGCTTATTTTCTCTTTAAACATCCTGAGTAGTAGTTCTTTAATCAGCATAATTCTGCTTCCTGTGGCGGTAACAGACGTGAAAAACTGCTGGCCTGCAGAATTGCAGCCTATTACCATACGAGCACCATCAATTCTTCAAACGAGGTGACACAAAGTCTCCAAAAGACAAATCTACTGCTGTCAGGACAGGGTACGGGAACGTGACGTGATGCATTGTTCTGAAAGGCGCAGGAGTTTATGGCGTGTGCTACCTCTGCATCCAACTTGACAGCTTTGGCAGTCTTCAAGTTAGCTGAGTGTTTCTGTGGGAGAAGAGAGGGGCATTAATCAGAGGAATTACAAAGCGTTTGATCACAGGAATATTTATGAGGATAGATGGTGTGATACTCACCCCGGGCCTGGGAAGCGACAAATAAGGTCTTTTGTCTCCTAAAAGCAAAGTTATTGAGATGATTTGATCACAAGGTCACAGAGAAAAAGGAGTAACATAGTACTTTCTTATCTTAACTGCAGCACAGATACCCTCACTTTCTCCACACAATTAGGATGGCAAGTACGGACAGCGAGTAACTATGGTGATGAACAAGTTTGTCTTCTTTCAATGCACACCTTGGACACATTTTTATTATGCTCTCTAACACATTCAGCTTGAATTCCCTCAAACCACTTCAGGCAGTTCACTTTTAAACATGTTTTCAGGATAAGACCAAGTTCCAGGTATTTTTACTTCTCACTATTTGGCTTCATGGGAATATAAATGTGTGATGGATGGGATTTTTTTTTTCCTCATTTACTGCACTTTATGTGAGAGTCACAATGTAGAGAGGAAGCCCACCTGAGAAATCTGCCACAATCAGCTGAATTATAATATGGTCTGTGATTTGGACATGTCAGGTGACACAGAGAGAGGGAAGCTGGGCAGTCGCGATTATTACAATATTCGACAATGGCAGTTTTTTTTTTATATTCGTAATTATTTTTTATATTTGTCAATTATTTCATTTATCCACAAATTTGCATAAAATAACCCTGAATCCAAGTCTGATATCATCATATTGCACCAGCAGCCGCAGTATGCACCGTCGCAGCTACACCTTGTTTACTTCTCGTCTTGGTCGGGTGGGCAGCGACTCAAGGTTAGGATGGAGGATGAGGAGGTTCTGGTTTTAAAGCCACGTACCAGGGCACTGCTGTGGGTGCCTTTCAGATTGAAGCCGAACGATAAAGGAGAGCCCGGTAACGTGGAGGAAGCGATATGTAAACTTTGCCTTAAAAAAGTGCTGGTCAAAAGCTAACATAACAAATCTGAAACAATGTCTCCAGACCCACCATCCACAGCAATACGCCGAACTTGGAAAGACGAATCTTTCGGATGACGCTCCAAGTATAAACAGGACAGTTTAAGATGGCGCACACTAACGGACAGAGATCTTATAAAATACAGTCCAGTAAAAAATGTGTATTATTAAATCTCATCATACTATGATAGTAGAAAATAAAAAAGGGAAAAATGTATACGTCAATCCTGATTATTTGTCTGACAAATTATCGTCTCCAGAAATTCCTAATCATGACAGCCCTAGAGGGAAGAGGGCTGCCATGGCGCCTATTGTGAAATACTTCCCTCTGAGTACATGAGAAAAATTGTAAAATGATACATGCACACTGCCTTCCTCGCTCTGACTTCCAAAGAACCTACTAAAGTGTTCATTGGCGAAATGATTCACCGAGGTTTTCTCTGCAAATTTGATTCAGCCAGGTGGAGATGCCTAAAAAGCAGCACTTTACACCTGCAGTCCCCTCTGCCTCTCACCCTTTTTCACAGTCATCCTGTTACTCGTGAACTCAAACACAGCGGCGTCTCTTAACTGAGCCGATCTGAGCCTCACCTCGCCTGCCTTCAAACACATCATTGATCTCCCGCAGCAGCAGGGCCATATCGCAGAGCTGAGACTCCCAGGCCTCGCAGAACACCTCCAGGTTCTCCTTTGCGATCTTACTGGACGGGTGCAGGGCCAGCGTCTGGGCTGCAGAGATGATCTGAATGAGACATGAGGAAGGTATTAATTCAGAAAAGAAGGAGCCTGCTGGGTGTTATCATTTCAAACTGAACTTTCCTACAGGAGTCACTGATACACCCATGAGAAAAGTTTGCCTACCTGTTCTAGTGATGCTATATAGTAAAGTTTGTGGTGTGGTTCTTGCCTCTGTTGTGGTAAAACTTTGTATTTGGCTCTGGCCAAGGCTGCACGATATTGGAAAAAACTAACATTGCGATTTTTTTCAACCCTGCGATATATATTGCGATATTAAAAATATAGGAATTTTCACCAGATGACCTGAATAGCATTTAATGTTATGCTGCACTGCTGAAGTCTTGAGGACAGTTAACCTTCACTGATCTTACCTCTTTTTGTGAATGTTAGTAGAATGGCTTCTGTCTGTCTCAGAGATCTTTTTAGCTTTTATTGTTCTGGGACGTTATTGTGGCGACAGATGAACACAGAACACGTGTTTTGGTCCTTCTTTTAACCGAAATAATTCCAGATAACTGACTTTCCTTTTCTTTTTGGCAACTAATTTTCATTTTCGGTGGTTTTCTCTTGTTCGTTGCTCATTTTGCAATCGTTGTTGTTGTTACCGGTGTTGTGCTGAGAAACGCATGTCCTCCAAGAATTGCATGCATCTCGCAAAACGCGCACCGCTTATAGTAGAGTGGTCCACGGAAATATACATTTTAAAACCCATACAGTTCTTTTTTGTTGGGCTTAACAGTCATGAGTAAAGTTCCGAAAGTAATTCTCAGCGGACACGCGTTTCTCGGCTCAACACCAGCAGCCAGCGACTAACTCCATGTGCAGAACATGTGCAGGGGTGGGTTTCCTCCTCTCTGATTTTGATTGACAGCTGGCAGGGTAGTCTGATTGGCAACTGAGTAAAAGACAAAGGTGATTGGTGGATCAGTGCACAGCACATGCAGAGTCACATGCAGTGTATCTCAGTCAGCTACCCTTGAAATCAAATGAGTTCATTCACCTCCGACATCGCAGGCTCTGCGATGTGATTATTGCACACACGTACATCGCGATGACGATGCTCAAACGATATATCGTGCAGGCCTAGCTCTGGCCTTATCACTCCTCACTGGTTTATTTTGCTCGAGAAGTGATGAGACCAAATCTTAAACCCTCCTGCAGGTGGATGCTGGGGAGGCAGTGAGGCTGAAAGATCAAGCTCAGCTCAGGTGCAGGGCAGCGTTGGAGATTTCAGAGCAGAGAGAGGGACTGCTGCTTCAATAGATCCCCAAACAGAGGGGACACTTTTGTCAAGAGATTAAGAGATAAGGCATGTGAAATCAGTGCAGCTTCAGCTCCCGGCCTGAACTAGCTCACAGTTGTTGCCCCGCTTCAGCAAATCTCTGATGCGTGATTCAGCAGATTTATTTAGAAACACATGAAGAAGTGCAGAGAGGTCCTCTTTAGATTTAACCAAAGCCGACTTTAGATGATTACTTGTACAAACATCACTTCGAAAAAATACACAGACTTTATTTGAGGAGGCAAACTTGCACAAACACACACTCCAGCCCCGCCCCTCCCCTCTAGTGTAGTATTTAATAGCCAATTACCCTCCAGGCCACCCCTCTATTAGTTTGGGCAGACACAGAGACGTATCACCAGCACAAACCCCCACACTGCAATGTTATTGATTTGCCGACCTTTGACCTTAGGAACGGAGTCATTACTGCGGTGTCATGTGGGGCCTGACATTACCGCCGCAGGACGGGAACATCCTACATCGCTGGATAATTACTGGCATGGACGATTTCCAAGAGCAAACATAATTAGATGTGGGATAGAGGGACGAGGCAGACATCATGTTCTCAGCCTGTTTGAATGGATGGCAGGTGTAGGAGGGGGACAGAGGAGATGTGGGCTCATTTGTATGTTTTTCCTGCCCACTGTCGTGCCGAATTTTATTCAGGTTTGATTTCAATCCAAGACTGCTGAGAGACCTGCTCGACTTTATTGAAAAACACTGACTATCAAAGGAGGGTCTCTGATTTAATTAAAGTCAACCTGATACTGCTCTCCCAAGTTTGCAGCCATTTGCACATTCTATGGGGTATGACATTAAACTGATGAAATGTTAACTCCTTGCAGAAAATGGTACCTGTGGACCAATAACGTGGAAGGTCTCCTCAGCATGTACACAGGTGATCTCCAAAGGCTCCGATCCAGAAACGTGACAAAGCAGCCGGCATGTCTGGAGTCAAACACACACAGGGAGGAAAAAGGACTGATTGAGGATACTTCTGAGGTTTCACTTCAAAGACACGGATGACTGTTCAGATGTACCTTACCTCCACCAGCTGCTCCTTCTGCTCAGTGAGCGTGCGCGTAAACTCAGCCACTGCCTCCAGGTTCCCCTCAGCGCCTGCAGCTTTCAGAGCCCGCAGAGGCAACTGCTCCCCGTGTACTTTGAGCAGGTCTGACGCACGACCCACAGCCACCTTATGGAGCTGGAGGAGGAACCGCAGATTAAATTTGCAGAATATAAGAAGACGAGGGGGGAGTGGAGGAGTCGAGATGAAACACACAGCAAGTGAAGATGATTGAGAGGCATGAAGGAAGAAGGGAATAAGAAAAGAAGAAGAGTGAAGGTGACAAAGCAGAGAGGGAAACCAGAGAGACCTTCCTCCTGTCATTTCTGTGTCTCTGTGTAGCTAAGACTCATCAGGCTGAGAGCACCGACAGACTGCTGCTCACCTCACGTCTGAGGTCGTTGACGCTCTGGCAGGTCTTCAGGATGGCCACCTCCATGTCCTCTGTGGCCTCTTTGGCGTGGGCAGACTGCTGCTTAGGGGAGGAAGAGGAGGAAGAGAGGAGAATAAAACATGAGGCCTGACATTTTTCACCTACTGACTTTGTAAGATATTCTCAAGTGAAGGAAATATTCCAGAACAATTCAAGACTTATTTTACTGAAAATTCAAAGGTTCATTGTTACTCAACACGCTAATCTGACAAATTATCATCTCCCTAAACTCCTCACTACCAGGTGTCAATTCACAATTAGATTTAGAGGTAATAAGCTTAGACTGTATATAGGATGGACAGCATCTGCCTCCTCACTGGGTGAAGCCACCGCGAGAACAACACCCTCTGGTCAGGGTTGCAGTACAGGTCATAAATCCCACCTTCTCTACCGATCCCTATGGAGCTGTGGACAAACTTTAAAAATTTATTACACAGAATATAAATTTTTGCTGTAAGACTGGTTTGTGCTCAAGTCCTCTCTGCTCCATTTTTAAAAGTTATTAGGGGGTTCATGTTTTCTATAATTAACACTTGATACAGCCTATGGTCGTACGAAGATTGCATAGCCCACCCAGAGGACATGCTCTTTGAGCTGAGCATCATCACAGCGACTCTCCCGCCGAATGCGTATAATGCTACTGCGCAAGTGGTGGAGTGCTTACAACGCTACAGCCCAATGTTGGTTCCAGGAAGTGGAGAAAAAAAGTGGAATTTCCAAGAGCTTTTCAGCTTCAAATCCGTAGGAAGGCGGAAGGCGAAAACCAAGTTGTCGATAGTATACACGGTCTATGGTACTAAGTTATGGAACAGTTTCTCCCATTTAGCAAAAATTTGTTCTTCTGTGAAATGTTTTAAAAAATATTTAAAAGATCATTTAATTGCTGTAATGTATGTTGTAATGCTCTCTATATTATTGTTGTCAGTCGCTATTATTAATTAATTTTTTATGTTATCTTGTGCTTTTGTACATTAAAGTGTAGTATTAATATTAGGTTATCATAGGTGGAGGCTCTAAGTAAGCCCATCGTGGCTTTTTGCCTCTCCCTGCACTGTTTCAATACTACCTATTATGCTCTATGTTGTATTCTTTTAAATTGTGCAAAAATTAAAATGAAAATAAAATGAAAATGAGTCTACATTGTAGGGCTGCCGACAGCTGATGATTATTTCCTTGGCCAGTGAATCTGATCAATGATTTTTGATAACCCTGACTATTATTCAGTCAGTTAAATGTTCAATCTGTTCTGTTGTTCATGATTATGACCCCTGGTTTTTACATGTCTCAAAAAAGAGAAAAAAAACCTCACATTTAAGAATCCAGAAGCAGCAAATGTTTGGCCATTTGGTGAAAACAAATCCCCCAAAAGACCCACAGATTGAAAAAATATTTTGATTTGCAATTCATTTGAAGGGATTTGGATGGGAACACTAATGAATCCTGCTGCCCCAAGTGCCTGAGTTTCTCATACAGACCCCTAAATCTGCCTCAAACCATTAAAACACTAGGACAAATTGAAAATTAATCATAATTTATTGAATGTCCCTTTGGGGATGAAAAAAGTTATTCTTATTCTTTTTAATTCAATTTATGATGAATTTCCATGTCCCCAACTTTCAGCCATCTTTACATTAATGGAACATTATTTTTGGGTATATATATTTGGGTTTGCGAGAAATTTTGTATATTCCTTTAGGACAGATAAAATTGTTTAAAGTTTTTTTTTTTGTCCTTTTGTCTAATTGATAAAATGTTGATGCTGTGTTTGGATGCTTCACGTCTCAAAGGCACTTTTTTCTTCTTTTTTTGATTTAATGTTTGCTTATTACACTCTGAATACGAAAAGAAAGGTGGGAATTACAAAACAGTTTTTTACCTAATTAAAATTCTGAAAACAAATGATTTGATTTAAAATTTTAAAGAAGTTTTTTTTTTTAATGTAATTAATAAACTTGCAGCAATACAAATAAAAATCCACATGCTAGGACAAGCAGAACAGCCAGAATGAATCCATTAAGACTATAAGCTTTTCTGTTCTTTTCTGTTCAAGTGACCTTGGACTGCAGAGACAAGATGAACAATAATGGGTAGAAATCTCTCTGTCTGCTCTGAACACACTGAAAAATAATGTTTACAATGAAAAACTGCAATCCCATAACTACTTGTGTTTCGTAAGTCCATCAATTACGAAGGCCAAGAGCCTCTGCTGAATGGCTGAGTTGCTAAATAAGCCTTAGTGAAGAGTTATTCACTCGGGTTATTATGCTCTGTTGTTGCAGCGAGGATGTGTGGACAGAAAGTGTGTGTGGGCAAAGTGAATGACTGTGAGGCGGAGGGAGACATGATGGGAACGAGCGTGTCTGTATGGATTTCTATCTGTTCGACAGGTTGTGTGATAATGTTTTTTGAACTTTATTTTCAAAACAAGTTGACTTTTGTTTGTTAATTCAGGGACCCAGCACAATTCACACAAATCTCCCTCTGTACTCTGCTTTGCATCTTATTCTCATCCTCTTTTATGAGGTAATTTTGTTCCTCATATGCTAAAATGTGCTTTTATGAATACTCCTGTGAGTAGGTGTGTGTGTGTGTGTCTTTGCGAGGCTGCCCGCTCATGCCAACATACCCCCTCAACCCAGGCATGCACCAGCTGCTGGGTGTCCTGGCGCGCCAGCTGGCACAGACCGAGGATGGCCTGCCGCTGCTCGTGGCTGGTGTAGGCCGAGTCGGTGAAGTCCTCTGTCCGCTCCACCAGCGTCTCCAGCTGGCTGCTCATGCTCTGGGGTGACAGGGAGAACAGGTTCTCCCGCAGGCACTCCACGCTGGACTGCAGGAGAGGCGGAGGGAGGATACATGAGTCAAAGGGGCATTTGAAGAATTGTTGGGCAGAGAAAGGAAAGACTGAAACGGACTTGAAATTTCTACCAGCTGATGTTCTGAGGGGAAAGGTACATGATTTACTACCTCATTAACATTATACACTTGACTCCAACATTAAATAGAAAGAATTATGGGATATTGGTTCAAGCTTAGAGTCACCTCAGGCCATCAGAAGTGCGCAATAAATTCAGCAAACTCGATTACACAAACATAAAAGCTAATGCATTTTTCCTCTTTCATCCTTTACTCTGTTTTGAACAAAAATCGGCTGAAAAGAAAAAAATCCTAATGGTCTGGGCTGACGTGTCCGAAGATTACAGGTTTGCACAAGCTCTAGCTTCAACTGTGAGCCATTAAAAGCCAGAAAGCCATTTATTAGGAATAATAACCATCTCTGAGCCTTTCATTAAAACACTTTCTTCTTCTTTTCTTTCAATGGCAAAGACCTTTTCAAAGGTTTCTCCTTTTTTTTACGTTTGTTTTGTTTGCCAGAGCAGAAGAAGAAGAAGAGCGGAGAGAGGATTAGTCATAGTGGTGTAGGTTTAGTGGTGATTCACTCAACAGTGTGACCCAAATTACAAAGTGGGTAGGTCTGGCCCTCTCTGCTGGCTCTTTGATCCACATTTGAGGTTGTAAGCAAGACAGTGAGTGAGAGCAAGTCATTGCATAATACCAAATCTACAATAAACCGGCACAATGAGTAGATCTTCATGTGGTCATAGGAATCATCTGTAAAAGGATAATAATTACTCTTCAGGTTAAGCTTTTCTAGCCTGGAGTCTTTTTTCATAACCGACTCTACCTTGAAGTCCTTGATGCCGTTGTAGATGCTGGCAGGAAGGATTTTGTTCTCCCCTGAGCTCCGAGCCTCGGTGACGATCTCAATGACCTGCTCCAGGGCGCAGCGCATTCGGTGGAACACGGCATCTTTGTTGATCCGCGCCGACTCGCAATCCGGATGCCTCAGGCAAGTCTGTGCGAGGAATTGAATGTGAAATATCAAAGCTCGTGACCTCCTGTACTTCCTTCAACTTCTATCTTTTTCAACAACACAGTCTTATCATATGAGTGTTGAATCCATCCACCACTGCCTTGGTGAAACCTTCATATTGAATCAACTTGAAAATGCTTCAGATCTTTAACCCTCACCCAAAGGTCCAGCACCTCTTTGCCCACTTTTTTTTTTTTTTTACCTTGGAGGCTGTCAGGAGCATCATGGTGCATTTCTCCAACACTGCTCTGGCTGCGGCCATCCGTGCTTTCTTCTTCTCATCCTTCAAGTCCTGCAGCACAAACACACACATACACACACACACACAGCAGATGGGCAATAGGGTAGCTTTACTCTAGTTCCAACTTCTAAGAACCGTCTTGCTGTCCGAGGGAAATGAAGCATCAAAAATATGCAACAAATCTCTTTCATGCTGGTACGAAGGGACCCACAAATGTGGCACAGAATCCTCCCCAAGTTCACACACACACACACACACACACACACACACACACACACACACACACACACTTATACACACTTGAGGCTCCCTGGGTTAGCTGCCATATAATAAAAAAAGGTGCCATGAGGATAGCAAGGGATCTAAAGTGCACGTAATCTGCTGCTCCCGCTCTTTTCATATGCATCCCAAGCTAAAATACACAACTTGAATGAGGTGGATGCAGGATTGAGGAACTGCAGCTGAATCAACTCATCTCTCATCACTTCTCCATAGACTGCAAAGATGATGTGATTATCTTCCATTATATTTGTCTCTGCTCATCTGGCTTCAATAGCGGCAGATGATTTTCAAAAGAGGCGGTGTGCTTTTGCATGTGTGCTCATGAAAGTGCACACAAAAAAAAAAAGAAACAGGGTGGTAAATGAGGGGGGGGGGGGGGGGATTAGCTGCTGCAACGGGGAGAATTTGAGAGGCATGATGTGTGTGTCAAAACAGAAGCCTGGAGGAAGCTCAAAAAAATAAAAAAAAAAGGAAGGAGGGTCGATCCGCTCCCCTTGTCTAGATATCGCAGTCATTGCACTTTACATCAGCTTCTGCAGGCAAAGCGCTTTAGTTGCAGCACGCTGAATGTACACATCAAAGTGGGATTAGCAGGCGTTGACAGAACAAAGTTAGAATCCCTAAGCTGGACTGTTTTTCTCCAGCTTTGAGGGAAAGTTTTGTTTTGCAAATTTGCACGAGTCAAGCCGATGTACTGCAGTGAGGGAGCGGCGCTATAAGCTATAAGCACAGGTCATTCAATATTAACTCTGAATGAATATGTGAAGAGATTGAGCAGGATGAGTCATGAGTGATCTGTGCATTTCTCTTTAAAGGATTAGAAAAGAAAGGAACTGATTCAGAGAAGAGCAATAAAACTTTGCAGAAAGAAGGAAAAGCCTGAAGCCGGACATCATTGTTTGGTTTTTGTTAAGGGGGGAAGTGTAAATATTTGATGCTTGTGTTATTGATTTGTTCTGAGCTAGCCTTCACATTCATAGTGTAAATACTGCAGGTTTCACAGCCTAATTCCACCACCTGCCCGCACATCCAGACCCCCATGTTCAGAGAAATCCCTGTTTGTTAGGAGATTAAATCTACAAGTGTAAACAAAATGTGCTCTGTGTTGCAGAATTAAAGAAACAAATTACTGCATCTTTATGAAAAGCAGTATCAACAAAAACAGTTTTTTTTTTGTCTGAGTTTGATCACTTTTGCAGCTCATTTACTTAGAGAGACTTCTTATCATGCTACTCACGTTCTGTCTGTCTCCGGTGAGGTGGGCGAACTCCACCATCTCGTTGCCAAACTGACTAAAAATCTGCACAAATTCTTGGAAGGTGCTGACTCTTTCCAGATGGTCCAGTGTAACCAGGACCTAAGGAGTACAGGATCAGAGAAGTGTTTGAATTACCACATATGGTTCATGTTCTTTTCGGGTTTTTTTTCACATAGTTACAACTTAGTTTGATCCCACAGGAAGATAAAAGCAGCAGATAATTTCATCTAGCATGTTTATATAGCAAGGTTGAACCCCTATATACTTCAAAATGCTGGAGAATAAAGGTTACTAAACTCTAGGGATGCACCAATCCGATATTTGGATCGGATATCGGCTCCGATATCGACAATTTACCAGGATCGGATATCTGATGAATGACGCTGATCCAGCTTTCCGATCCGGTCTTTTTTTTCTTTTAATTAATATCATACACAGCGACACAGCGATTCAGTTCGCTCTATATTCTATGTCTGTCTATCCTTTTGGCCTAAATGTTTACAAAGAAGTCTTACTTCTTTTTGCTGTGTGCTAATGTGCAATTTGTTTTTTGTTAATAAATAATATTAAGTAAATTTATATCTGTTTAATTTGTTACCTTTTTTTAACAAGGCTAATGTCAAGCCTGATGCCTTTACTCACAAGGCAAGGTATACAGTTTATTCATTCAACAGTAGTATTGGATCGGTATCAAATATCAGCCCAAGTATCGTTATCGGATTATATCGAAAAGAAATGAATCGGTGCATCTCTACTAAACTCAGGGTGCATAGTACAATATTCAAAGGTTTTTTCTATCTATTCTAGTGGCTTAATGTGATATCATATTAGGGACATGCTAAAATTAAACCAGCAGATCGTGTCTTTTCTTACCTATACTTTAGTTAACAGGAGTCTGTGTATCTCCTAATTTAGCAGCAGAGTAGGTTAGCTGGCAGCGCTAATGCAGCAGCTTTTATACACGCAGACAAAGAGCGGGAAGAGATGTAATTGTGTTTGCCAGTAATGGAGAACAGGGGGCTGTCGACTGTCAGTCCAAAAGAGGCTAAGCAGTCGTGATTAGGCCCCCTGTTCCCACTCTTGGCTCCGTGCACATCCATATCACGTTGTCTGGTTGAGAGCATAGCCAGGTACAACAGGGAGAGACAGTCTGCTGCTCTGTGATTTTATGTGGTGGCTAAATGTGCTGCTTCCCTTCAATTACCTCCAGAGAACTCTTCCAGAGAGCCAGGGCTTATCTATTAGGGAATAAAGACTCTCAGGATGGTTCTTTTTTCTGCAGTGTGTGTTTGTTTGTTTGGACCTTAGTGGATGCAGAAAAGAGCTCATGAACACCCTTAAAAAGGATTGTGTCATCTTCCATTTGCAGGTCTCACCTTGTTGCGTGATGTGATGATCTGTTTGATGACGATGCGGTCGGCTAACACCAGGACTTTAGTGACTGAGGAGAGCAGCAGACGGGCAGCCTTCACCATCCCTGTCCTGTCACTGAACACCGTGACACGTCCATCTGACTGCAGCGGCAGCGCTGGTCCTACATCTGTCAGCTGGGCGATGGCATCACCTGCAAGAGAGGAGGAGGAGGAGGGGAAAGCATGGTTGAGCTCATATGTAGGCACACACACATACTGTCTGATTTGTCCGACTCTTACATAACAGTGTTTCAGGAAGAAAAGACACGCAACAATACGACTTTTTCTCTCCAGCAACAGATTACTGAGCCTGTACCAGTGCTCTCATTTCCCCCAATTTTAAAGCAGCTTAGGGCTTCCTTACTGAGATCAAACACAAACTTCAAACGGGACGATTACAACATGATCTCTTAAGTGTATGCAGACACACACAATCATAACACTTGAGGTTTTTACATATTTGGATTTAATTGATTCAGACAGTTTATGAGATACTGATATGTTGCTATTTGCCTTTTCTTTAAGCTGTATTTAATAAAATATGCAGCGAAGTCTTTGAGCAAATAATATAAACACTTGATACCACAAATCCTCCTCTCCAACTCCATCACGCTTTTCAACCATACCTGTTCCCAGTGGATCACTTACAACACAACCAAACAAAAAAAAACTCAGTCCTACCATCTGAACAACAACACATATTACATACAGTCTTTTCATGCAACACATCAAAAACTTTGTTATGACATGCAATAGCAACGCTCTGTGTTGATTTTGGTGCCCCCTGGGGACAAATGTGTACATCTCATTACTTCACTGATCTCATCCTGAACTTGGCAGGAAAAAAATGTAGGGCTGAAATGATTCCTCGAGTACCTCCATTACAAAAAATGATAGAGGAATTTTCACTGGAATCATCACTGTTTTGCACGAGTTATTTTCAAGATGACACAACGCGCTTATGCCACCAGAAGGAGGAGTAAGCGCGGTATTGGTTTTTCTGAGCAGAAAAATGAATGATTAGAGGGGCTTTTCTTCTACAGAGCTCCAGTAGCTCATGAGTAATTAACCTCTGAGTCGTGGGCGGAGACAGTGCTGCTCTGCACACTCCTCTTCATGCTAGCTTATAGCCTAACATTGCCAGTGTAGTAGCAGAGGCAGAAAACATAGGAGTCTTTGGGGGCATGATGAAAGCTAATATCATAATTAGCTTTCTTACGAGCATTGCAATCTGCTACCACATAGGCTTGTTCCGTGTTCCTTGATTCTAAAAAAGAAAAACAATTGCTTGTTCATTCTTAAGTTAAATGTATTATTTTTTGTTGTACATTAATAATTGCATCTTAACTAAAATAAATGGTGTTTTATCCAATTACTCCATTAATCGATGGAATATTTGGTAGAATACTCGATAACTAAAATATTCAATAGCTGCAGCCCTAAAAAAATGTCACTCTGCCGTCTTTGAGGGTCAAAAGTGCCACTCTTTGTGAGTGTTAGCAGTAAATATAAAGACAGGTGGTTTGTAAAGCACACCTGACCCCTCTCTGCAGCTTCAGGCATTACGCATTAAATGAAAGTAGCTGTTGTGCTTGTTGCTGGTGGTCTTGTTTGTTGTTTTGGAGAAAGAGTGGACTCTAGCTTATTTATTAATATGTTTTTAATATAGGGCTGAATAATTTGCAACCAATATTTTTGATTTAAGGAAACGTGTTATGGTTTTCCTGAGTGCATCCTCCTGATACAAAGCCACGGTGCATTTTTATGAACCAGACACAGCACTGCAACTGCATTGGTAATTAAAGTCTCCAGAAACAGCAACGGGATGATAAATGAAATGTATTTCCTACACAAACAGACTGTCCCACACAGTCCTAACAGAGATTAGACTGCAGTGTATTCCCACCTCTCTCTATAAAAACTAATAATAGAAAGGACTCTGCCTTGGCTTGGACTGAGGGGGGACTCAACTTTGACTCTATTTGGTGAATCAGACTCAAGGTTTGATAACTGGACTTTACTCCTGATATGCACACATCAAAACTGACAAAGGATGTCACGTCTTTGGTCTGACACAAAGCTGGAAATCCCCTGCAATCCAAGTTGATTTTTCAATGTTTCAAAGAAGAAATGAGAAATAAATTTATCTGGCGAGTAACTTAGAAGGGACTTGTGGCGACTTGTCAAGAAAGCAGAGGAAGAGTCTCTCTCCATTTAAGATGACAGACTTAATCGTACTGGAAGGTTTGGACTTCTCGTCTTGACGAGGAGCACCCTGAGATTCCCTGGTGAGCTGATGATATGGCTGGGTGGACAATTAATCAATCAAGCAATCTATTTTTATTCTTGTAGAGATAAATCACTGAAGAGACCCTCAGGCTGTTTGAGCCTGCTATAAAGTGCTGTCATTTTAAAACAGAAAGCAATCCGCTCTAAAAGAGGACCTGGGATGCTAAATTTGTCACTCTTTCATATTGAAGCAGCCGTTTAGCTCACCTGGCGGCGCTTGAGCTTGGGTTCAAGTCCCCAAGTCCTCTTTCTTTTCCATCTACAGCCGATTTTCTTTCAGTATTAACTCAAAAAACACTAAAGCACCTGTTCTCAACCTCTGGGAAAAACAGTTTGTCCTGGACAGAGGGGAAAAAAAGGAAGTGCTAAATTCAGCATGGAGGTACTCAGCTGTCATTCCCTCACCCAAATATTACTGGCAGACTTCCTGGTTGATGTGAGCCATCATGGGGGGTAGCACTCTCAGCCCCTAAAGAGTTACAGAGTCCAACTTTCCTATCATCAGATCTACTCATACCAGCCCCAAAAAGGGAAAAATACAGAGTTTTAGAGTGATTGCCCGTCACCGAAATAGTTTTTTTTTTTCTTATAAAGAACAAACTGTCCAGAGTTAAGAAGAGGCACTGGGAGTAAAAAATCTCAAGGAAAGAAAGCTCAAAGAGGAGGGGGGAAGGAGGGAGATAACCAACTCTCTATCTGGCCCTGCAGCCTGGCTTCCTATTTGGTTTGGCTGGTCCTTTAAAAGAAGCAGCACTGACAAACTGATTGCATCCGACAGGCTGCTTTTCAGTGCCAACTCTGCTAACCAGTTCAAACATCTCGGCCTGGCCCAAAAATAATACTGCTCAAACCCCTCAACACTACAGGGGAGGAAAGCAGAAGGAGCCAGAAACAGTCTCTAAATCCCCCAAAACCATGAAGTATGCATGTTGAATGTAAGGCACCTAGCTGTTGTATGTGCTAATGATGCATGTGTCTTTTGTTCTATGCAAGACTGTGCTTTGTCCCTTCATTAAGATCCGGCATCACGGGTAATTGATACAGCATTTTTCAGTGTGATTAATTCATTATTCATAAGTGAATACTTGAAAGGCTGATCCTTGAAGTGTTGGTACAGCGCTCACAGGCAGTCAGATCAATCTTGCATGATTCAATGAACGGCAATCTCAGCCTGTCTCTCAGATTTGCAATTGACTCCATGATGAATGGTGTTCACTTCGTTTCTCATCCTGTGTCATTTTCTGTTTAATATTTTGAATTGGCTCGAACTTTATGTGATGATCACAACTTTTAAACTGTAGTTTAGTGCTAACTTGCACGTCAGTAGTACAAAACCAAAGTACAGTTAGGAAAAGTGATCCATATCCCAGGGTGTCCGCTGATATGACAGTGACTGTGACTAGCACGCCTTAACAGCTGGAACACCTCTGCTACTGGGGCTGGACGATTAAGGCTAAATAATAATCACAATTATTCTGACAGATATTAAAATCATGATTAATAATCACGGTCAATTATTGATTTCAAAATGTGAGCATTTATTAAACCCCCCAAACTTAACTTTAACTATATCTTAAATGATCGGCGAGAAATAAGTTTGTAACAATTAAACAAGCAAAAAAGTTCAAATTAATCAGCTCTGTGTTAGCCAATGATTACTTGCAAATGCTAATACTCTGCGCACATGCTCCACAGTGCAGTGCCCATGTGCGCATATACTAATACATATAAGTCTGAGTTAGAGAGATTTTGAAGGTGTGCTAGCTCATATTTATTTGTCGCGGTGCGCCACGATCAACTGCATACAGGGGAAAGCCTGAAGTCGGTTGCGTTTCCTTGGGGAGCAGACACAACAGCTTGACAAACTTGGTAAACAATTTCTTTTTGCTCGACGTCCGTCAAATTAAAGCCAAAATGTTGTCTTTTTTTCTCAACCAAACACTGCCTTTCTGCCATGTTTTCAATCGCTCGCTTATCATATTATTGATCCACACACGTCACACGCTCGCTTGTGCGGTGCATTAATCGTTTTTTCTCTGATTAGAATGTTTTTACGATTGTGAGAAAAAAAAATTGAAATCATGATTAAAATTTGATCAATCGTCCAGCGCTACCTGCTACACATTAGCATATATGTATTTAGGTCAAAGGAACCGTCTCAAGACGCCGGTGCTAAAACTGCAGGTCCCCAGATTCCCTACTTCAAGCTGGCTGCAGAAAGGAAGCCCCACAAACACCCAAAGCATTAGCCTGTTTATCCAGCAGAATGAAACATGCCTGAAGCTCGCTGTAAACAATGTGTTTTATCTTAAGATTTCTTTATCACTTTATGGGGCAAAATTCTTTGTCTTAGCATGACTCAGCTATGCATAAGTCTGCATAATTAGGGGCCTGCTGGATTTGACTGACAGCTGTGTTTGCCAGGAGACTTAAACTTCACTTCACTTAGCTGGTTTAAGAAAAGTGATTGTTTTCAACAAAGCGACAGCCATCTTTGTGCTTCATCACGCCTCTTCAGGAAGCGGGAATGACTCAGTAAGTGTGTCCATGCCCCATAATGTCTATACAGGACAGTAACGCAGAGCTGCTGTTTCTGAACAAAACTTTACAAGAACCTAAGAGAGCTTTCAACAGATTTAGATTCAGATTTAGACTTTTTTCATTTAGTTTGATGTCTGCTTGGGCTCAGAAAGGAGATAGTGAACTATAGGAGGGGCACAGGGGAAAAGGCAAGACCAAGATTACAACAGGAGAGGGATCAGATAATATAAAAGTTATCTTACAGTTTTTGTACTTTTCATTTGTATTGTTAAGTTGGAGGAATGATCAGGGATGTAAGGACTGACTATCGAGAACTCTCGTAAATTTTGTTTCAAGTCTTTCAGGATTAAACCTCAACCAGAATTTACAACCAACTTTACACTTGGCTGGGAGGAAGCACATCTAATATGACAGGATTCATTCAACAAAAAGTGAATTTGAGGAAATGCACTGTATTCGGTGAGCAGCAGTCTACCCTTGACAAAAAACATGATCACGGCTCTTGCTGCTCTCTCTTTCTTTCTTTTTATTTTTTTTATTAAGTGATGCAAAACAGAACATGACAAGCGAAGGACAACAAACTGAGAAACAGATGGGGGAGACAAGACAGACACAAGCAGGTATTGGTTGTATTTCACAGTTTGAAGTTGTTGAAAGCATATGTCTGTGTGGGTGTGAGTGAGTGAGTGTACGTATGCCTATATATGGATATGAGTGCATGTATTTGTTTTGGGGAGTTTTATGAAAAAGGATAATATTTGGAAATAATAATACTAACTCATGAAAGTCAAAAGAATAATGCAACAGAACAAAGGGACAAAGCAAAAAAATAAATAAATGAAATAAAGAAAAAAAAATACATACAGTATATACATATAGATAAAGATATTTATTCATGTTCCATTTTTGAAATTTCTCTATTTTTATTTTCATTTTTTGCTGCTCTCTTTCTAAAGGTGATATGCGCAGTATAGGGGGAAATAATGTAGACTGCTATTCCCTTTATATCTGAGTCTGAACCAGAACTGACAAAAATCAAACAGTACCCCAACCCTTCAAATCAAAGTTTGGCTGGTTGAACAGTGTGTAGAAGTGTTTATAGCAGCATTACACTTCTTTTTGTTTGTATTTTCATTTTTACTCCAATAATATTGTCGTTTTTTACCACCATCATTCATATTGTCTTTCAATTGTATTACAGAATATAAAAAGGACCAGCCCAAGCCAACCATGTTTTGGTGCAGGCAACTGGATTCCAGATTTTGACTCATCCCAGCATGAAGTTAATGTGTGGTCTGAGCTCGATGCACCTCTAAACTGTGGGTATGTGCTGTGATTTTTAACCACACCACCATCTGATCTTGACTCTCTCAGAGGGAGACTCACCAGCACTAACAGCGCATATGAGAATGACACCAAGAGACTGAGTGAAACAGACAGAGACAGAGATCCAACACAAATTGCCTCCACTGACCTGCCTCATTGGATCTCTCCAATGCACAGATGATGGGTAGCATCTAATTAAACTAGTGCTTTCAGCCTGCCTTTATTTCATTCATTAAAGCACACAAGGCTGAGGCCTGCCTGATTAAAACTCTCCCTGCAGCGGTGTATTAGAGAAATGTCAATCCTTTACTAACTAGCCCTCCTCCCTCCTGGAGACGTAAGGATCTAAAAAGTCTCTTTTTCACCCCAGAGGATGTCTCCATCAGCTTTTAATAAAAAGTCTCAGACTGAGTAAAAACTTGATTTGTTGTTGTGTGTTTTTTTTTTCAATGGGTTAACATTTGCTCTGAGTCTGTCTGAAGAAGTGCAAGAGAAAACTGTGAAAACACCTCCCTGAGAGCAAAGAGAGAACTAGAATAAATTAGTCACAGCGGGCAACACAATCCAGTCATCAGCACGCACGCACACACACGCATGCAGTGGTCATACCTTTGCACACACACACAGACACACACACACACACTTTCTCATCAGGCTGTTGTCCTCCCACCAGCACTCTTTGTCTGAGTTTTAGCCGTCTTTGCAAATCAGCACTGTGTGCGGATTAAACGCTTTGCTTCACACGCCAGTTCTCCCAAACATAAACCTATTATCACGCTGTTGTGTCTAAATTCTTATCCGATGTGATATTATTCCCTGTGTGTCTGTAGAAGCCGAAATGAGGTCCTTGTTTTGCCTGATAAGAGCTAAGATTGCAGATATAAGGAAGTGTTTTACAAAGCAAAGCAGCAACAACCAAACAAAGAAAGTACGGTTAGATACTTTAGATGGACATGATGAGACAGCGTTGACATGTTGTCTTCTCAACAGCATTTAAGTGCAAAAAGTTACGAGAGAGCGAGGAAACACCGTGAGAAACAAACGTCTGACAAAAGTGCCACCTCGCCTTTCTCGGTTTCAATAAAAGCTGACAGTCCCTGCAAGAGTGATGCACACATTCTTGTTTCCTCACACCGGTTGTCACTGTTTCCACCCCTCCTCCAGCCCTGCTCTGCTGCTGCTGTCTCTCACTGTTGTCTGCCGTTTCACACACATCCACCCAAACAGATCTTCTTTTCAGGCCTCTTGCAGTCCATACTGGGTGATATGTAAACAACACTATCGAACGAACTGTCTGTTTCTGAGCTGGAGCAGAAGAGAAATGCAGGAATTTACTAAAATTAAAAAACCCGAAGAGGAGATTCAAGAGTGGAAAAAAAAGTTGAGGTCCTGACCTCAGAATCAGAAATGCTTCCCACAGATTCATGTGGCGGTGGATATCAGTAAAGCGACTGCTTAAATCTCTGCAGTAGCCAGTCGCATCAAGTCTCCAGCAGCCTCCTATCAGAATCTATTATCCTGTGCTCCCTAAGTGAGTGCGGCGGACACTCTCAGTCTTCGCCTCCACACAGCACCTTTGGGTGATGAAGCACTTTCTATTAAAGCCTTTACTCCCAACTTTTGAGAACTCTGCATGTCCTCTGGAACAGAAATGTCTGACAGTTGGATAAGTTCTGATAAATTGAAATTTGTTCAAATTTGATAACACGGTGACGCCTAAAGGAGATGTTTGACTTTTCATTAAAGTGTCACAGTTTGCCTGAAATAAACACACACGGGACACTAACTTAGTCGACTAACTTGAACATCTATCAATGAATTTGTGTCACTCCTGTCTCATTGGATAAAGGAGCGATCTAATATGATTTAATATTTTTTTCCTTCTTCCCTCCTGGTCTCCTTTTTCTCATCTAAGAAAGGGGTGCCGGGCAGACTGACAATCCAACAGTTCTCCTGTATGCATCTCCCTACTGTATGTTTCTTGGAAAGGATGAACTGTAAATGGGAATTTCCCCTTGAGGGATTAATAAAGGCTTATCTTATCTTATCTTACCTTCAGGAGCAGAAACTCCATGAAACAGGGATGTGAGTTGCGTTGAAACCAGTCGATTGAAAAGTTACCTCACATTTTTAGCCTGTAGTTGTCCTGCAATTCTCTTAGTTCACTGTGAAGTTTATTTCCCACTTGCTTTAAAATATGTCCGTCTGTGTGGTTCAAGAGCCGCCTCTGTGGGTTGGAACAACAAGGATTGTTGTATCCTTTGTTCATTATTATCAATTTGGAAAACATTATTTACTTATAAATTCTATTTCATGATCTGATGGTTTAATTATTGGATAGATAATATTATAATACAGATTAAAAATGAAGTTAATTCCATACATGATTTCATATATAACTGATATGTAATGTTACACATTTTACCTCACAAGGGGGCATGTCTACATGTTGGCTGAGAGGAGGTCAAAGTTAGAACCATAGAAGAAGAAATGTTCAGTTAAAATAAAAAAAAAAACATTGAAGAAGAGATGTTTTGTTTATGTACTGTTAGTCGTTGTTGTTTTATTGTTTTGTAGCAGTCTTCTTCGTCAGTAAAAGAAAAAACATGAAAAGACTGAGAGAAGTCCTGCTTGGTTTTTCAAAGAAGCTGCAGCTAGTTCCCACAAGGATCCCAGATGAATCCGGAAAAGTTACGTCCCCGTTAAGATGACAAATATATGCGGATATAATGATGACAAACCTGCTCGGCGAGCCTCGAAGCAGGCCTGACCCATCTCATCCTTCAGCTCCTGGTTCTCGGCGGCAATGGCCTCCCCGACAGCGACAAATCGTCCCACAGCCACACTCACCGCCTGGCCCACCCTGTGAATGGCTGCAAGCGTGCGCTCGGACTTCTTTGGCTTGTCTTTGTGGTTGATCAAAGTGGTGATCTGCAGGAATGAAGAAAGGGAAAAGATGAAGCAAAGGTTTTTTGTAGTTAGGAGGAGAAGGATGGCTACTTTCTCATGTCTTAGACTCCATTAAAAGTGCATTATAGCCAAACTCTTTTGCAGGCAACACAACTAAAATGAAGCTAGGTACTATCATGACCAAACATCCTGTAAAGATCCGGGGTAATAGTCTGTAAACAAACCAAAACTCAGGCTGCACAGCAAAGTGATAATTCATCATTATTGAAATACTGACATCCACTGTAAACACTGAAAAAGTCTGTATTTATCCTCCTCAGAAATAAAATTATCTCAGGTAAACAAGCAAGGCTTTCTCACACACATGTACAGATTTAGCACATTGACCTGGTTATATGGAGCATGCTTTATACTATTTTAATACAGAAGAATGAAGCTCGAGGTCGCTTTAAGAGACCTATGAGAGGAAGAGTTAAAAACAAAGAACAGCCAAAGACAGAGCAGATGATCTGCACGAAATCTTTCTATTTATTGCACTTCATATTGAACAATGCAACTGCACTCCACAAATTTCTTTCTTATCCTACCATCCTGGCATCGGTAATATAATTATAAAACTTGTAACTGCAACTTATATCACTTTTAGTGCAGGTTTGAATGGATCTGCAACATTGAAAAGCAATAAAAACAAACATCTTCATACTGAAAATGGTGCCGTTGGATTTCTTTTTCTTTTGCATTTGTTTAACAACTTCAACAAAAAGAGAAAAAAAAACATTAACTCATCCAAGTAATGCATTGTTTTCTTAGAGATACAATCCTGCAGGCTTCAGTGCAGCTTTTAGCTTAAAGCTTCTATAAGGGACTTTTCTTTATGTGCCCCCTGTGGACAAGTAGACCACCTCTCTTTGCTGATCTTGCTTTGCACATGTGTTGAAAGTGTTTTCTGACTAAAAAATCTCAAACAAATCACTCACTTTGAATTCTTACTAGGAATGGGCACGATAAATCAATGATTGATTAATTGATTGTGAAGAATTACGTCCATCACGCAAAATTTCAATTCAGCTAATAAAAGGCTGACAGCGTGCATCCATCCTCCCATCCTCCAGCTGCTTTCCAGCAAAGATCAACCTCTGTTGATGGGGAGAGATACCATCTTTGTCCAGTCAGTGTGTGTGTGTGTGTGTATGATACAGCGTCAGCAGGCCTCCATAGAAAACATTAAAGACAGCAATACCAAGTGTGGTATGGGACCATTTCGAGTGGAAAAATAATGAGGTTTGCAGAAAACATTTTGAAGTACAACACAACAATGATGTACCACTTCAACCACATACATCCAAATGAGGTTAGTGAATCCTATGAGTGCTCTCATCTCAACCATAGACTGTATATAGAATGGACAGAGTCTGCCTCCTCGCTGGGTGAAGCCACTCCAAGAACAGCACCCTCTGTTGATGGGCTGCAGTATAGGTCATAAATCCCGCCTCCGCCAGCAAAGCTGTGGACAAACTTTAGAAATTTATTACACAGAACATAAATTTTTCTCCCCCCTGCTTGTGATGTTGACATGTAGTTACAGTAAGACTGGTTTGTGCTCAAGTCCTCTTTTTTTCTGTGCAGCTCCATTATTAAAAGTTATTAGGGGGTTCATGTTTTCTGTGATTGACACTTGATACAGCCTATGGACGTTCAGGGATTGCGTAGCTCTCCCGGGGGATACGCAGTTTGAGCCGAGCATCATCAAAGCGACTCTCTGGGACTGCGCGGCCGAATGCGTGCATTGCTACTGCACAGCTCTGGTTTCAGGAAGTGAAGAAAAATCCCGGAAATACCGAGAGCTTTTTGGCTTCAAATCCGTATACAGGCGGTAGGCGGAACCAGGTTGTCCATAGTATATACAGTCTATGATCTCAACCCACCATCAGCTCCTTGCTATCAAGGAGGATCAGTAGGGTGACCAGACATCCCTGATTTCGTGGGGACAGACCGTTGTCTCCGATTGCTATAGTTGTCCCTGATTCTAGCGATTCATGAATGGGAGGGGGGGAATTCAATGTGGAAAATCATGTTTCGTATTTACTGTCATTTGCATAAAAACCTTGATCAAATCGATGTTTGATCATTCATTTATGTGATTTAATCGATCAAAGAACTTTCTTAAAATGCCCATTCCTAATCTTTACCCAGGACATGAGGGAAAAAGACCGTTCTGGTAGCATGCTGCTGATCACAACAGTAAAATGCATTAAAAACACTTCATAGAGAATAATCAGTCTTGTTGCTGATGGTCTTGTTTGCTTTTGTAGCTCTTCAACAGGCATAAGTATGAATTTCTCAGTTGGATAACCAGCTAGAAACTCCTCAAACAGGCTCTAAATCAACCTTTGTGGATACTCGAGTTTCATGTTGCTGATCTGCTATCATCACTTCTTGTACACAGTGAAATCATACTGTGATTACAGTGAAACGTGCGATAAGGGGGCATGTTGAGTCTGCAGTGCACACTCCACATACTTATCAGGGAAGCAGAGTTTCCCGCTACAAGTAGAGATAACATTTTGGCAAACAGCATGTGAGGTAGCTGAGGTAGAGCTCCAGAAAGCCAAGCAGATGGAGCAGTGGGTCTTCTGTGGCATACAGGACCAGTGGGTAGACCAAACCAGCTCAGGTGGGGACACTCAGAGGAAATTGGGGATATCAATTATGAATGTCTACAGCCAATTATCATTAATTATGTATTGATAGTCACCACTCCACCCAGTTGTTATCACTGTAGGTGCATGTGTGTGTTTCTGGGTGTGCTCTATGTCAAAGCATTTAGGTCGGGGATTGGCGGGTGGTGATTTTAATTGGTCCATGACAGCAGGCGGTCTGTGCAGGGGATCTTTTAAGGGGAAGTCTTTATGGGCTACAGAGCTCATGCTGGTCCCGCTGAGCTCAGACGGCTGTTTAAACGAGCAGCAGAGTGGCACAGGAGTGTAACACAATACAATACGGATGCTGAGTTCAGTGTTTTGAAAGGTGTGAGGAGATGTTTGTCAGAATATAATGATTCAACCCCAAGACGGCAGGTACAGTTGACAGGATTCCTAGAGGCGCCTCACAGGTAGAAAAACAAAGATACACTACTCAAAGATTCACGAGACTGTGCTCAAACATGCTGTTCATGGATTTCTTATCTGAGTTCTAACTTTATGTTGAACAATTGATCAGAGCAACTACCTGAGGAGAGCAGGGAGAGGAGCAGGAGGATAGAGGAGAGCAGGGAGAGGAGCAGGAGGATAGAGGAGAGCAGGAAGAGGAGCAGGAGGAGGCAGGTGTGTGTTTTCATGAGTGTCTGAAAAGCCCAGGGACAGAACGAGCACAAAGAGAGATTGAGGAAGACGTGATCACGTGCATGTATGAGCGCTAACCTTATAATAACTAGGGGCTGTAATCAACCAAAGAAATTCTTGGTTGACTAAAACCCTGACATTTTTAACCAAAAATCAACTTATCAAGTGATCAATTAATCCCGACTCTGACGGCAAACCCATCTGTGGCTTGGCGGAGCGTGGCTGAAAATATACTGATATCATTACAAGAAGGCAATTAAACACAGATATTATATTAAACAAACCACCGGACATTGATTAACGTGGACGCTCTTCAATCTTCCTGTCTTCAACCAGTCTCTAGGGATGCACCGATCCTATATTTGGATCGGATATCGGCTCCCATATTGACAAATCAAGTGGATCGAATATCTGATGAATGACGCCAATCCAGCAATCCAAACCCTTTTTTTCTTTCTTTAAATTCATATCATACACAGCAACACAGCGATTCTGTTGACTATCCTTTTGCACTAAATCAGGGCTGCACTATATATAGTTTGAGCATCATTGTGTGCACAACAGTCACATTGCAGAGCTTGAGATATAGGAGGTGAATGAACTCATCTAATTTCAAGGGTAGCTGACTGAGATACACAGCATGTGACTCTGCATGTGCTGTGCAGGGATCTCCCAATCACATTCTTCTTTACTCAGACACCAGCCGTCAATCAAAATCAGAGAGGAGGAAACCACGCCCCTGCACATGGAGTGAGTAGCTGGCACTGCTGGGGTTGTGCCAGGAATTACTTTCAGAACATTACTCATTACTGTGTAGCCCCAAAAATAAGAAGTGTATGAGTTTTAAATTGTTCATTTCTGTGGACCACTCTATTATTAGCGGTGCGTGTTTCTGCAAGGTGCATGCAATCCTCGGCGGGCATGCATTTCGCGGCCCAACACCGGTAACAACAACAACGATTGCAAAATGAGAAACGAACAAGAGAAAACCACAGAAAATGACTACTTGTTCCCAAAAAGAAAAGTCAGTTTAGGAATTATTTCGGTTACAAGAAGGATGATATCGACCAAAACACCTGTTCTGTGTCAGCAGTGCCTTTCATCTGTTTCCACAATAACGTCCCAGCACAATAAAAGAAAGCTAAAAATATCTATTAGACAGCCAGAAGCCATTCCAAACATTCACAAAAAGAGGTAAGATTAATTAATTTGTTACCTTTTTTTAAGAAGGTTAATGTCAAGCCTGATGCCTTCACTCACAGGGCAAGGTATACAGTTCATTCATTCAACAGTAGTATTGGATCAGTATTGGATATCAGCAAACACGCTCAGCCCAGGTATCGGTATCAGATTGGATAAAAAAAAATGGATCGGTGCATCTCTACTCCAGTGGGTTGGGCAAATCCAAAATGGGAAAAACAAGGGGGGTGTTCTGAGACAGGCTGTGACCTGTGAAACAGGGGTCCTCTGAAAACACCCCCACTAACACTTGGTACATTCCTCCTGATAAAATTAACCATAGACTGTCAATCAGAATTTTGATCAACTCAGCACATAGCGACCAATAAGTCGGCCAGTGGACTAGGACTATACAGCCCTAACAACAACCATCAAAAAAGTCGGCATAATTACTGATTTATAAAACTGAAGTGCTTCAGTGAGTGAGAGGGTTCCTGCAAGCTCATGATTAATCACACATAAGGACGACTCCTGAACCGTTACGAACCGTTCGAATGCCACAACACCAAATCCTTTCTGAGTCAGGAGAACCTCTAGCTCTGCTGCCCTGTGAGACCTGACCTACATCCACCCTGTACATCATTCATCATCTGCACTGACAGTTACATCAATACCACAGTTTCAAAGTTCTCTCGGCTGCTTTTGCCTGTGTTTAGCAGCACCGTGGAAAGCCTGTGTTTTTTGTTGAAAGGTACCCTATAGATTTGTAATACTCATCACTTTATTCTGCTTCTCCAGCTCACATCAATCAAACTTCATCTATATTTCTCAGACTTCTAACTAAAACCTGTTAAGATTCCACCTTTTCAAGAAACTCTTCAAAAATTTGTCGTTTGCAAGAGTAAAGCCTCCACCTCGCTGTCTGAAGGTTTCCTGCGTGTTTAAAAGACCTTTTTTTAGCTCTTCATCAGTTGTTTTTCCTCTACAACTATTATTCAGCAGCATGATCCTGGCCCACAGAGTGCTCATACAGCACTCCTTTTGTTCACTCACCATATGCATCATCTTTTATCTCAGTATTAAAGCTTCCTCTCCCGGGAACGCTGTGTTTTTCTCTGACTCATCCACGCAGGGTAGGCTACTCCGTGGAGAGAGGGAAAAAAAGTGGCTGGACATTACGCGGTCTCACACGGGGAATCAGGACATCATGACACATGATTCAGTCCTACGTCACAAAGTACGCTTGTTTTCTAGTCTTGTACCGTTAATCTTACACAACGGGCCTGACAAATGCTAAAAGTTAAGGCCACTGAAGAATTTGTCAGAGGACTTTTTGTGCCATTTCTACACTTGCCTAAATTCAGGGAAAGACCTAATTGTTTTCCTGAAGCGCCTGCAGCAAACAGGGACACTCATCAACACTGGCACTGATCCACAAACCTGTGTTTAAAGGGGGCAAGTGCATGAGAGAGGAACTCGAGCAGGTAAACAAACACAAACACCTTTAATGGAGAGCTAAGGCTTAGAAAAGGAGCGAGCAGAGGAGGAGAAAGTGTCTGAAAGAGATTGAGAATCAGACGTGGAGAAACGAAAGAGGGCCAGCAGATCTTCCTGTGTGAAAAAGCTCCCTCCACGCTGCAGCAGATGAAGTAAGTTTAACAAGTTTAACATAGTGTGTGTGTGAAAAACAAACACACACAGAGTGGAAAAAGTCTGTGTGTAAATAACAAAAAAAGAGAGCGGGAGAGAGAAGAGAGAGTACACTCTGCCTGGGATTTCCTCCATTAGGGATTTCTAGGTGGGTACATTTACTGGGCCGTGCAAACAGGAACAGAGTGGAGTGGAGAGAATAATATTGATACAGCTCCATCGCTGATGAGAGGCCGCCGTGTTCATGTGTGCAAAAGGAACTCGTGTTCTGGACAAATTTTATACCAACTTCTTTGTTCTTTATTTAGCCGGACTTTATTTCATTTTTTCAGCCTGCGATAGAAAATGATAATCCCCCTTAAATAAGTTAAAATGTACGACTCGTTTTCATAAATTGACAAACCTAATCCCACATTTTCTTTATCTGCTGGCTGCTTGTAATAAAAGTCTTCTTTAAGTCAGCGTGTATAATGGCTGGAATTTCTTTTTGTGCACTTGTGGGTGAAAATTAGAAAATTGTGACAAAAAATTTAAACTCAAACGGAATTCAGCATGTGACCCATTACCATGGGACATATTAGAGGTTGGTGCAATTCATTGATGTGTCGATGCACTGTGATGCTTCACGTGACGATTCGGCATTGATCAATTAACATTGGTGCTTTACATAAATAAATAGATAATGATGTCAACGCTTTGCAAAAAGGCCAGAACAAAAAACACTTAACCGGAACCTTACCGCACATGCTGCCCAGACTGTTTAGTGAGTGGGACCACAACAAGCAGAGCACGTTAGTTTCTGCAACTGTGTGGAAGTCCTTTGGATTTTATGAGCAAACAAGACGACTGACATGACCTATCTGATTTACAAGATTTGCAGAGCAAAAATGAAGTACCTCAGCAACACCAAAAACATGAGGCTGCACCTTCTACACTTTCATCCTGAAACAGAGAAGGCTCCTCCGGTCGTACCTGCCACACAGAGGACCATCCTGGAGACTGTCTCCAAACTTCCCAGTTAAAGTTAAGTGAAAATGTTTACATAACAGTCATACAGTCATAAAATGAAATATTTTGTATCTTTGATAAATAAAGTCAAATGTTAGAAAAACCTTATTTACTTACAAAGTGTAGTTTTAGAGGAACTGAGTTAATTGATGGGCTATTTATTACAAATGTAGCCACAGATGAAGACAAAATCAATCTAGGATGGAAAAAAAGCAGTAAAAAATGGCAATAATCGAAGAATCGTGGTACCCATAGTCGAATCAAATTGACAATCACTATAAATAGGGACTCGAAGCTCACATATTTAAAATCAAATCGAATTGTAGGGTACCCTTATTGGGAAACCCCTAGGACATAGCACAGTCCATAACAACAGCTTATAACAACTGTCAATCCATAACAACTGTGGTAAATAAGTTTTATGTTCAGTTTGATGGCCAAGTGTCTGTATGAAGAACTAAACATGAAAAAGACACTATTGCATGCACAGACCACATTGAAACTGTTCTTTCTTTATGTCTGTAAGCAAAACTGATTCCACTCAGGAACATTCATTTATATGCAGTTTTTGCTCACTTGACCTTCGCTTTTCTCACCCTGAGCTATGCATAAACTGCATGAATAAATATCAGCTATCCTGATGTATCAGAAGGTTATTTTCGGTTATCTGTTCAAAAAAAATCAATATTGTGCATCTCTTATCTTTAGCAACTAATTTCATCTCCTTACATACTCTTTTGTTCCTTAGATATTATTTTTGCGGCTGCAGCTTTGGGTTTTGAGCTCGGTTAATATGTGTATGTACAGAAAACAGTAGGTTGGTTTTAAAATGAATCCTACATTTTTGAGTAATGTTGAAAATCTTTGCCTGTTATTGTCATTAATGAAAGTCAGTAAATGGCTGATACACAAATAAAGTTAGAAAGTTAACTAATGTCCTGACACTGAGTGCCAGCTGTTACAGATTTGGACTGAGTTCTATAGACACGTTTCCATCTCCACCAAAAACATATTGAAATCTAATATTCAGCTTCCTTCCTTACAAACAGCTGCTCCGTCATTACAGCTGTCTTCAACTGCAAAGGTTAGGAGAGCACTGCTAATTTCACTGCGGTAAACTAATTTGGTAATCTCTCTTCTCATAGCATTCTTCATCTCTGTTTCACACACCCTCCTCTCCACTCTATGCCGCTGTGCTGTGCTCTGCTGCACTCCAGCAGAGTCTGAATGCCAATGAGCCCTGCCAACTAGCCTGCATCCGGCCCAAAGCCTCCAAACCCCACCAAAGGATTTACACGATAAGGAATCTGTGAAATAAGCACAAATGTTGCTTTTAGTGCAAAGTCAGACCGCCAGCTGATCTGTTTATTGACAAGACTAACCGAACATTTCCACCACCAGCAAAATCCAACTCCTCCCTGGGCTGTTTTGTTTCCCTGCTGGAGATGATGGATGAAATCTCTTTGCAGGATGCAGTTTGGCAGTAATATGATCCAGATAACAGGGAGTCAGAACAGCGTGGAGGCAATGTGGCACCAGAACAGGCATGTGGTTATTATACCTTCACAGGAGCCAGAGGCTGGGGGTGCTAGCTCTGCTAATGTTAGCCACACTTGGTAAAACATTTGACACGATTTACTGCAGACTCTGCTTACCCCATGTTTAGATGTATTAAACAGGTCTTGCTCAATTTGAACTGTTTCTGAGTGTTTTCTTACATTTAGACGAGTTTAAATTTCCTTCAATTTAAAGGACTCAGAAACAGGGAACATCTCCACCTGCTCTTTGTTGGTTCAGATCAATCCTATCTTAATGTGAAGCTTTTGTGATCTCCTTCATGCTGTAGGTCCCTCTGCAGTCATTGTTGCTGCTTTTGAGCTGCTTCCACAACGTGCATCAGTCTCACCTCTTTCAATCTCCCTCTTTGTGTATCCCCCTCTAATCCCAATGCAGTCACAGCAGATAACTGCCTGGTCTGCTTGCGGTTTCTGCCTGTTAAAGGAAGTTTTTCCTCTTCACCAGAACTTGCTAAATGCTGCAAAGTGGGGCTTAATCTAGGGCTGGGCAATATGGCAACAAATCAATATCACGATATATTGAGCAGTTCACCTTGATAACGATAAATGGACAACTCCACACGCTGCTCACCCCCTCCCACATTAAGTTCGTCTACTCCAGCCGCTACAACTTTTGAACCGTCCTCCATCTCCTCACCTGTCTTTCCCTCTTTGTTACGGACTGGATGAGGTGGAATCATGTCTCCAATGTAGGACAGCGTCTTAAAGGGACATGAGACCATAGCCTACCTACACACATCCAAAACCAACTTTTATTTTTTCTACTCTGACTATACTCATATGGGCAAAATGACGTCTGTTATTGTCATAAATTTCAGTACCGGTCAATTTTTGGTTTATTGCCCAACCCTAGATTAATCTGATCCCATCTTTACATCGGGTCTTCGTAAACAGTGTCGAGACCAGTTTTGTTGTAAATTGCCTTTTTATAAATAAACATTGATATGTTGTATGTGTTTTTACGTATTTTATCTTATTACTCATATTAGTTTGGTTGTATTTCCATTATATCTTTAACTGTCCTTGATTAAGTGTTAAACGGCCTAATGTGTTCAAAAACATTTATTAATTTTCCTTGTTGTAAAGTACTCTGAGCTGCAAAACTTCTCTACAAATCAAGTCTGTAATTATTATTATACATAATTATGATGGGCATATTCTGGGACTTGAATGGTTTTTGCTGCTCCTACAAAAACAGCTGTGTATAATCTTTCTGTGACTCTCTGTCATTAACACAGCATAAGCCCGTCCATCTCATTCTTGTAACTCTCTGTCCCGGTACACAACCTGTTAACGCCCAGCTCTTCACCTCTCATCCCTTTTGTTGTTCGTAATTAGGAGAACAATTACAAGGCCATAAAAATGACGGCAGCAGCTCACTCACAGCTCCACAGTACACTGAATAAAGCCCTCCTATTGGTTAGCAGGAAATCTACACTAACATCTCAAGGTTACAGCGTCTGGGTATAAATCTAAGGAAACAAAAGCTGGAAACATTTGTGGCTGCCTCCCATGGATACTGACAGAGTTTTAGTGAAAGGCTGACTGTGCTGGGAGAAAGTTTAGACTTATCTGAGTCATTCTTTCTCCCTGATAGTTTTTCATTGTCCTCCGCTCTGAAACTTGGATTGTGCAGTTGTTAACAATGCGTGGAGTGGTCGTGTTTGTGCAAAGAAAATCCAGTTTACCGAGGACAGATCAATTTAGCCCTTTTCAGATGGCGAATTTGAGTGCAAGAAAACCCTCGCAAGCGAAAGCAGCGAGATAAAAGTGATTTTGAACACCTCATCTTAGCGCCCAGCAGGGTTTTTATTAAACCCACATTGCGACCATTCATCACAGCAACTGCCTGCTTGTTACTGCCTTGCTTACTTGTCTAGTTTATATTTCTGTTTCTTCTCAGCCTTACTCAAACTGCTGAAGCACAGATATTTTTTTTTTATGCCTGGAGCCAAAACATGAATGAAAGTTCAGACTAAAAACACAGATCTAGCAGAGCAATAACAACAGATTGAGGCGTAAAATGTCAAAGATATCCAATGTGTAAATGAGGGGGTGTAAAACAAGGCCATCAATCCTTCTTCAGAGACAACACTGCAGGAACTAAACAGAGGTTTGTAAATTTCATGACAGTAGAAGAGTTTTCCTGGCTCCTATATAACAAACTTGGTTTGTTTCTGTCGTCTGATAACACAACCTCTGCAGCAGCATATCATGACCCACTCTGTTAAAATAAGCAGGAAAAAGACCACTTCCAGGTCTCATTTTAGTCCATTACAGCACAAAGGGATCATTGTTGCAGGGAGAGCTGCACCCAAAGGGGCTACGCTGGATGTTTGTCTTCTCCTGTAGGTGTACAGACAAGAATCTGAACTGTGAGTTTCTGTTCTTTCTCTGCTCTTTATTGGTGCAAGGACAGACATGGCTGCCTGTTCACTGGGGACACAGAGAGGAGGAAAAAAACAAAGAAAAAAGGGGATGAAAGTCAGAGTGAACATGCACTTTAATGGGCGAGCAAATTCCCTCCAAATTGGCCGCGAGCAGACGGGGGTTTCAATGCCGCGCTGGTCCAAAGCCAGACTGCAGTAGCGATATGAGAAGATGAAAAAGACAAGACAAGGGGGTTAGGAGGAGAGAGGATACAGACAGAGAAGGAGAGGTGAAGGAAGTGAGACTTACTCCTGTCTTGTTCCTTCCTCACTAGCATCACTCTTTCCTTTATCAAAGCCCCCCTCCTCACCTTCATCCATTTCTCCTCAAGCAGTTTTCTCTGTGTCGTGATTCAAGCCTGTCTCCAGAGCCACACTGCTGCGGTAGAGTACAGTGAGATACAACACTAGCAGCTTGTGATTTTTAAGCAGCATCCTTTGGGGTATACTGTAAAAAGCAGAAAACTGCAGGAAGAGACAAGAGTAGCTAGCAGCTAATACATTATTATACTCTCACACTGTGAACACTCATGAATCAGAATAACGCATGACCTTTCTTTCTCTTTCTTAAGTCTGGTGGACTAGGTTTGTCTTGAGGGGCTGAAATTGAAGTTGACAAAGCACACACTATTTAACAAATTGGTCCAAAAGAAAATGAAATGTTTTCTGGACGCAGGCTACGACTCCTGTCAGCCTGAACTGAACAAAAACTGAGTAAAACTTGCTGGGCCTGTTGCCAAATATACACTACTGTCCAGCAACAATGAGTGATGCCCAAATCTTGCAAATGTAAAGCTGCCCGCAGAGAAAAAGACAGAGAGTCACAGGGTCAGAGAGCAGAGAGACATTTCTCTGGTTTAACTTGTTAAATTGGAACCACAAGGCAGCAGTTTAATTCAGCATAAAGGCTGAGCTCAACTACATCCATATGTTGTCTTGACTGGTCATGCATTCTTTAGGAATGAGACACACAACGTACCTGCAAAGACAATACACACACTCAGAGCCGGGATCGAGCTACCACCAACAGGCAGAGAAAGTATGTACCGAACAAGTGACTGATAAAAAAGTTCAGCATCTTGCCCTTACCACATCTTTTCAAAACCTTAGACCAGGCGAGTCTGGGGATCCAGTAAACTTGGTCATCGCAATGTACTGAGGTCTTACTACAGATAGCCTGAATCCTGTTCAATAGAGGAAGAAAGCACTGTGTACGTGCACCATGCTCTCAAACAATATATGACTGTAATGAAAAAATGGACAATCAAGCAGCTCTAAAAGTGAGGCCAAAGTTTAGAGTGGGGCTGTAAGGTCCAACTGGTCGACTTATTGGTCAATACGTGCTGAGTCAACCAAAATTCTGATTGGTCGACTTGATTTTTTTCCACTTCAATTTACAGTCTATGGTTAGTTTCATCAGAGGGAACGTACCAAGTGCTAATGGGAGTGTTTTCAGAGCACCCCCGTTTCACAGGTAACAGCCTGTCTCAGGACACCGCCTTGTTTTCGCCATTTTGGATTCGCCCAACCCTGGAGACCGGCTGGAGACAGGAAGATTGAAGAGCGTCCAGAACGTTAATCAACATCTGGTGGTTTGCTGAATGATTATTTTTTGAGCATTTCAACTTTCATGTGAGTCTTCCTCTACCATTCATGTCAAAGACATCAACAGTGTGGCAGAATTTTATGGTGGATTAGGTTGTGTTAAATTTGCCTTTTTGCGCTGATATCAGTATATTTTCACCCCGCCGAGCCACGCTCCACCGGGCCGCATTAGTAATTGCCCCCTCCCTATTAGTCAAATTTTGGTTGAAAATTTCAGGGTTTTAGTCGACCAAGAATTTCTTTGGTTGATTACAGCCCTAGTTTACAGAGTTCTCTTAAATGCTGGCTGCAGCAAAGGTCAAATTTTTCCCAACCCAAGCTAGGAACATGAGTCAAACATCAAAATTAGGGATGTCAATAATTAATTAAGTTTTTTCATTGATTGTTGAGAATGTACTCCAACACACTTTCTCAGAATGTCAGGCAGAAATAGACGTCAAACAGTCTCATGTAGCTTAGATATGAGTGTGATGTTCCAAGTTTATTGCAAACCAACTGACTAAAGGTGTTGAGCACAGGTGTCACATTCAGCAGGGGCTGTAGCTGTCTGCGAGGTCCTCCCAAGCTCAATTTAGGGAGCAATACATACCAACCACCACTATGGACACAGACTTTAGAAACTGTACTCCAGGTCTAAACCCATCTTTGGATAGAGAGTAATGAAAAGTCAAAAGTAGACATATTCGTTTGATCAAGAAGAACGGGTATGCAGATATAAGGTAATTGGTTGTAACTCCACAGACAAAGCAAGCATGGCTAGGCAAGAAGGGAAAAGGTTGAAAATGTAGTTTATGAAGACTTTGTGCTTCTTTAACCCCAGCAGCACTTGTGATGATTTTCTATTTCAGGGAGTCAACAAGCTGCAGACACCGGTAATGTTTAAGAAGGAAAGGATCCATATATCACTATGGTCTCTGCAAATTTGACCAGTCTTATCAACACTCCCCAGGTTTCTCTCTTCATGCACGGGCCTGCTTTGAACCCCATTTCAAGGCAGCATCCAACTAGTAAAGCCAACTTTTGTCTTTATCTCTTTTTTGGGTGCGCACTCACATCCACCGGCTGAAACTTTCCTGAGATAAAGATAGAGTGCAGTGATTTGGCAGAGGTATCTGTGGCCCTTTAGGGTGATTGAACACAGATGGTTTTATCCAGCATGAAAGATAATTCCAGAGAAAGGATCAGTGTGTGCCTATACCAGCACAAGATGACAGGGATAATACCAGCTGATTGCCAAAGAGAGAAGCGAAGGGTGGAGAAAAAGGCTGCAGAGGAGGTGATAGAGGAGCGCAGGCACATGGAGAGCAAAGAGACACTTTGTGTAGCCAACAAACGTGTTAGCCCTATTGTGTATTTTTATCCAAAGGGTGAGCATATGAGGCTGTATGTGATGTGATTACTGATCTTTACATGAAGCTAAATTAAGATGACTATTTTAGTCATCTTTGCATCATCACATGAATAATTGATTATTTGTGCCAAGAGAAAAAATTGGCTGGAGACAAAAGTGGAGTATTTAGCAGCAAGAGTCAGAAACAACCAAATGCAGATGTGGGATGAGGCTGAATATTGAATATTGGTTTGGTCCATTTTTAGAACACAACTCCACACAAACGCTCAGCTTGTAAATCTTTTCAAGAAAAGTTGGAGATACAGTATGTGAACCTAATAAGATACAGATATTATGTTTACAGTTGGGCTGCCACAAGTTCAGATTTAGTGAACCTGAATTATACACAGATTTCTTTCCTGCATCGTAAACTACCCTTTTATTTTGAAGTAAATATCTTCTGGTAGATTATAAGTTACAGAGCTAAATGAAAAAGTTGGACTAACTATCAGAAAGTCTAAATGTTTGATTGGTTAGTACCTCAAAGAGACACAAGCTTAAACATTTTTTTTTCACGATTCATGATAAAAGTTTGACGGTCAGCTTTCTAAAAGTGTTAAATGTCACTAACAGCTGCTGCTTCTTTGTCTCCTATCTGTGTTATGACACATGGCAACCAGCCTTGGACCACTACTATGAAGTTGTGGTATAACTATAAACCTAATTTTAGCAGGATATCAATATTTGACTTTTTTTTAAAGTTTAATAGATGTTTTAGTTTATTTACCGGCTAATTTTTCCTCCCTAAATTGACACAGTAAAATGAAGTTCTGAGTTTGCTCTTCACCCTCGAGGTTAAAACCTAACATGCAAATTATGGAGCATGCACAGAAGGCTAAGAGCAGTTTTAGACAGTTGGAGGCAAATACATGGAGGAAAAAAATTGATCACTAACTTTATTATCAAGGTATTTTAGTCTGACTATGGAAAGTCAGTGCGATTTCAAAGTCCAGTTTCAGTCGGACTAACTCAATTGGTTGACTTTTTGAAGATGTAAACACACTGGGTGAATTTCAGTAGATTTGGTGAGTAATTTTACCGATGACTCTCTCTTTCATTGTCATGCTCCCCTCTTTCTAAGTAACTCACAGCTGGTAGCCACATAATGTGCTAAGATTGTCCCTTTTTCCTGTCTGAAGTCACACCACTGTCAAGAAACATGGTGGGTGACCAAGGTTACAGATCAAGAAACATGCACGTGATGTGGACCTCAGCCTGCTCTCTCGTGTATACGTGCTGACGCTGATGGAGGTCGACACCGAGAGTTGGTTGAGGTGTACGGAGGCTTATAGACACACAGACAAAGGTTGACAGACAGTAAAGACAACCTGAACCGCACACACGGCAGCAGTTGAATGAGTGTAGGATTTTATCAGATTGTACTCTGTTGGAGTTGTGTGAGAAAAGGGCAGAGTTTGGCCTTCAAGCTTTGGCTCAGCAATCACTGCTGACATTTGAATATGTGGACAGGCCGACTGAATCTGCAGCAAACATCAGTCTAAAGTTTAGAGCTGAGGAATAACAACTAGATGCATCTCCTGCTTGGCTACAAGTACCCAAGAGGTTTTCTGAAGTATCATATCTCTTTGGTGACTACATATTGTGACCTGTTTAAGCCCCTTTTTTGCACAGTCAGTTCAAGAAGGACTGTTACTTCTCACAGTCAATGTAAATGTCGCAAATGAGGTAAAGTCGCTCTAGTCCTGAGCCATGAAAACTCAGAAGAAAAACTGCTTTATGTGTTGGTATGAAAAGCTTGCGCAGCCTCTTTATGTTGAGCCTCTCCTGCTTCTGCAACAGCATAAAAAAATCTGTGAAAAATGCTGTGAAAAACCATTTCTATTGTGTGGTTCGATATTAAAGCACGAAGGCGGAGTGACAGCAGAGATTTGTTGCAGTGTTGCAGGCAGAATCTAAATCTACTGATAGACTGTTGAGATCTTTTCTACAGAAATCACAAGAAAGTCTCATTTCAAATCATCTTCAAGGAAATGAAAATGTTTGGCCTCATAACGTCTCGTATCCGACGAACAATCTCCTTAAAAGCTGATTGTTTTTTTAACCATGAGTGGCCTAACCATAACAGCCTCTACATGAAACAGCCCTTTTTCATATTCTCATCACACCAAAGTTGATGAGGAGTCCAATCCTCTTTGACATTTTATGCCAAGAAACCTGTCAGCTGCTCACTACAGGCAGTGTAAACAAAGTTTCCCTCTGGTTTTCTTCCTGTGGTCAGGAAACATTTCGTACTTCTCGTTTCTCAAGTTACTGCATGATGAAATATGTCTGCTCTCTCACTGAACAATAACAATTGTGCCTCTGCTTGCGTGCTGCGCAGAAAGAGGCCACACGTAAGCACTGCTGTCTAATGAGTATGTTAGCGGAAGCTGTTGAGGTCCTGGGCTCAGATCCAAAATCTTATGCCAAGCCAGTGCTGCGATGTAATGCGTTGTGTGCTATGCGGTTTCACTGGGCTACATCCCACTGTCAACATTGTACAGAGAACAAACAGTGTCTGTAAATATATCGATATATTGCAATGGCACTTTTGTCTCCAAATAAGCAGCCGATTGCTCCACAGACTCTTTTAGCTGCTTGTTGTCGACCCTGACATATATGATGACTGGCAAGAACATGTTCCTGCTCTTTTGACCACTGCGGCATGCCAAGGATGCATAGCTGCACAGCCCAGAGTAGAGGAAAGGCTACCACGGTAACACACGTCTGAACACACATGCACATAGCTTGCAGTCAACAGAGCACAATACTGCTTTTCATTCCTTGCTCATGTAATTCTCTGGATAGTAGGTGGAAAGGAGAGGGAGGGGAAGACAGACAGGCAAAGAGAAAGTCAGAGGGGAGGGGGGGGTCAACCAGGAAGATGAGAGATGTACCCCATACACAACGTGACCGCCGGGTCAAACTCCCTCTGGCTGTCTGCACAGCTCACCTGCCCCTCCGGGGTACCCAGGGAGGCATCCAGGAATGTACTGTCCAGGTCGGCATCCCAAGGCGATGGCTCACCTGGGCCTTCAGACCTACATACAGATGGTTTTCTTTGAGCCTCATGCCCGGGGGCACTCCCAACTTCGGGTTACCTAATGTGTGCATGATATTTTAGTATTTTGTTATGATGGTTCGAGGGATGTATTTGGACTTATTCATATTGGTGTCTATGAGATGCTCAGGTTTCGACTTTGATACTTGAGCTCAAGAATTACAGGCTAATTTTTCTCTCCATTCTAATTCAAATCAGATTCGAAATAGAAGAGAAAGCTTTCTGGCATGTTTCCAGGCTTCCAACTATACAGCCAGGAAGTCTTTTTTTTTTTTTTTTTTTTTCCTATGAAGTGTTAATTCCAAAGTTACTGAAGTTACAAGATTGGCACCAACCACTGCAAACAGGAAACCATCCTGGAGGCTGCAGCTCTGGACGTGCTCTGACCGGGCCGTTTAACCACCACACCTTGATTCATGTCAGAGTCGCTCACATCCTCATTACGCTTGCCAGTTCATTCCTGCTTCCAACAACAACTTTGAGAACAAAATGTTCACTTACTGCCAACCATTTCCCACCCACTGACAGACACCATAATAGGAGATGAGCAGTGTTATTCATTTCACCTGTCAGTGGCTATACTTCTGGCTGACTGGTGTGAGCACCCATTAGGGATCTTGTGCCAAAAAATAGTTTGTGGTTCTTAATAAGAGGTGACAGACTTCGAGCGGCAATAGTTCCTGCTTCCCAGAGGACACTTCCGGCCAAGCTTTCAACTCACTGTTTGACAGTCTTCACCAACTTTAAATGTGGAATCTCAGAAGTCAATTCCAACCAATTTCTTAAAACGTGCTGGAAAATAAGCCCCTCTGCTTTAACTGAAAACTGTGCCAGTCCAGCACTTTCACTCTGCATTTCTGCACTTGGAGGACGAACGCCCTTTTCCAGCTAAACTGTCATATCTGTTCTCTCTGCCGTTAAATCTCTGCAGGTGACCGTGACTCCCCCGTTAAAGCTGAGGTGGCATCTAACCCCACAAGAAGTCAACAGAAATGTTTGCTCCCGGCTCTTCGTATGAGTCACAGCGCGACAACGTGTCAAAAACTATACTCATTCCCTCCCTTTCCAGCTTTTGTCGCACCCAGGCACAACGGCAAGTGCTGCTGCAGCCTGCATCATCTTTTTTTTTTGTGATGGGAATTCAAGCTTGGCCAGATTAGCTGAGTCACCAAGAAGGATCCTGACTAAAAGTAATAAATGCAGATTTTTTTTACTGAACAAAGCACTTATTTCAGTCAATCAATATGTTAAATTTAGCTCTGAGTGAAAGGTAGGACTTGCAGGAATGAAAAGAGGGGTGGAATAAAAATTAATGCAGTGTTTCCCTTAGCTCTTTCTTTTTCGCAGGGCGGGGGGACGACATACGATGTAGACATAAGTCACCTCATGTGATGATGTTCAGTGCTTCATGAACAGTTTTTTTATTGTTTTTTTGGCAGCAAACACTATGGAAAGGAGCAAGAACCCCAGGTTGTCAAAACCATCCTGCGCAAAACTGTCAGGGTATGAGTGGCAAGCGCTCAAGACCAGAACACCAAAATCAGTGGTGCTGACATGCCACGCCTCTGAACTATGCGGTGCGGCGTGTCAACGCGTGTATGTTGTACGATTGAGAAAGGAGTAAGTGGAGAGCCCTGCTCATCGCAGAGGAGCGGAGAGGTAATTTTTTCTTGAAAGTAATGAATTAACTGGGGCACACAAACGGCCGAATGGGTTAGTGCGCCCCATGTATGGGTCCCCACAGCGGTCGCGGGTTTGAGTAAAGCCCTGACCATGTGCTGCATGTCCTCCCTCCTCTCTCTTTGTCTCCCCACATTTCACTCTGTCCTATCGATAAAAGGCAAAAATCGCCCCCCCAAAAAAGTAATGAAACAATTGCTAGTTTTAGAGTCTGAAATTGTGTAAACTATATTTTATTGGCAGTTTTGCTAAATACATATATATATGTATATACTTATATATATATATGAAACATATATATTAATCTACGACTTCAATTTCTGGTTTGGGATCTTGTTGGCAAGGTGGAGGAACCGTCAGCGGGGGGGCACCCTGCCAAATACACTACAGGGGAACTGTAGCACTGTAATGCTATGAGAAGAAGTTGCCTTAGCTACTACTCAGATAGGACAGGGTAATTTGCTCAATATTGGAGTAATCTTATGGTCAATTAGCTCACTTATGTGAACCCCATGTGTAAAGCAAAACTAAAGCAATGAAGGAGATTGTAAAGTTGGCTCACAGCAGACAAATACAATCAACTCAGGTCATATTTTCCGCGGGACCATTCCCTGTCAAATAAACGACAAATATAAACCCACTTATTGCCTGGTTTTACAGCTTGGCATCGATCCTTGGTGCTCTGCCATGGTTCAAGTGGCCGAAGCATCGCTGAAATCTCTCTGAAAGAGCCGGATTCCCAAACAAGAGGGATGGAAACACGGCCCTTTCCAGATTACATATTTGTGATTGTTTCACATGAAGAGGAGCATTCATCTCCAGGGGCTTGGAAAAGAGGAGTGCTTACCATTCATGTGCCACAGCGGAGTTAGTGTTCCCACTCAGGAAGTCAAAGAGAGAGCAGAACAGACTGTGTTACCTGGTACTCCATCACGGCTGTCTGGAAATAATGGGAAATCTATCAAGTCTTAAGTGGGCCCAGTGAGGGTGCTGAGCAGAGAGATCGCCACAGTTAGTTTGACCTGAGCTCGCTGCAGTTCAGCATGTGACGAATTTGACAAGCAAAATTAAATCAGTCCTCAGTTTGACTCTAATTCCCATGATACACTTCTATCCCAAAGCTTAATTCCCCCATGAGTCAAAGCTATTCTTGATACTTGAGTGGATGTATTAGTCACTGGAAAGAAAAACACATTATGGGACCTCAGTGACTGTGTTTGTTAGTGCACCGACAGTAACACATAATCTACAATGTAATCAGGCCGGCTGATATGAGGTGCAGGAAGCCCGGAGGAACCAGCAGCAGCTGATAAGAGTGAATGATAAACCTGAGGGAGGAAAACAGACGGACAGACAGTCAGACAGACAGTTGTGATGGAGAGATAGGTGGGAGGGATGGCAGAGGGTACACAGTAAATAAGGAAGGAAAGTGGACAGCTGGGAAAAGATACAGAGGAAACAAAGCACGAAGAGACCCCGCCAGTTCACTAAAGTGTCTACAAACTGCTCTCTTACATCGGAGATCAACACCAGGGTTAGACCAGGCGGTGACGAAACGGCGCTAGTAAAAGTGACCTCTGATTTAATCGTCCTTGCTGAGGGGGAGCAGACAAACACAACATGGTCCTGGATCAATCCTTGCTCTCTTAACCACCCGCCAAGGTTAACCGAGGCGGGACGGGGGAGCAGAGGTAATCGATCTTCCCTGTTTTGAAGGGAACCAGACCGTGACACCAACTAGTGCCGTGGTTCACAGACCGTTTTCTCTTCAAATGCCTGCACAGTCACCACTGGGAGGAAAGTGAATAAACAAATCTGATTACAACTCATTTAATGTTCATATCGAGTTATGCACCACAAAGAGGACTTTCATGAGTGGGATTTCAAAGCAACGTCTTATCAGAGGACACAGGCGATCCCTTGCAGCCGTGCCCTGCAGACAGAAGATGAGGAAGTTGGTTTCCCTTAAAGGACGGTTCGACTTCTTCCATAGACCAGGGGGACCATAGACTGTATACGATGGACAACTTGGCTCCACCTTCTGTCATTATACGAATTTGAAGTTGAATTTCTCTCGGTATTTCCAGGATTCTCTCCACTTTTTGAAACCAACATCGCACAGTAGTGTTGTACGCATTTGGTGGGAGAGTTGCGGCTAAAACAGCGTATTCCCTGGGTGAGCTGCGCAATCTTCATACGCCCATAGGCTTTACCAAGTGTCAATCATAGAAAACATGAACCCCTAATAACTTTCAAAAATGAAGCTGAAAAAAAAAAGAGGACTTGAGCACAAACCAGTCTTACAGTAACTACATGTCAACAACGCAAGCAGGGGGGAGAAAATTTTTTATTCTGTGTCATTAATTTCTAAAAAGTTTGTCCACAGCTCCATAGGGATTGCTGTGGAGGTGGGATTTATGACCTTTACTGCAGCCCGTCACCAGAAGGTGCTGTTTTTGGAGTGGCTTCACCCAGCCAGGAGGCATACAGCATCCATTCTATATACAGTCTGTGGGGATGACACAATGCTCCAGTCAAGTGTTTGTACTCCAACCTGATACAGCTTTACAGCAACAGAGGGAAGGACATCATTCAAATCTGGTGACATATAAGTTTCTCACTTATATTATAGCATCTCTTGAAAGCTCTGATTCTGCCCAGATAATCTATAAGACTGCTAACAATGAGAAAAGGGCTTTACTGCACTTGTTATTAGCAACAAAAACATTTCAGAGGAGGTTCTGGGGTCAGATAAAAAATAAATCGATAACTCAAAAGTGTTTCCCACGGTGCTTCATTAGTCCATCCTTCGCCTATACTGTATGCTTGAGATGGGCTGAATGCTTTCTCTTCAAATGTACCATTTCACCCAGTAAGTGGGTGAGGATGAAAATGATGCACCTGGAATGACGAGCTGAGCTGCCAACAATGGAAACGTGTAATTTTAAGGGTTTAACAAACACATTTCAAAGGCAGCGAGTATCTAAAAATATAAATCTTTCGACTCATCTAAAAAAAAAAGTTGAATAATGTGAGAAACAATTCAAAGTTTAGTCAAGAGAAAATGATCAGGAACCCGAGGTGTGATGAAACTCCACAAAACTTAACAAGGACGGCAAAGAAAGGTACTGACAGCATCCATCTTTTTACTTGGATCTCACTGTTCTTTTCATGAATCACCGTCAAACAGAAAACAAGACAGCCAACCTGACAGCACAGGCATCTTTGATCTGAGCTTCTTTTTTGCAATAAAACTAATAAAAACCCAAGACGAACCGTGATATCAAAGACATCTCTGGCCCAGGCAGCAGGGCAATGCAAATGAGATCCCACCCATTTGGAAAAGTACACCACATGCAGTTACACATTTCTTAGGGCAACACTGGTCTCTTTGTTTAGCAGAAAAGCAGGTTACCTCACAGAGACATCTCCTTCATACTTTAGCCAGGGCATCAATCTTTTACAGGGATATGGCAGATGTTTAATTTGGCAAGGTGAGGTAACAAAGAAGCAAAACATTGAGACATTACATATTACATCTCCGTGTGAGGTCTCCAATCTCAGCTGCTGGCAACACTCGGTGGAACTTTCATAACTTCCACAGAGCGTGCTTCATTAGAAAACCTCTAACCTCCAGAAAGCCCGGATAGTCAAGCAATATCTCATTTCCCCTTCTGAACTTTGTCATACAATATTTATACGTTAATGCAACCGGTCAAGAAGGAGAGAGGGAAGAGAAGCAAAAACAATCCAGGCAAGGTTTTTATTTGTAGACTCGTCCTGTTTGTGATGCACATAAACTGGCCAAAATTTGCAATTAATGAATAACTTCAAACTACAATCAGTGCAGACGGCACATGAGCAGACAAGGTCTGAAGAGCCAACTGTGAAAAAAGGTTCATCCTTTGGGTTTAACAACACAAATCAGACTCACCTCACAAAACTAGACCTTCAAAAGAAACAAGGAAAAGTACACAAGCAGAATTTCAAAAAAAGAAAAAAAAAACTGACCCTGACCAGAAAAAACCCAGAGTACAGCTCTTACTTTGTTCTTGCTGCTTAACTTTGATCGTCTCTTCTCTGTGATTTCTTTCTGTTGTTGAAATTTGATATGAAAGCACTTGAAAAGGGCATCCTCCAGTTACTGATGAGGCTCTATTGTAATCACACTCTGCTCCCTAATTATTGGGCAACCATTTAAGATTGATGAGAACCTGTACAAAACCCAAACAGGCTGACCTGTAAATCAATGCTACTTGTCCGAGTCTGATCACCAGATCTATTATCACCCCACATCATTCAGATAAGACTTAGGATCCTTCATAGAGTTTCATCTTTGGTTGTTCAGTTCAAGCATTTTTTCTTCTGCAGCTCAGGTTGCAGTTCCTAAAGCGATTTTTTAAGTGTGCAAAAACACAAATTTCTAACACGAGCTAGGGCTGCACGATTTTGGCCAAAAATAAAATCCTGATTTTTTTGTCAGAAAACCTGATTTTCAATTTGAAATAGCTATTTCTTTATTCAGTGACAACTTCACTAAACTTCACTTTAATAAGTTTTTCTATCATCCCTCAAAAAGAAACCACTGAAAAAAATGTAGTGCATATGCCAAGCCAGTAAATGGGGCTGTAAAACTGTAGAGAAATTGCACAACAGATAGAAGAAGAGTATGGACCATGGTTTTATATATATATATATATAGTTTGCTGTGTTTTTTTTACATTGGTGTGTGTGGGAACTCATAGCCTGCTGGAGAGGCAGGCTATGAGACATGATAGAGATAAAAAATTGATTTTGTGATTTTAGTTTTCTTGACTTTGTCATCATCAAATAAACTGTTTACTATTTAAAATTGATTAATCATGCAGCCCTAACATGAGCATGATTTGAATTTTGTTTTTGTTGCTTTTTGTCACTTTGTCATCGTTTCCAGGAGCAGGACATTTTAGCTTTGGATGAAAAAAAAAAAAAGGCGTAGGGTCAGTTTGAGACTCGGTTGTTCAGTTTACAGCCTGCTGTGATGTTACTTTTGCATCGCTCTGTGAAAAATGATGCCGTGAATAAGAGGAAAAATTGCCGATGTCAACTGGCAAAATGGTAGCTGACTGTGGGTCATTTCGAATCATTGACTTTCAGGAGGCAGCCTTAACCATCAACTGTGTTTGTTTAACAGGACTTGAATAAAATCAGCCCTGAGGCAAAATACTGTGGAACAGTCGTCTCAGTCTCAGCGACTTGAGATTACTCTGGCAGGATGCAGCACTGACTTGAACGGCCTTATACTAAAGTCCCTCTGTTGAATTCAACATACCATGAAGTCGACAGACTGCCTCCACCAGCCGACAGTAAAAACCCAAGAACCGAGACCATGGCAAGTCGCCCCCCTCAGGTCGTCACCACGCTGAGCCCTGTTTAATGACCGGGTAATTATACAAAGTCCTCAACAGGATAATCCTAACAGCTCGCCAACTCAGGCTGGAAAACATTCCATCAGTCATCATGATGGGTAATTACAAGTAATGGACAAATAATAGTGTGCGGTGAACAGTGTGTGAAAGTGGCTTAACCAGGCTCTGTGACAGCCTCCCACAGGCAGCGATAGCATGTTCTGCAGAAGAGAACAGACGGACTGCAGTGGCTGCTGGGACGGCAATGACCTAACGCACCTGACACAGAGAGACTGGCTCGTCTCAGAGGAGAAGACTTGTTTTCCTTGATGAATAGGCAAAGTGACAAGGAAAAATGAGCTTCTGTCTCCCATTGAGGCGCAAATCGAATCAAAACTAAAGCGTCCGACTTGAGAACAACATAATTCTGGCGATCTACCTCCAAGATTCTCGCCCTCCCAGGTCTTAGAAACCTTTTTTTTTTCTTTCTCAGATGAAAAGAAAGGCGATGGGAAGATACGACGTCAGGTGTGAAAGAAAGTCAACCGCGAACCAACCCCCAGAGGAAGAAAAGAAAGATATTCCCCAGAAGTGGACTTGAAGGTTTGACACTGGAGAAGAAAGAGACTTTGAGAAGTGAACGGCTACATGAATAAATCAATAAAGTGTGTCAAACCAAACATCAAAACCCTAAATTCAGAGGCATAGTAGCTGAACTGGATGATTCATTGATGAAAGTACTGAGTGGAGGAAGACGGTGAAGTCAAAGCCCTCAGGGGGAGACAGGAAGTAACTCATGCATACCAGCCAGTACAGCGTGTGCAAAGGTCTTCACCTCTGAAGCTTTGACCTTTGACCCTAGCTGTGACAGTCCTATAAAGAATACATGGGCAGGATTTCAAACAGTGTTCACACTAAACATATTGTAAGAGATGGAAATATGAGACTTGTGCAGGAATGCAGCCCCCCTGTCTTCAGGCAGATAATGGCCTGTGTTGTGACATACTGACTCTCTCAGACACATTTACAGGGGGGCTTCAGTCACATACTTTCACTACATAGCATATATGAGTGTCTGGCAGGTAGTGGGGCTCTGTTTAGACCTGAGATACCATTAACTTGAGGGAACCACAGTGGTCTTAAGATCAAATTCAAGCAGGAAAATAAAGACACCTTAAACAAGGAGTTTGAATGTCTAAATATAAGTCGGGATGGGAATCGAGAAATGGTTCAATCCATTGACATCATTTACATTTTATTTGAACGATTCCCTTCACGATTCCTTTCTTCCAGGTCCCTCAAAATTTCGCACACAAGTCCGCCCCCGCGTAGAAGTGTCCTCTTTTTGGGGATTCAGAAAATGGTCATCCTAACATATGTCCTTTGTCAACGTAAGTACAATGAATGCCAGAAATGCTGTACAAATAGCGTTTTTGTTTGATTGTTTTTTAGACTCACTGAAGGTGGCATACATTTTTTTCTGTTATCAGAGACTCAATAAAATTTTGAATTAATGGTGAAAACCTAGAGTACTTTTTTTTTTAATCAAAGAAAGGCATTGATAAGGGAATCGTTAAAGAATTGAATCAATAAGCAGGATATTGATAAAATCTTATCAATTCCCATCCCTAAATATAAGTTAAGATTTCAAATAATTACCGAGTCAAAGAGTTCCTTCAGATAACGGACATGCTCTGGTGTCCAGAACAACCACATCCTTATTTATAGAAGGTGAGTGACTTTCACTTATTTATAGGGGTTGGCAGTGAGGGGGGGGTGTGTCAAGTGCTGTGTTTTACCGGTTGGCTGGTCCTCAAGCTGTCACCACCGGCTCCAGTCACCCAGAAACAGAGACAAAACCAGAACACCCTCCCCCGCACTAAAGGGGTTTGTTATCAAGGGTTTTTAGGACCTCGATCAGGGACGAGAATCACAAGGTTTGAACAACGGTAAGTAAGAGTTACTAAATCTGAAACACTCTTTCAAGAAGGTATATTTCTGCACACGGGGCTGACTCTGCTTCTTACTATTGAATTTGCTGGTAAATTTTGATTCCCGAAGAGCCAGGGGTAGCTGCTGATGAATTTTTCTCAATTGGAGGACATTAGCTTGCATTATATACACCTGAACCACCTGAAGATCCTTCCTGCTCTCCAGTTTGCATAAAGGCTCCCCTTTTGTATGTTTTTCTTCTCTGTAAACCACAGTTAATAAAGGAGTCCACGAGTGTCCACAGTAAACAGCACCTGAACAGCTGATCCGTGCTCTGCATGCAGAGGAGCGCGTCTTTGTTGTGTCTGCAAATGGTGCAAAAACAAACAGGCGCTCTGAGGGGAAAGTGCTGAAAGATTTCTCAGTATTGGTGGTTGTTGTATTTCTTAGTACTTATGTGGCAGACTTGACCCCAACTGCAGACAACCATAGCATACATAGTTCCCTGTTTCTACTGGTGGTTTCTCATGAAATACAATAAATACATTTACCAATGACGTGTAACTTTAACTTAAAAAAAAAACACTGAATGATCCCTTTAAGGAGAAGCTCATTTGGAAAATGCCCAATGTTCCTACTTTGAATTTAAGCTACTATTAAGATCCAAACATGTCGACCAAATCATCTCTCAAACTGGCAAACTGGTTTCTATAATTGGTCAATTAAAGAGAAATGACAGTGCTGTGTTTTTTTCTTCACAGCTGCTGACCAGTTATTAACCCATAGTCCCACTGTCGGTGCAAAAGGCCTGTGAAACTCTGGCTACCTTCTCACTGCTGCAGTTTCTGAAAACTAAACCAATGTTTTTTTAGAGGCAGTGTACCATGTCTGTGAAATCTTGCCACTATCAAGTGAATTGATTTGGGTTTGAGTCTTTTTTGTGTGTGTTTAAGATCTTATCAGCTTACGGTTTTTGCTTTCAAACACACCGCGTCAGCTTCCAAAAACATTTCCCCTGGAGAAATGTGACGAACCAACAAAGGATGGTGAAGTTCCCATCATTCTGTGTGAAAGAGAATCAGGCTCTGCTGGTTATGAGCCGTCCCCACTACTGTTCTCCAGAATAGATGCAGGACTGAGGATTAGGTCTCAGTTTACAGCAGTGGAAAAAAACAGCAGGTAAAAGATCCTTGGAGAAATGTTAAGACTGAACTTCTCAGCTCTTTCGCGCTACCTTCACCCTCAGGCTAGGTTTTCAGCAGGTTGCCAATTTAACGAGGTGACACAAGGACATTGTTGCCTCTGGGGGGATCGGGATTAAACGTGAGAAAACAGGGGGCTAAGTGAAGAGAGAGAGATTGGGAGAAACTTAACACAAGACCCCAGACAGAGTGCGAAAAAGCAGGAGAGTTAGGTGTGTGACAGGAAAACAGAATCAGGAAATTGGGCAGAGCAACAGAGGAAGGTCGGGAGGCGTACAAACAAGGTGCTCTAGCATTGTATGTACAGATATTTCCCCCCAGCAACAGCCTGAACCACGTGTCTGTGGATTTTATCACTTCAAACTCAACCTGATATTGATGCAGAAGTTTTAATTGAACTTTAATCAAATATCTTTATAAATTGGCACAGAAACAATCCATCTATGTTACACCATCTGAAGAAGGCTGCAGCATTTAGTATCCTAAATTTCTCAATAATCAGAGTTAGAAAAAAGATGAGAAAACATTTGGTATCCTGCGTTCCCGGTGTCCTTCACACTCTCTTTGTTCCGTCATGTCAAACTTCATCTCTTTAAAGGAACTCATTATCGGGAGGGGAGAAGTTCAAAGACGCTCCAAGAAAGTAATTAACACATACAAGCCAGACTGCAGGATTCCTCTGTTGTACAGCAGCTGTGATGCTGCTGGAGAGGCAGACAAGAGCAAACATGATGCACATCAGATATTTCTATTTTACTTGACCGTAAGAGGTGAAAAAAATCATTACAGAGCTTGTAAGGATACACCCCTAAAGGTATTATCCCACATATCTGAATCCACACACTTCCCAAACCTTCCCCCCGTTTCTTCTAAAAGAAAAACTCCTTTTTTGTATTTTGGAAATGTTTTTATTTCCTCTATGAATTATGGATGCGATGGTAGGCCGGTGGGAGTTAGGAAGTTATCCTCACAGGATCATGAAACTGATTTATAAAGTAAGGGTACAGCCTATCGCAGAGCAGAGGTTTTTAGAGTGTAATGTTGGTCTCCCCAGTGGGGAGTGAAAGGGGCGTGTAGAGGGAGAGACATGAGGAGAAGATACCACCTGACCTGAAATGCAAGTGAGGTTTTTTAGGGTACAAAAAAAGTCCTGGAGGCTGAAAAGAAAATTCATTCAGAGTCAGACTCATCCTCATGAATACTACCTAACTGCTGCAGCTATCTGGATGTGAGGTGGGGATGTCACATCTCTGTCTTTAGGTCCAAACTGCAGTCTAGGGAAATGAAACTATTGCAGATGTGCAAAATACTGCATCTCTCAGAGTGTCCACTTTAAGCTGGCTGCAGAAACCACATAGACAGATTACAGCCAGGTTCTCAGATTCAGTGACATCTGGTTTCACCACATATCATTATTTATTGGGCTCTATTTTCGTGTCCAGTGGCGACGCGGCGGAGGGTGGCGGACCCCGCGCAGTGGTATTTTCATCTGGCGGAGCACGGCGCACTGCCAGTTTGGTATTTTCGTGGACTGAGGCACACCGTGGTCCGCCAAGCTGGGCGTGGCAGGGGGAAGTGTCAACAGAATCAGCTGGCGCAGTGACATTTTCGTGCTCGCCGCCGGCGTGTAAAGTGCACTGAAAGCTCGCCGATTCAAACCTGGCCAGCTTCCAGCGCAGGCAGAGGGCAGCTGGTCTAGTGGTATTTTGGTAGACCGACGGCGTAGCGGCATACGTCACCCATGCCTCACCGGCAGGTTTCCACAGTGTCAGGCACATTTCAGTGCAAAAAATAATCATCAACAACTATTACTCTGAGTCAGCACATACATTTAGATCTACATAGATATATTCTGATCTATATCCGATCTGATGAGCGCGTTTGGCACGCGTTTGGACACTCAACCTGACCAAACCAACACAGCTGAAACCGCATTAAATTAAATTTAATATCTAGTAAATAAACACACATGATGAAGTTAACAAGATATGTAATTCGTCTCCCTCCTTTTCTTTCTTACTCTTCCTGTTATTTCCACGCAGCTCAACCTGGACATGTCTCCGTGTCCTCTCTCCGTCCTGCAGCGGCTGAACAGATGATTTGTTTCAGTGATCAGATGAGTAATTTACTTTAAGCCTACATACGAATATTATAATATCCAGTTTTGTGGGCCAAATTTATTTTATATGCCAACATCTATGAAAGAAACAGCCAGGCCACGGAGCGAGATGTGTCATTTACGCACAGGTGGTTCCGGACCTGACTCAAGCCTCGCCTGCACCACGTCTCCGGCGAGGCACGTAAATTGAGCCGTTTATGTCAATGGTACATTAGAAGTTGAGAGTCCAACCAGAAACCCTCCGAAGCTACAAATATGCAGCAAAAGCAAAATAACATAAAAGCTGTAGTACCCCAGGTGTCCACTTGAGGCTGTCTCCAAAAGCCTAGTTCCTAAACTGCTGAAACACATACAGTACAAAACCTCAAGTCGAGATAGTTCCCCCTACTACAATCTTTTGACCCATCATTTTATGTTTTTTTTCACTCTCTCTCTCAGTCGTCAATGTTTCCCATCTTCCCCAGTGCTCCCAGAGCTTCTCCCATCAAGGCGTAGACTCAGTATTGTCAACAACTGTCCCAGTCAATGTCATGTTCAGAGGACCGGAATGATCACTCCCCTGTGCCAAGAAACTGCCAACAGTTAGGGATACAAACAGTCGCCTGCCAAGTACTATGTGTTTACCTGCGGTTGTCCAGGCAGCAGACAATATAGATACGCTGTCTGATATCTTTGGCAATACATGATAGGCTGAGTGGGAGGAACCATGCCTGGAAGATAACAGTAAGGAGGCTGTCCCTTCACACTTTGAAGTCTCTCCTGTCCTGACAGCAGCTTGAGTAACACTGCAAAGACCAGCTTTATATGTCTCTGTTAGGAGGAAACTAGGTGAAAAATAAGACACTGCTATCCATCAGTTATGCCCTCTTTAACAGCACGTTACTATTATATTACACTCGATTGTAACTGGCATCCGATAAAAAAATCAGGAATACTTTCCAAACAGGTTCACTTTCACCAACATCTGCTGAAAACCACTAAAAAATGAACTTAGAGTTAGGAATATGATTCATGTTTTTGATGCAAAATGTCAGGCGGCTTTTTTGAAAACTCCTGCCAAGAACTTGTGGTTTGTGTCACTTTTGGCGCCCCTATGGACAGAACGGTCTTCATCTATTTTAAAGACGTCAAATGTATCATTCTTTTTACAGATATCAATATGTTCTTACTATTAATCAGTTATGTTTGCTTAATTATTTTTCAATGTTATGTTTTTGGTTTTCAAAGTAAGGATCTCCTCTCTTACATCCTCTGCCTCTGTAAAGCTTTTCACCATTAAGAAAGAAACAAGGAAAGAGAGGCAGAAGGAAAAGAAGACAAAAAGACAGGAAGAAAGGTGTAAAGAAAGAAAGAAAGAAAGAAAGAAAGAAAGACAGAAAAGAATATAAAAAGACAGGAAGAAAGGTGTAAAGGAAAAAAAAGAATAACAATAATAAGAATAACTTTATTAATCCCCGAAGGGAAATTCAATTGTCTGTTGTCTCACAAAATACAAAATAATAATAATAATAAAAACAATAAAATGATAAGAAAGAAAAACTGTTTACACACCCTGCTAATAAAGAAACACAAATACTGATCATTGTAGAAATCTTTAGTACCCTTACAGTTTAGCCTGTGGCTTAAATTCTCTTTATTTCACTTTACAGTTTATAACCACCTCACTCAAAAATATGCTCATCTTTACGATTTGGTGGTTACCTCTTTGGGTCTGAAAATCTAACATCCTGGAGAAATCCAAAAACCACATCCCCGCCCTGCACATTCACTCTAACTCTAACAGGAAATCTGCTGTGCAGTTCCCCTAAAGTTCACAGATGGCCTCTGTGTGACTGCAGACTAATTAATGTCAATAACTATGTCCTTGTCTGTGCTGCTGGGCGTGAGCTCATGCATCTGTTTTGATCCGCGGGGTGCTCTCGGTTAGACTGGACAACACAAAAACACCACGCTACATTAGGCACCACATCCCCACTGATAGAGATTTCTGTCTGAGCACAAACACTTAAGAGACATCCCATTACCATCTCACAAGGATAATAAACTCAGATTATACTGTAAATATAGGCCTGTAATGGGCTGCACAGCCACTTGATACTAAACAAGAATGCTAAGCCTCTAACAGCACTTGCAGGCCTTTGGGGAGCCTTTGTATTTATAGGCTGGGCATGCTTAAAAGCCATTCAAACAGGCAGTTAAAATTAATTGAATTGAATGCTCGGAGATAACAGACCTAGTTTTTTCTTTCAGATTACTTCTTTTAAAAGGAATCCCAACACTGGATATCTCAAACCTGGCAAATTAGACAAACTTTTCGTGATACCAAAAGCCACTAAAGGACGGACTATTTTCTGAAGAAGAGATGCCTGAAATTGCTTTTCACTCTCGGTGGACACACAATGATGCCACTTTGAGACCCTTTGATAATGGGAGGGATGTTTAATCAATACTTTATCAACCTCCCAGCTTACTTCTAAGTGTTAGTCAGAGGCAGAAGCTTTCCTGCAGACAATTAAAAGTGGCTATCACTATTAGGTGCTGCCGCCTGATAACTTCATGTTAAAGGGTGAGATGGCTTTTTTCACCATCAAGTTGACAGTGCTGTTCTTTCCAGGTGAGTGATCCCTCTAGGCAGGGTTATTTAGAGGTTTCCCGAGCAATAGCGCACAGAAACAAACACAAGACCTACACATCGTTCTCCAGTAGAAGTAGATCAGCGGGGAGAGGTCAATGGACCCGTGTGTGAGGCGGACCCTTTTATCGGCACTTAAAGAGAGCAGTGATCTGTAATGACTCCCCTGATAGCAATAGTGAGAAGAGTGTAGAGGGAGGAAACACCAGCCATAAAAGCCTGGCATGTGTGTGTTCATATTTGTGTGTGTGTGTGTATGAGTGCGTGTGTGTGTGTGTGCGCGCGCTGGAAGGAAAAAAAAACTCGAAACGAGCGAGAGCAAAGGTTGGAGGTTTAAGTGAGTGAGTATAATCATGAAAAACTGACTAAGTCAGTTCACTAATGCAACCACTGGAATAGAAAACAGGGGGCGTTAAAGTGGAATTACACCTCATTTCAGTTTAATGACGCAGGGCTGTTGACTGACTGTGTGTACTACCTACCACCGAGCGAGCACACAGCCTCCGATCCTCATTTACACAACAATAATGTGATTCAAGCTCACTGTGATTCATGATTCATATATTTGAAGCTTGAACCCGAGGGGGGATCTGCTGAGTAAAACACTTAACCGCGCACTCAGCCGGTTTCAAACTCTGCCCTTTTGCACATGCTCTGCACTCCTGAAAATGTCCTGACATTTCCCGGGGGTGATGCATGTGAGAGTGTGAGAGAGCAAACAAACTATTCTGCTGGCCACAACTCAAAATCTTCCGATAGGCTTTAACAGAGTTACAAGAGAGTAGGCCAATTAACAGCGTTTTGAAATAGTCGTCACCAGCCAATATCTGGGCTAATGAGGCAAATAAATACACAGGGATTGACAAGGAATTAGAGTGACGAGCAGAACCGATAACAGTGCTGATGTTAGTAGACACTTATTAAAGGTCCTATATTGTACTCCTTTTCAGCAGGTTCACATAGGTCTCAGAGGTCCCAGAACAGTCAATTTAAAGTTTGTTGTCTAAAAACCCTGTTTTTTCTGGACTTCAGCCAGCCTGAAAACTCTCTCTAGTGAGCTCTACCGAGAACGCGCTGTTTCTGTGTGCTGCGCTTGTCCACGCCTCCTTCAGCGCAAGCCACGCCCCTCCCTGTCTCTCTGGAAGAGGGGCCGTGTCTTGCACTACAGTACCATGTGCTAATGTTTACATAGAGTGCTAGGTATGACTCGTAGAAGTGCTGTGGTCCAGCCGTGCCAGTTTGATCCAGAGTCTGACCCAGAAGGAGAGGCTCCTGAAAAAATTCCAACTCTGTGTCTGCAGCAGGCCTTTTTTAAATGGTTAGTTTCAAATTAGACGTGTCTCCATATTTTACTTTATACTTTTATCATATGTTGGTACACAGTGACTTACATGTAGCTGGCTAACATTAGCTCCTGCTAACGGTTACATCTCCACTGTCTTCCTGTACTTACTGCTCTTTTTTCAAACCAGCGTTTGCGAGGAAGAAAAATTGTGTCTGAGTGGAAATTTTCAAGGGGCAGAGCAAACATCTTCAGGGGGGTCAGCAACCTGGAGGGGAGGAGTTATCGCCGTCCATGACGTCATGGAGGCAAAAGTTTCAATACACCTGTTTTAGCAGACATTTTCTGAAAGGTGGAACAAGCAAGAGAAGGAGAGGGAATAATTTTCCCTTTTCTTTCTTTTTTTTTGGGGTGGGGGGGTGGGGGTGTAGGCAGGCTAGGGATACATATGATTATTGGAAAAACCTTCTAAAGTGAATTTTGCATAATATGGGACCTTTAAGTCCTCTCCCTACTCTGAACACAACATAGTAGTATCTGCCACCATTACAGACAACCTAAGCTATACCTGGAGTATTTCAGATGTACAAAAGCAGCAACAATACTATCTAGTTACTCTGCCTGTGGGACAGGACCTGAAGGTGTCTGGACCTGATTGTCCCAAGTTTTGAAACAGCCGAAAAGAGAGGCAGACTCTACAAAAGGCATGAATGAGTGCGTATTTCGGCAGCCTTTGAAAAAGCAAAGACTCGACTAAACAGTGCAGACGACCCTGAGCCGACTTGCTTATTTTTACTGAATATCTGCACTTTTTCTTTTCAGCTGCAACCTTATACACAGAGCATGCTGGGAAGAAAAGCTAAAGCAAGCTTGAAACACTCTCATAATGTTTTCTTTGATCAATAAGGTTTAATACTGTGAGCTGAAGGATTTGTACCCACAGGTCTCCTTTCTAACACAAACAGAGGAGATGATCAAACCAATAAAAACCCAGAATGAAGAAGTTTCTTCTAATAAATCAGTGTCTCCAAAGCTTTTCCTCTACAGCTGCAGGACTTCAGGAACTCAGGTACTCAGCTGGTTTCAGGTTTAGACTCCTTCTGTTCAAATCATTTCCAAGATTTGTTCTTTAACTGGATTATCTGCTCTTTAGTCAAAGGGAACAAACAGGTGAAAAAACATCCAGTTTGATGATTCAAATCTGTGACTGTTCGACTCTCTTGGGCGAAGGTTTAGGGCCCCAAAGATGCCAGCCGAAAAACCATGGTGAAGTGGCTTGAGGGTTGTTGTTGGAGAAGTCAATATTTGTGATTAAATCGACCTAACCCTAGATTTTATAACCTCGCTGGATGTTCTTGAAAATCTTCCACAGGTGATGGCAAAACAGGAAAAATAGGGGCCTTGTGGGTTTGGTCAGACCTGCAGTGGAAGTGTGTTATCGGTCACATTGTTGAGGAGAGCAGGCTGATAAAGTGACAAGTCATGGTGGCAGCACACACAAACACACACACACACACACACACACACACACACACACACACACAGCCAAAAGCGCAGTTTGATAAACATGAAACCTCAAACAACAAGACTGGAGATTCATTAAGTTTCTGTCATCTGTGAGCAAACAATCACACACACCAAAGTACACAAAGACGCAGAAACCACACTGGAATCCCCCTCCCTGTTTCACACACACAGTAAAGCTTCACTTTGTATCATTCCCAGGAGATTGTATATTTTCTCTCTACGAGTGTGTATGCAGACGCACGCATACTTGTGCAGCACTGTAATCCTCATGTGGTTTCACCTTCATGCCACGAACCCATTTGTCTTCATTATCATCACACGGCTGCAGGAGGCAGATCCACTCGGGCTGGTGGCAACAGTAATGCCTCTCTGTCTGAGTATAAAGAACAACTTCACCACCTGGACGTTTGTCATGTCACGCCATTGCAGGACCAGGAACGTTGAGAGGGAAATAATGCCCCATCCTGCCATAAAACTTCATTTCCAATATTTCCAAGACGTTGGATCAAATGTTGAGTGATGGCGTTCGTGCTTGCAAAGCTTTTCAGCGGGGAGAGTGTTTGGGAAGCGCTTTTTTTTGTCAGCATTTTGTTTAATGAGGAATTTATGTGACAAAATGCTAATGCTCCAAGCAAATCACATCCTCCAAACCGCCACTGAGCTTTTGTTGGGTAATAAATACGCCATTTCAATCCAGTTTGTCGGTAAAATGAACACGGAGGAGGGTTTTTTTTTCCTGCATTTCTTTTTAGGACATCAGAGAGCAAAAACTGCAAGCACCACAGAACCCCTAGAAGCATGACAAAGTCGACGCTAACAAACTTGGACAGAAAACGGATTTTCCAGGCCCAATTATAGTAGAAAATCTTTTAAGAAACTCCAGGCTTAGCCCTGCAGAAAAATGATGAAGCCCGCATAGCTTTGTAATCACAAGGCCAGTGTGTCACAAGTGCTTAAATGTTCACCGATCTGATCAAAGTCCTGGTTATTACCCCGGTGCCCTTCTTCATTCCCACACATCTTTACCTCAAAACAACACCCCTACATTCTGTCGGCCTGAGGACCACCATGTCCGAGCCTACAGAGAGCTGCTGTGTTTTTACAGGAACACGCCTTAATTATAAAAACCCTGGGACTCAACTGTTATTTCACTAATCACCACATCAAAACAGGAATAAAATGTCTAGGAAAAAGCAGCCAGATTATCACTAATTGCCTTCCAGCTGTCTACATAACACATCACAGGTAGGAAACAGGCTACAACATTCACTTGGTTTCCCTTCTCTCTGTTTGACGCCCATTACTATTTTGACCACCGCCAGAGCAATTCATTACCCCTCACCATGCCTCTCACAATGAAAATCCATTGGTATGGAGATGGCTGTGGCAGAAAGAGGCGGAAAAAGGTGAAGAAAAGCACATTAGTGAATTCCTAGCAGAAGCAAGCACTTCTGTTAAATTAAGCAGGAGCTCCTTCTGTTTATTAAATGGTTGAAATGATGGGAGATGCAGCTGGAAAACATCCAGGTGGCTGCGTTATGAAACATATTCAGATGTGATTTAAATTGCAAAACCACTGATTAGTGCATGCACGATGACTCAAGAAGACAGGTGAACATGCAAGTACAAAAAAAAGGAAAGAAAAGAAAAGAAAAAAGGTGGGTGGGACTGTGTACAATGCATGTGTATATGTAGAACGTATGTGTGTGAGTGTGTAGTGCAAAGGAGGGAGACTCCCAAGCCTATAATTACACCCTGGTGGGAGTGAAGCTGATAACAGAGGCCTGAGGATATCAGCGTCATAGGAAGGCGAGGACAGGGGGGAAAAGGAGAGAAGAGAAGAAGAGAAGGAGGGATGAAGGGATGCAAAATAAAAGAAGGAAACACTGGTGGACCACATGATTCATTATCACCCCACCAAACGCTGGCTTTTCCTTCTAACACTGCTTTTTCATTTCCTCATTGATAGCTATCAAATGACCCTGACATCACATGGCCATACATACGCACACAAACATCCACGTACAAAGCTCCTTTCAGAGTAAAGCTGCACAACACAGCCCACACAGCCAGAGTGTTTACACTGACTTTAAGAAAAATAATCAAATCAAAGCTGTGTTACTTAATACTGGATCTCTGAACAGTCACATAAACCTTTAACTGAGTTATTTTACTCACATTACTGCAGTGATTTGAGCACCAGAGCTGGGTTACATAAAGAAAGTGAGATGCAAAACTGGCTTTTATTAACCAATCAAAGTTACACTAGTAAATAAAAGTATCAGCTTCCATGTCGTCCAGTGTGCACCTTTTTGATAACTTCACTTCATGTTATTGTGTTTTTGTCTTGCAGCTCACGCAGTCTTTTTAAAATCTGCGTGCTAGTTTTGATTGATTATGTCTCAGGATTTAGCACTTTTTTTATTTGAATGATATATAACATATATATTCTATACATGCCTATCTAATTTAATTGATCCCAGAGTTTCTGGACAAACTACTTCACATGGGTTGATGAATGTGGCTAACAAAAGCAGAGCTAGCGCCACCAGTCTTTGATCTCTCTTGCAACATTAAACATCCGCATCCCAGTTACACCAATTTATCTTGACACAGCCTACATTAAACCTAATCTCTATTTTCTGGATGAGAATTTTTTCCAAACTGTGACATGTGTATCATAAGCTATCTGTCATCTGTGCTTGTCTATATCCTAATAATTGAGCATTGTAAAATCATGACTTTAGCCTCTGACTGGAGCCACATCATAAAAATTATAATAATAATAATTTGGCAAACCAACAGCTAACAAGGCCAATGATGTGAAGTTGTTAATTTGACCAAACACACATATTCCAAAATTAAAGAAAAAATACATATTTCAGCATTTCAGCTCATTAATTCACAACTTTTTCCCTCATATATGCAAGAATCAAAATTAGTGGTTTTAAGTTCCCAAGTTAAAACATACAGTATAAGGGTAAAACCCAGTACAAGCTCTAATATCACTCTTACTCTTATTATCATTCAACACAAATCTTGAGCTTTCCCAAGGTAACCCCAAATTGATCCATTTGACGAGTTTTGGCCTGTAATGATAAACCAAATACCACAAGTGCTGGTGATCTAGAGTCGTGTTTGAGCAAACTCAGACTACTCAGTGATGTGCGGGCATGTGCAACCACACTGGTCAGAGAGAAAGAGCTCACTGCGTGTGAAACAAATGAAGCGTCAGCACCGACTGTGGACGTCTTTCTGATGACATCACAGCAAAACTGTCAAAAAAGCACTGCATATGGAGATAACAGTCTTTGCAAGCGTTGTTTCTTTCAGCAGTGCAGTGCTCTGTTGCTATGGGGACTTGCCTCACACTGAGAGAAAAAAAAAGAAAGTTAGGAGAGATTGTCCTTGAGGCCCGCTATTCAAACTGTGGACTTTAATATGCTGAAAGCTGTTACAGTGTACAGCACACTCTTCTATGCTATAGACTGGAGTCCAGCCAGTCCTTCTCAGCGGGCAGGAGTACGCCATAAGTTTTCTGCAGCGAAAATATTATTAAGATAACGCAGAGAGCAGCAGATTTACTGAATGCTTTTTTTCACTGTATCTCAGCAGTGCTTATTACAGTAACTGCTGTTTACATTGCAGGTAATAACCTTGCCTGAATCAACTCTATAATTCTCAGCCAAACTTGCTTTTCAGTCAAGTACAAATGACTGAAAATCAAAGCAATCACAAATTGGCAGCCTTCAATGAAAGCGCATCATCTGACTGATGCACTTCTCTGATAACTTACCCGAGATCAGTCAGTACAGGGTCACCTAATAGCTTTCAAATGCGCTAATACAATGAGGGAGGGTGAATAGAGGCTTTCAGCTTTCACAGGGGGGAAGGATGGTTTCTTCCATGTCAATGTCTCTTACTGAAAATAACAGAGCATTTACAAGTTCCTTTCTCCCCCTGCACAGAAAAGGGAAGTTAGCATTTACAAGACTGGTGGTGGTCATTACCCTATTCAGGGGATGCAGCCCATCTCTTTTACATAACGAAGAAATCAGTGGAGAACAGACATGCTCTGAAGTAGATAGCTCTGAAACTGAGTTATTGCTCCAAACAGCCTAAAGTGGCACAACTGTTTGGGGGGGGAACAGCTCCTGGGTCTAAGCTTAAATGATTAATTAACTCATTGACCTAAAGTCCACACTTTTCAAGCTGGGACTGCTGTTCCTAGTGCACCGAAGAGGAGAAGCTGCTGAAAGAGTGCAGTGGCTTTAAGTGGGTCTTTCATCTACTCCTGTTTATTGAAAAACAAAACACGTGCCTCAAAGTGGCCCAATTAGAGAAGTGGGAGTCACACATAAAAACAATCAGAGGAAACTTTCATGCCCCTCTTTAGATTAGAAGCAGTTTCTCACAGTGGAGTGTATGGGGACTTCCATGAGACTGAAAACTAGGGATTAAAATCTCACTAATCTGATAGTTGTTTGTTTTTTTTTTTGGTAGCTGAGTCATTGATTTAGTTGCTCCGTTTCTTCTGCTACTTCCCCTTTTATAGAAGTCTGACCTGTTATGTAATTCTGAACCCTACCAACTTCTGCCCAACAACAACAGATTTTCTGCCTTTTGTCATTGTTTATTGTCATTGACGACATGATAACAATAAAGTTAGGCAACGCGTTTTGTTGAACGCAACTTTAAGCAGCCTACACGGGAGTGGTTTGTAATAACTCAGATTTAAACAGTGTTTTAAGTTTAAGTACACAAAAACTTCTGGTAGGATCTCAGCACGTGAGGCAGACTTGAAACATAGCACGCGACGGAAACATGCAGTCCCAGGTAAACACGAGAAAAGTTAGCCCCCTGCGTCCGGAGAGGGCTTTTGTTAAGAGGCTAAAGTGCGCTTTTTAAAGTACAAAATGGTCAGAAATAGCGACATAATGCACTACATGGTACTCACCTGCGATACTAAAGGGATAAGCGTCTGCTCCACCGAGCGAGTTTTGATTTCCAGCCCGGAATCGAAGTTACTGTTGCCGCACGGAGATGAAGCCATTCCCGCCGAGCTCTCTCTCTCTCCCTGCCTGCCTGAAATACAATGACTGAGTTCACTACGAGCCCCTTTTCTTTGGCTGTCTCGCGGCTGCAAAGTGCTGTAACGGACTTGCTGTTACACACCGGGGCTCCTCACTCTGTTACAGTCGTTACCGAGTGGTTCTCCACGCACACTGCGCGCTGTTTTAATCCACTCCGGCTCGGTGGTTGTGCCGCTGCGCCCGCTAATGTCCATGTAGTTTACTCAACAACGTTAGGGAGCGGACTGCAGCACACCACTGTGGGCAACCACACACACATTTACACATTTACACACACGTACCACAGCACACACACACCTTCAGTTCCCAGTGCTGAATGCTTATGTGCAGCTGAGGCTTTCTTTGGCACAGATCATGTTTATATATCCTGAAATTAAGATTATAATTCATCTGTTCACTTCAGTTAACAACTGTGCAATTCAAAGTAAAAGAGCACAATCTGGAAAGTTTTGCAAATAGCCTTAAAAATCTATTTGTCACATTGGTGCAGACAATATAGGGGAGACCAGGGATGGTTGTAACATAAGGAGAGTTCTGGCACCAGCATGTCCACAAATCGAGGATAACAAAGGAGTCTAGATCATTTCAGTGATTACCAAGTGGCAGCCTCAGATCTTTAGAATTGAAGTAGATGCAGAGGTGCAAAAAATAACTTAAAAAAAAAATATGTATATAACTACACCCACCATCACAAGACTGGCCAAACAGAGGCAGGGCTGACTTGACTGACAGGCAGGCATGCTGTAGCCATTTGCAAAGAGCCAAAGGCCCACCTCTGGTTGGGATGCTAAAACCCCTTTTTTGACTTCAACTCATGAGGTTTACGATATTCTTGCAGAGGATAGAATTGGTTTCACAAATATGAGTACTTTTGGAAAACTCCAGCTCAAAAATTCAGTAAGTTACAGAAGCAGAAAGTGTGACAGCTATCCTCGGTTTCCCCTATGTTTAGCTGTTGCGTGTAAAAATAAGGATTTGTTGCAAATTACAGATTAGGATTAGTTTAAAATTCATCACACATTCATACAAAATGTGGAGGATCTCACAAGGACGTCTAAGATTTAAAATATTCCAAACATCCGCACAGATTTCAGCAGATCTTATAGGTAGGATTATTTTTAAAAAAACTAATAATCCTTCCATCCATGCAGATTTCAGAGGACTTTGCATCCAGTGCCCCTACAAAGAGAAGGAGAGGAGTGATGCTTTCCTCGCCGCACAGCTCCGGTTTGATCCCCGAGACAAAGAATCCCACATTATCCCCCGGAGTCTGAGAATCCCTTATCATCCTCTCCAAATACACACCAGAAATGCCAATCAAACCCGCCTGCACTGACTCAGCCACATGGGACAGCTGCTCTGAATGGAGTGCAGTGTCTATCTTTAAAAGTTGCCAACTTCCTCTTTTTGTCCGTCTGGAGAAAGCTTTAAACCACACGATCCTTTTCAGGTTGGGGGTCACTAAGAGGTCCCAGAGTGTTGCTTAAATATTTCACACTGATCTGGTTTTAGCTGAAATGCATACAGCCCCATTAAAAAGTGTGACACAGAAGCTGCTGGTAGGGAAGAGGAAAAAAAATATTTGCCAAACCTTACTACAATAAACCATGAATAAAGCCCGTCATTTTAGCTTCAAGTGTTTGATATTTATTACTTTTCAATGCCTCCGGGAGAATGGTCAAACTCTCACCACTACCCGTACATTTACAAGTTATCATATTCCCATAACTCCCAGTTTCCCCAAACTAATTTCACAAAACCGAATCTAAGATGAGAAATTGGCGAAAAAGAAAAACATACATTTTTGAAAGATGAACCAAAACATCAGCATGGAGACCCCTGAGAAATTGTTCATCTTTGCAAACACTTTCACGTTTCTTAAGATTTGAGGAAGAGCAAAACAACACTTCAACTGTCTGTTATCTGGTTGGACAAAAGGCATGTTAGAAGAAGTAATATTACCATTGGGACTTGTGCTGGGTGTACAATTCCTTCTCTGATTGATGTACTGCTCAGCATTGGTCCACACAAGGCCAAATCACCATTATCTTGTCGAATTAAAACATATATACTCCACTACCAGTGACAGCATATTTAATCAAAACATAACTTGTTTTCTTCATTTTGACCCAAATATTTACCTTGAATTATGTTTTCTTTCTTAATGGTTTTAGATAATCTGACAAAGATCCCAAAGTCCAAATATAAACAACCAAAACATGACATCAGCTTTATTACAGCAGACCTGCTCTCTCATCATCAGTATCAGCATCAACCTTGAAAATAAAATCACACAATTGGTAAAATTGAGTAGAGTCGAGACAAGACTGAAGCAACATATCACTTCAAAACTTAACATGTAAACACATCTCACTTTCATTTCATTATCCATCTTTGATGGTGTTTCACTTCATGGTCCATCCACATCTTCAGTCCTGTGACTGAAACTGCTTTGAAGGAGACAGTACGTGTTAAAACAATTGTTTGTTCTGCTTTAATTTTGAACATTTTCTGTCTTGCAGTCAAGTTGCTTTACCACGCTTTTATTCTGAAATACACAATTTCTTGTAAATTTGAAATTTTAGATTCTGTTTTTAACAAAGTTTTCCGTGTCAGTTTTAAAAAAAAGCCTAGTCATGTCTCAGTGAAGTGCTCCAGCTGCTTCTTCTTCCTTGTTCCTTGTCTTTCATTCAAGTTGCTTAACCATGCTTTTATTCTGAAGTACACCATTTCTTGTAAATTGAAATTTTGGTTTCTTTTTTTAACAAAGTTTTCCGTGTCAGTTTTAAAAAAAAGCTTAATCATGTCTCAGTGAAGTGCTGCAGCTGCTTCTTCTTTCTTGTTTCGCTTCCGTATTGTAGCATAAAGAACAATCAAGAGGAACTCACAGAATTCTCAGTACTCTATCGTGTGGGTCCATAAATCTGATCTATACTATTTACAACTATCATCAGAATCTGAAATGTGTCTTTTGTCTGTTTCAGAAGCTTTGAAATCCTTTTGTCAGACTCCAAAATGAGGGACAAAAGTTTCATTCGTCTGATAAATTGTTCCTCTTCTTATTTTGTGACCCATTGGCTCATATCTAAATCAGGCCTCAGGGTACTTTATAGCTGTCTGTATCGATGCCTAACCAAACTATTGCCAAATACTGTGTACCCTCAAGTGGCTCTGGTAGCTATTTCTAACTTTTACAAGTGCACCCGTTGACAAGTGGTGAGCAACACTTCATATTACAAACACAGCAGATGGCTGAGAGCAGATAGAGCTTATAAGCTCTGTAGCGCTGTAAGAAAGGGCTTTTTTTTTTGTCTGCGGCTGCTTTATCATCAACTATGGTGGCTGGCTAGCACTCCGTCAGCACTGAAGACAATGGCCTGTGTGTGTGCGTATGTGTGTATGTGTGTGCGTATGTGTAAATCCGTCTCCTGCTCTCATTCCTAGCCTGTATTTATTTTAAACCCCACAGCTATGCTTTAGTTTAACCCTCCCTGTTTGCATAGGTTTCAATCCAAACACACACTCACATGAACACACATGAACACACACACTGCTTCATTATGGAGGCATGTATAAGCAGTTTGGCTTCTATGTGTGGACGGGGTTGTGTTCCACTTTGATGAATGGCTCTACTACTAACTAGATAATATCTGCCTTTTTTTTGTTAAGCTGCCCCGAGGCTCTCTCTTTCAACGATAAGATGATAACATGCCAACACTCGGGCTACTTGCATTGCGCTCTATCAGCCCCTGTTAATTTGGAGGATCCCGGTCAGAGAGGATAAGTTCGAGGGGCAGAATAAGATAGGAAATTTGTAACCTTCAAGAGGAAGTAGTTAAAGTATCATGTGGAGAAACAGCTTCCAATCCACATGCCCAAACAAACTCAGTGGTGTGAATATTCTCATTTAATTTGTCAATACTTCTAGCTGCTTGTTTTTCTAAACAGGATCCACTTTGTGCCAGAATATTCAACGTTTGCTCCTCTGTCTCTAATCTCTTTCAGGCACATTGCATTTAGAGAAGTTGTCTGAAAGCCCATGCGGGAAGGAAGCCCCTTTTCTGTATTCTCATCTGCAATGTCCAAGGGTATTACTCATTAAATAAAAAGATGCTTATGCGTGGCGTGATAGTGTTGCTAACAGCTGCTACTGTCTCTTAGAAGTGCTGACTTTCTTTCCCTCTCTCCCTCTCTCTCTCTCAGGATCATACTTTTTGTTCGTACAGCTCCCGGGACAGAAACTGCTGAGCTTAAAGAGATAGTGATTTTGCACACTGCAAAATGTAAAATGAGTGCACTCAGTTATATTCCCAGGCTGGTTAAGTAGATTGAAATTTCTGTATTCAAAGGAGGAGCTGTGGTGCAAAGTTAAAGGACATTTTTATCTGAACATTTCTATCTTGAATAAACATTTAAAGTGTAATTTGAATAAGCATATGCAGTATTGTTGACAATAAACCTTCTTATTCCTGCTTTATTCAAGATAGTGTTTTCTACAAAGTTTTCACAGCATATTTAGTGTTTTTAAAGACAGATCTGACCCACAGTTACAGAGACATCAGAGGCCTTTGTTTCCAGAGAGAAGGTTAAACCAGGAGCCTCAAACTGACGGGTGCTGTTATCTTAAAGGATGGCCACTTCAAAGTTCAAGTACTGCAAGAAAGTATTATTTTTCTCACCCTCAACAGCAAACATTAGTCTTTTCGTATTTTTTACAATTCTTTCATATGTTTTTGTATTTTTTGTGTTATTCCCTCAGTAGGTTTACATGCACAGTTGAGTCAAACTCTGGTTAAAGCCACAACAAATGAACAAATGCTTTCACAATTGGTGAACAGGACAGTGAAAACATGTCACTTTTACAGCTCTACTTCAACTTTTACAAGAACGATCCCACTGCTGTTATTCCTCCATCTGAGGAGGTTTTGTTTGTTACCCAGCTTCCTAGCAGCATATTTATGTTTATCAAATCCCAGGTCAAAGCTTGGCATGCAAACGCTGCAGCACAAGAGAGATCAGGTTATGTAGGAATGTTAGTCCCACTGTGAGGAGCTCAGTCCAGCGCGATTTTATTTAGGCTAGTGTGTTTACATATACATAAAAAGTCCATATTTAGTCAGACCATTATTTATTCCTTCAGCAAAAATGTCCTCCTTGTTCCTTTTTATAGTCAAATGTGTCACTTGTCTGTGCAAAAATGCCCTGGCTGGTGGTCTAAGAGAGCCCCATACACAGATGCTGTGGCCCTTGTTGTAGCAGTAACTAGTTAGTCTCCAGGCCATGACCTTTTGGTGCATGTCTTTCCCCACTATCCACTCCCCATAGTTTTTCTCAAAAAAGCTGATGTGAAAACACAAGAAAAGGCTGCTGCTGCTGCTGCTGCTGCTGCTGCTGCTGCAGTGTGCAGTTCTTCCTAAAAAACACAAAGGCTGTGGTTTTCGACGCCCTCGGCCAGGTTCATTCCTGTCTCTCTTTATCCATCCTATCTAATGAAGGTAAAACTGCCCCAAAACAATAAAGGTGTTCAACTTGTTAAGTATTAAACAAAAGTGGTACATGGATTACATCATATTTTTGATGGCAGGCTGGTTGGAGTGGGGCAGCGGGTCCGAAGTGGGGTCAGAAGTTTAAGACCTCTGGGTTAAACTGAGGTGAGCTGAGCTGGTCCAGTTTTCACTGGCCTGTTTTTACTGGCTGCCCCTCAATAGTTCTCTAGTTTAAAGCTTCAGGAGTTGTTCAAAATGCTAAATCAGTCTAATCCTGGCTGGCTTACAGGTGTTTGTGTTCATATGGACTCTGGTCAGAAAAATGACCCAGCCGCAGTGCAAATATTATTCACCATAGCATCAGAAACTATGAAAATGTGACATTTCAATATGTTCAGATAGAACAAAAACACAGCAGCAGCGCTAACAAGGCACGGGTCATCTGTCACTTACCGCTCTCTTCCTGCCAAGCAGCCACCCTCAGGGACAAGGCTAATTTAATTGCCTGTAAACAAAACCAGGCAGCAGCAAAGTGCCATGTGGACACCCAACCCAGTAATCCTGGTATTTTTCACAACTCCATTTTCTGTTGTTACATAATCACAGACACCTTACATATACTCATTATCATTCCGTTTCCATCCAGCACTGTTTTGTACAAATGCGGCCTCATTTGTTGAGGATGCAGGCTGCGCTGTTTGAAATAAATGAACATGCAAGCAAACAAACATGTGTGGAGATGTAAGACATGGCTGTACAAATTATGCATGAGCTGTACATGTACTATTCATGGTCACCCCTATCAACATGCACCCGGAGAAATAAATACACAAGGAAAACATACAGTGAGCTGTTTACTCTAAAGATTGTGAGTTTTGGCCAAAAAGTTTACTTTTTCCATAGATGAGTAAGTGGCTTACCTTTTTTTCATACTTATTTAATTTCCTCCAGGACTTCCCACACATAAAGAGGTTGGTATTGTTGGAAAAACTCCCTACAAAAGCTTTGCATATCTTTAAATTAATTGATTAATCAATTAATTGAATCAATAAATTTCCTTTTGGGTATAAATAAATTTCTTTCTTGTGTTGTATTGTATCATGTTATATTTTATTTTTCCACCATGACAGCAGCATGAAGAAGAAAGACGTTGCATATTTCTTCCACCACCTGTCTCCTCACAGCCCCTGGTAGGAACTTTGGTGCTTTGAGCGCCCCCTGTAGATGAAACAGTCTTTGTTTAGCTTGTCTTCTACATTTTAAGGAGTGTTTTCTGACAAAAAAATTGTAATCCAGCTGATCTTGACTGTCAAATATATAACTTTTCAGTAATATTTTCCCATAAAATGTTAAAACAGCGCTGCCCCCTTAGCTACTCAGCTGACACCCACCCCATAACACTGGTTCAGGCATCAAAAATAACCATCTCCTGCTAGAAATAAGAAAATAGTAATACCCTGAGTAACTGGCATAGAGTAGCGGTCTGTTACTCTGGTCGCTGCACCTCATCAAACAGAGGAGAAAGAAGCAGCAGCTGCTAGTGATGTAGCTATAGCAGCGTCTAAATAAATAAATAATGAGAGATATCGTCTATATTTTCACAAAGTAGGCCTCATAATATCACATTGTCTGAACCAAGAGTGTGAAATTCCTCTCATGCTGTTCTGGAGAGAAGAGATGCCATATATTCAAATTAACTTGACATTTATGACAGAAAAAAGAATAAACACTGACTTGTAATGGCTTTATTTTCTCACACAGATGCTGTTGGCCATATACTTATCATAAATTCATACATTATGTTTCCACCATATGTGAGGATTTGATTTCCTTGCCATACACTAACAAGCAGCAACCTTGTCTCCAATCTGTTGAGCATTTTAGTCGTCTAATGAGTGCAAAGACATGAATACGAATCACCTATTCAAAGGCGTACCCTCACACACTTTGCAGCAGAAGATAGGGCCAAACTAACCTCTTCTCTTTCTTTCCTGAAATGACCTGTTACATTTTATCTAACTAATCCTGCGTAGTGCAAGCTGGTCCAGGGGATGATGAATGCATTGTCAGAACAGTGCAAAGATAATAGAGATGTTTTTTCAGGCACAGCTGCTTGGCTACATCCCAGCTACCGCCTAGCTGCCGCTCCTGAGATGAGAGCCAAAGATGCATGGGTATCCTTAACTGAGAGGTCGTCACACCCTGCCAAGTCTGTCTAAGTCCTGTCTCCCCCAGACTGACAGAGGAGGGACAACAATAGCAAGATGAGCACAATCTATTTTCTACTCAAGTGTCGATGACAGTGTGTCTTTGTCGTGCACATACGACACAACAAGCCAGCACAGCCAAGCTAAAAACAATCCCCCTAAACTTCCTCCTCCATCCTTTCTCACTCCCTCACATTATTTGGCTCCGGCCCTGATTGTCTTTGCTGTGTTGTCATCTATCACACCGTCTCAAGGGTTCACGGATGCCATCTCATTCTTCTTCCTGAGCGTGTCAAGTGGGTGTCTAGAAACTCCTTGTGACAAAAGTGTCACCTCAACCTTTCAAATCAAAAAGACCTGGAGGCTTTTTTTTTAAAACAGGGAGGGCTGTCTGGCTGGCAGCTATCTCAGCTGGGACCAGTCACCCTCAATCACCCTTGTCAATGGGATAATCCACTCTGACACAGCAATGTGTGTGGACTACAGCGTCTTGATTGTTGATGGTGTTCTCTGGAATCATCACAAAATGTTTTCATTTTGGTGGTATGTTTATCATATCTCTAAGGTCCAGCAAAAAATAAAATGATAATAATAAGGATTAAGTTGTTGGTAGCCTAACAGTTTGAATGTGCTCAGTTGTGCTCTTCATACGAGCCAAAACATCATGAAAAATACCATTAAAAAATTGGTCAAACAACAATCACGCTTTAATAAAGCTCCAACTCTTTATTTTTTATTTTTTGATCAACCTTTGACCCCTCCCAGGAGGAGCAAAACTAGATATTGCCATTATTTGTGCTTGTAGTTTTGAATAATTCACAAGTTTATTCGATGTTTTACAACACAAAAGACTTATATTAGGAAGAGATTAGGCAAAAACAATTGGGGATTTTATTTATTTTTAGTCAGTCTGAGTCTGACATATTTAAGTGGTTGTCTTACTCCCTCTAGCGCACATAGTGTAGCATTGCATTTTTGCGTAAAGACACATTAGTCAATGGGCTTTTTACTTCAAACAGACATGTTAAACGTACATAAAAAAACAGATTTAAAAATATATAAACAAACTAAGAAATATGGGAGGTCGAGTATTTGGAAAAAAAGCTATGACGGTGACTATGCGGTCTACCGTTTACTGGTTGTAAGATGTGGAACCTTTGTTAGCGCGGAACGGTTTAGCTACAACCACATTTACAGTAACACCACAACCACAGCATCCACGATGGCGGCGCCCGTAATTGAAACATGTCATGTAGCTTGTTCTGCAAACAGGACACCAAACGTTGTGTCCTGGAGTCGTGGTGGGACCTTAGCTTTTGGGACATGTAACTCGGTGGCTCTCTATGACCCTCAGGTAGTGTCATGTCTTTATTTCCCTCTGTAAAGTCAGCTGAGGTGTTGTCGGTTGTCACAACTGACGTTAGCCGAGCATCTCATCTTTAAAACTAGACTTAAAATTAGTTTGTTGACATAATATTTTAATGTACTGTTATTGTAGGAGAGAAGAGTTGTGGATTTGCTGAATGGACACAAAGGCAGAGTGAATACAGTGAAGTGGGTCCACAGAGAGGACTGTGGTAAGTGAGGAGAGTGATAAAGCTGTTACAAGTGAAGTTGATATGTTAATGACTTAAATCTATCAGCGTGGAAACATGAGGTTTTTTAAGTGATGTAACTTATTACACTGATATTGGGTAATACAGATAATTTAATATGCTTTCTCTGAAAAGTAAACCTGTCAGATGCAACGTACCCATTCAGCCACCTTATTTTTCAACAATCAAGAGAGAATAAGAGCTACTGTATGAATGAAGATTAGAATGAGTGTTATGTAAATGTAATATCTTTAAGTACATGTCTAAGTTCAAAATGAAAATGGAAAAGAAGATAAGGACCCCAGGAAGAGCAGTTACTGCATATTTTGTTGTAACTGGTGGTGGATCCAAAATAAAACAAAACAAAACAAAACAAAAATAAAACCTTCATATATGTTTACTGTTGTTACATTATTTTCATTAATAATGCTACTTACAGTTTGCTGTTCAGAGCCTTCACAGAAATCCTTTAAAGATGGAACAGCCACAGATTTTAGTCACGGTTTTGACACAAACCCAGCTCGTCCTTGTCTTTGTTTACAAAAGAGCCATCAGCTGTGTCGTGGCACCAAGGTTTAGTATGATCATCTATAATAGTAACATTATATACATGTATTAGAGCAAGATTCAGGTCTCCTTTATAGAACAGTATTCACTCGTCTGTTTACTTAAAATGATGATTTAAAGCTTAACAGAGGCAAAACTTATGACAGAGCTGTTGTATTGGGTCGCATTAGTTGAGCTAACTAATACAATCCAATACAACTCAAGTGTTCATCATGTTATGGTTGCTTTGTAATTGCATATCAGTCCTCTGAACCCTTCAAGCTCTTAATGAAATATTCATGCTATTGCCAACATTTATCAGCATCCTAAACATCAAATAGATGTTATTATTGAGCATCATATCCAGCTGCTGTTGTCACTGAGGCTCCAAATACAGGAGAAACCACTTTAGACAAACCTGCACAAGCCAGAGAACCACACAGTTCACCTTGATCAAAATGTGTTTATGCTGCAGCTGTGGAGCATCATCTTGTCTCAGGAGCGTCAGACAATCAGATCATCGTCTGGGAGGCGCAGAATGGAAAGGTTAGCTGCCTGTGTCACCAGTCAGTCTCTTATCTCTCAGTATTTCTCTCCTGATCTTCTAAAATATGGTTTCATGTTTTTAGTTCACACAGACAGTTCAGTGTAAGGGCCATACTGGTCCAGTCTGTGCTGTGGATGCCGTGTACGTGGATGACACAAAGATCCTGGTGGCCTCCGCGGCATCTGATTCTACTGTCAAACTGTGGCTGTGCAGTGACACCAAAGAAGGTAAGAGAGTCACTTACAAACACACACAGGAATCAGGCAAATGCTTTAAATTTTATCATTTAGATTTTTTCATTTTAGTGGTACAAAGAGACAAATATTTGCAGTGTTCCTGAAAAATAAAGGTGTAGAATGTAAGAATCAGAAACTGTTGGAGCTCATATAAGGTTATTGTCGTAGCTCTGAAAATAATAGCTGTGAAGAGTCCTCTTTGTTCCTTCAGATTTCAGATAGATATTTTCAGTATAGGATCAGAGAACTCTTGTCTATCTCCCACAGTACACTAAATTTTTTCAGTGTGTTAAACTCTCCCCAAAAAGAATAACACAGCTCTATTTTTTTTTAACAGTGAAGCATCTTTTTCCTAAGTATGTAAGAATAACCGCCCCCTAGTGGCAGCTCAAGGGTGTTGCAGGGTTTAATTGCTTTAACTCTGCAGCACTGCTTCAAACCTCTTTTAGTTGTATCCTATCAGTCAAAATAATGGCTGTGTTTTACAGACAGCTGAATTGTATTTAATTAGATGAAAAACACCTTTAACATGTTTGACAAAACTGTCTTTTAGTTTTTGAAACAAGTGAAATACTCAGAGATGGCAGTCCATAATCTCCTCCTGTCAGAATAAGAAATACTAATTTGTAAATGTAATTTCTTTTAATCCCCTCGTTCAATTTAATAACAATGTTTTTCCTATCCCCTTTTATTTTGAAAGTTGTGATAAAAACAGCTTCACTTTGAGGAACATTTCTGTCCACATGTCAGAACAGATGAACACTAATGCTACTCGACAGTTTCGGAAAGTATATGTGAGTGTGTGCAGCTTTAGGGTGTACTCTGAGACTCAAATAAAATCAGTTATTTTGGTGCCTCTGTGCAGATTGTGGCAGCTTAAAGACTTGCACAAACTGGAGGCTGATAAAACTAAAGCAAAGAAATCACAGGATCAGTTAGCAGAAGAATAGACATGATGCAACTGAGTTCACACAAAAACCAAAGTCATATCAAAAGTTGCACATTTTTTTAGATTGTGTGTCTGTATTAATGTAACCTCAAGGTTTAATATGCATGTGTGTTCCTTAGCCGACTGCAGCCATACCTTGTCATTTGGCAGCTGCTTCATGATGGATGTGTCCCTGGCACTGTTGCCAGGCAGCAGAGGTAAGCCTGAGCTGTTCCTACATAGATGTCATTTAAGTTGTGAGCCACACCACCTGCACACACAGATATCATCCCATTTCATGTCATCCATCTTCATTTCCACCACGGCCTCAGAGCGTGTAAGCTAATGTGTTCCTCAGAATATGTCCTGTATGTTTGAAGCGTCCCATGTCATTTCTGTCTTTGAGGATTACAGTCCCTTTGTCTGTTTGATGCTGTTATTCATCCTGCTTTTTCATACTGCCATGTGTGCATGCATATATCACCATGTGATGAAGTGACTTGTGTTTCTTGCAGTTCCCATACTGGCCTGCAGTGGCGATGACTCTCGGGTGCATCTGTATGTGCAGTCCAGTGGACAGGTGAGCTTAGATCTATTATCTCTCAGTTGCAGCTCACTCTCACTCATGTGTTCAATGACTTTGATTAAAATTTCCAAAAGTCTCTGTGAAATAGTTGACCTTATAAAAATGCTCCACAGCAGCTGCAGAAAGCCATGTCACTGCAAGGACATGAAGACTGGGTGCGTGGAGTGACATGGGCGTCTTTAGGTGAGTGTTTCTGCTGCTGATGCATTACCAGTACACATGCAGGTACACACATATGTCAAACAGTAAACCAAACCCAAATCACAAAATTAATGCTGGTTGTGGAGCTCAGGGTGTTTTTTGATACTTGGACGCAGTAACAACAGCTTAAAAAATAGGGATGCAAAGTTATGACTGCAGAAGTCCACAAGAAGATTGGTAGATTTAATGTTTTGATGTTGTTTGATGGTTATTAAAACTGATGCGTGTAGTATATGGATGAAACAGAAGTTGCAGTGTTCCTGCTGTCTTTGGTTCACTGAATTTGTCTTTGTGGCCGCGGTCAGTACTCTGTGGTTTTACTGCTATAAGCTGAATTGTGTCTAAATGCATCTTTAAAGCCCCTTTAGTTTTTTGACAGCTATAAAATAGACTGAAATTCATATTGATGCCTTTTTATGTAACTTAACAGCAAACAAGATCATCAGCAACACAATCAGTGATTCTCCTATTGTAATCTTGTCCAAAATCTGGGGGCGGGGGTGCTAGAAGTAGGTGTCAGCCCAGCAGCTGAAGAAAGAGCTCTGTTTTTACCATTAACATAGAAAAACTCTGCAGTTAATGACACATTTTGACTGTTAAAAGTCAGCAGGATGAGATTTGTGTGAGAAGACACTAATAAAGCTGGTAGAAATATGAAATAAGCATCAATTGCTTTGCCTACAGGGGGCGCCGAAATAAATGCAAACTAAAAGTTCCTCACAGGAGCATCAAATAAATAAAATAAAACAACATTAATTAACAAATTATTAATGATAATAGTAAATCTGTTCTAAAACCCTTTTAAAATTTAGGCTGAAACTACAGAATAACTGAATTAAAAGTTCAGATTAAAAAAGAAGTTTTAGGTTTCCTTTTAAAACACAAAGGGCTTCTCTGAAATCTACAGGTTTGAGTTTCTGGTTCTTTGATTCGTCCATTAAAAAAAAACGTGCAGAGATGAATGATGCAGCTTTTGTGCTCTGAAACTGCGAGATAACATGTAAAAACTTGACGTGACAAGTGCATATATATTTGGGGGCCTAAAGACCTTTTTGTCTTCTCGATCCCTGGCTCGTGAAAAAATTAAACTGAACACACTGTTCTCTTATTAAATCAGTTTCATGAGTCCTCCCTTTCCAGCCAGTGGGCTTTTCACAGAACTGTGATCGCACATGGCAATGCATGGACCCAATCCAAGCCCTACTAATTGTGTAACCCTCTTTGAGAGCACTTCATTACGCACTGTTCTGACTGTGTAAAAGCCATTTCATCTCCTCGACCAGCCCTCTCCACCAGCGTCTCCGTCCCACTCACAGTCTATGACCCACTCCACGCTGCCAAGCTGCCAGCCAGCAAAGAGATAGAGAGAAGTTTGTTAGCATGAAATATGTCCATAAGAATGGCAAAAACCTCCCTCTCCACAGTGACAGCAGTCAAATAAATCAGTCTGTCCCTTTATGACTCAGCAGATGGGAAAGTGTAGCTCTAGAGGTGCAGTTTATCAGAGCTGATCAACACTGAGACACGGTGAGGCTCAGCAAGTTTTTCTGTTTGTATCTTTATTCTTTGTTCTGAAGCATTTCATCAATCCTGTGCAAGAAATTTACGTTGGCCTAAATCTAAAAAAACAGCTGCTTAAATGTTGTTGTTGAACTCTTGACTGTTCTTTTATCGACATGCGAGTCTGATCAGCAGGAGCCCTGAACAGGTGGAGCTTTAGTAATAGTCTGCACACTTGGGTGTCACAATCATGACATCAATGATTGTCGTCATTGTGACGGATCTGCCAGCCCACACAATGTTAAACATGTCTGTGTCCTTACAGTCATGTTGACCAGCAGGAATTTGCCTCTCAGTCTTGAGTACAAACAGAACTGGTCCTTAAAGCACACTGTGATATTTTAGGAAGGCTTTGGGATTTTTCAGGTTTCTTTGTTTCTTGATTGGGCTGCACTGATTTAAGGATTTAGGATTAGTTGCCAATTTGCCTGATATGACCTTGACTTTCAGAAACACGGCACTGTGGCCTTCATAAGGGGTCCACTTATATTTTTTAACAAGGGTCAATACTGATTATTAGCAGCTCATGAAACCGAAATTTACAACAATAACTGACGTCATTTTGCCCATATCGGCATATTTGGTGTCAAATAAATTAATAAATAAAAGTTGGTTTTGGGTGTGAAGAGGTAGGCTATGGTCTTATGTCCCTTTAATACGCTGTCCTATATCAGAGACATGACTCCACCCCATCCAGTCCGTAACAAAGAGGGAATGACAGGTGAGGAGATGGAGGACGGTTTAAAAGTTGTAGCGGCGGTTGAAATAGACGAAATTATTAAGGGAGGGGTTAGCAGCTTGTGGTGTAGTTATCATCTATTTATCATTATCGTGGTGAACTGCTCAATATTTCATGATATTGATTTGAGCCTATATCGCCCAGCCCTAACCGATATTTGGAATCAGTGTGCACTGAGAAAATGACAATCTTTGAGTCCAAATCTGGGGTTTGGGATACTATATCATAGCGACCATAGCAGTCATTATAGCAACCCAGCTTAATTTTTAAACAGCTGATTAGCAATTAATAAGCACACTGTTATGTCAGTGCGTTTTGCGAAAGTAAAACAGTTCAGTGTCTTTCGTTTTGAAGATTCATTTGATCTCTGTTGGTCTTCAATGCATTCAAAAGGAAGGCACCGTACAACTTTCATTCACAGTTTTACAGCTCATCTATCATTGCGTGGTGTCTCTCAGCAGTCAAACAATTACGCTTTTCTCTTTCTTGCAACACCTGACACCTCAGCGAGAGTTTGCACCTTTTACAAAGCAACAACTGAGCTTTAGAGTGACACCTACTTACTCCTGATCTAGTTAATACAGACATCATTTAGAGGAGAAAAGCAGCCACACTTACATCACAGTTACAGTCACAGTTGTTTGATGTTGAGTAAATCATATAGTTTCATGGATGAGAGATCTAGTGAGACAGAGTGTTCAAGGGATTTTCCGGCATAGATTTAAGTTATGGTCAAATACACCGTAACACTGAGTTAGACAACCCCTCGAGAGATGAATGTTGCTGACTGCTTGCTTCTCTAGTTATACCAACTTCAGTAATGACCGCACAATAGCAATACACCCTGGTCTACATCTCCACGTCCAAACCTCAACCAAAAAGCCACTGTATAGCCACAAATAATGCTCAGAACAGCACCTAACTTCATCAACAGTACATACAGGGTCCCAGCTATAGTACTAGCCATCAAACATCTTTTTAGCTTTCCCTGTTTCTTTAGCAAAGAGACTAAACACAACTCACTCGATCTCCTTCAGCAACCGCTTGTTTGTGGGAGAGCCCTAACGAGTCGATCACCGAGTGCAGCGGAGTTTCGTAGCTCAAGGAGGAACATTTATGATTATTACTTCATGGAAATACAATCAGAGTTCTCGTGTATCTTGTATGTGCACTGCAGACGTTCTTCTGCCTTAGCGTCTTGATCTGATTGCATGTGTACGGTTTGTTTGACAGTAACTTAAATTTATGCTGGAATATCCCTTAAAATGAATAAAAGACGTTGATCCGTCTGATTTGTCATATATAAACTCTGACTTTTGCGAAGCTCCTCTTCTTCTAACTCTTCTGAAAGTCTAAATAACAGCTGAGCAGCAAAGTACATGGAATGATAAACTCATTAGCGCTGCAGCAGAGTAAATAATGCAAAGGCAGCTTTGATGAATGGAGTGATCAGGTAGTTAATAGAGGATGCCTCTCAGTCATCAGGTTTTCAGGCTGTCTGTCTGCCTCGCTCAGGTGGGGAGCTGTTATTAGCCAGCTGTTCGCAGGACTGTCTCATCAGAGTGTGGAGGCTGTGCGCCAAGTCTGGGACAGACGCCCATGTAGAGGACGATCACACCATCATCAAAATGAAAGAGGACATTTTTGAAGTGAAGGATGGAGGTGAGTGGGCCGTGCAGGCTCGACTACAAAAGTGATGCGAATAAAATAAATGAAGAGAAGCGCTTTAGCGGTTTAATTACACACAGACCTCCGTGCAAAGGAGTGTAAGGGTTTGTGTGTTACCTGTCATGGTTGTAACAGGTACTTGATTGAACTTCAAAGATGCACGTCATGGAGCAACATGTAGTTGGCAGCCAGTTTTCTTCTGGAAAAGATCGTTTCTACCAGTTCGGTTAATTAGCTGCCTGTGTGCTGTTCAAAGACTAAAGCTGCTGTTGTGATTACACTCTTCATCTGCTCTCTCTTTCCTCCTACCTTAGATGTGTCCTCGGTGTTCGCTGTGTCTTTGGAGACTGTTTTGGCGGGACATGAGAACTGGGTCTACGGAGTCCACTGGCAGCCTCCTGTCTTCAAAGGTACGGTGAGGAAAAACCCTGGGAAGTGAACGGTCACTTTGTTTTTGATCATTAACAGCAGGTTCGCAGGCTCTGAGTTAACAGGTTTGTTTCTAAATTAATGTTTGGACTTTCACGCTCAGTTCTCTTGCTTTGTCTTACAGTACTATTGCTCATGAGAGGTAGCACAAGACAGTCAGACACTCAAAGAAATAGAAAAAAGCTGTGTGTTAAAAGTTATTAGCTTAATTGGTCCTCAAGAGGAAAAACTTACAGGGAGCTAAACCTTCTCTTTAAACTCTGAGAGCCGTAATAGATCACTTCACACCCGGATCGTTTTTTTTTTTCGACTTCACACATTGTTGTTTAGATTTCTAAGGTAAGTAAAGCATCACTGTTGAGCTCTAATGAGACACAGTTCAAAGCTGTTTCTCTTACACATACAGTATCGGTGATTAGGTCAAAGACAGATTTTCCTCCCTCTGTTATCACTACACACAGCTCCCTCCCTCCTCCAGGTCCTTCTCGGTAACAGAGTCCTCACATTTGATCAGTGTTTCAGGCTGTTATAGAGGGCCGGAATAAACGCTCGTTTCTTACTCTGTGAGACATTAATTTGAGTTGGAAGTGATATGTCTTTGTAATAAAACCTTCAGTCTGGAAACAACAAAAAGGTCCCTTTTTACATCATAGGTATTTGAACACAGCTCTGAGTCAACCTGTTACATTTCTCAAATCTCTTCCTCCAGTGGGTCCTAGACTCATGTCATTGAAAAGCTATTGGTACACCGATGTGGTCATAAATCAGCGTGATGAGAACTTACTACAGAGAAAGCATACAGTGTTTACCTGTTGTTTATTTTGATTTTAAGCTTTGACACATGTGCCATCTGTAGGTATGGAGAGGTGGGCTTAAAGGGATATTCAGGTGTAAAATTAACTTATGGTCAAACACACTGTAACTCCGAGTTAGACACCTCCTCAAGAGATGAATGTTGCCGACTGCTGCTTCTCTAGTTATACTAACTTTAGTAATGAACACACAATAGCAATACACAGTGGTCTACGCCTCCACATGCAAACCTCAACCAAAACGCCACTCTATAGCCACAAATAATGCTCAGAACAGCACCTAACTTCATCAACAGTACATACAGGGTCCCAGCCATAGTAGTAGCCATCAAACATTTTTTTATCTTTGCCTGATTTCTTTAGCAAACACAACTCACCTACTCTCTTCCAGCAGCCACTTGGCTGTGGGAGAGCCCTAATGAGTCAATCACCGAGTGCAGCTGAGTTTCACAGCTCAAGGACATTTATGATTGTTACTTGATGGTAATGCAATCATAGTTCTTGTGTATCTTGTATGTGCACTGCAGACGCGGTAGTTCTTCTGCCATGGCGTCTTGGTCTGATTGCATTTCCATGAAGTAATAGGCATAAATTTTCCGCTGTACTCGGTGACTGACTCGTCAGGGCTCCCCCCACAAACAAGCAGCTACTGGAGGAGAGTGGGTTTGCATGTGGAGACGTAGACCGCTGTGTTGCTATCGTGCGCTTGTTGCTGGAGTTGGTATAACTAGAGAAGCAAGCAGTCTGCAAAATTCATCTCTTGAGGGGTTGTCTAACTCAGTGTTACGGTGTGTTTGACCAAGCTTAAATCTTACGCCGGAATATCCCTTTGAGGTAGTTTGACTTTTATCTGTGAAACACATAACAGAAAGACTTACAGTGTCAATGTTTTTTTCTGCAAGTTGTCATGAATTGTGAGAAAAATGCCCCCTAATGCAGCATGAGAGGAAATCTTTCAGGACCTTTTGAAACTAAAGTTTGCAAGATAAATAACTGGATTTATTTTATCGGTATAATAATTTTCAAATGACACAAAAATCTAAGTAATTTAGAAATATGAAGCTGCGTGTAGACTTTCTTTAATCACGTGCCTATAAAGAATAAAACCAGCAGCCTTTTGACAATCAACTGTGGTCTGTTTGTGTGTACTGCTCCTTTATGACTTCTTTGTCGTCTCTTGGACTCCCCCTGCAGGTGGTGAAATGCAACAACCTCTCAGTCTCCTCTCGGCCTCCATGGACAAAACCATGATCCTCTGGGCTCCTGAAGAGGGGTCTGGAGTCTGGGTGGAGCAGGTGAGTGTTGACCTGAATTGAAGTAGCATATATGCAGACACAGACACAGATCACATGAATATGCATACATGGAATCACTAACTGTGCGCACACTCAGACCCACACACCAATTTTCCTCCTCTCCATTTCTGCTGGTTTCTCCTTTGAGTTGCTCTTGACATGAGCCAGCGCTCAAGCCCTCCTCTAGTATTCTCTCTCCTGCTGTCAGTGCCCCCGCGTCGGTTTCCACTCTCGCTGACATTGAAGTGTCAGGAATAGAAGTGATGGACAGTGATGAAGAGCCGCCGAGCCTGGTGCACCACTGTGAGTTTAGACAAGCCCAGGTTGTCCTCCCCCGTCTCATCCGCTATCACTCACTCTCACCGAACCCCCTCTTTTACAGCCCACACCCCTACACGGCCGACGGAGGATGGAGAGGCTGGTGGAGGACTTGTCATAGCCTCTGGCTGCACCGCCTTCCTCCTTATTATTCTTTTCCTCCGTGATCTGTCTTCCCCCTTTCACTCCCCGCTCCCGCCTTCTGTCATTTACTGTCCTCCACCTCCTCTTTTTTGTCTTTTTTTTCAACACTTGCCTCCGTTTTTTCTTCTCCTGTCTGGTCTCCCTCTCTCATATTGTCTCCTTCCCTTCACCCTCCTCTCTTGTAGCTCCTAACAGCTGTTGTTGTGCCAGAATGGGACTAAATTTAAACACAAGTGTGGAAGGCGAAGAAGAAGCAGTTCTCGGCCCATCTGCCCTGCGGCATTAGTCTGGCTAATTCTCAGGTGGTTCAGGAGTACCTTAGATTAACTTTCCTCGTACCCTGCAGAAACGCATCCTCCTGCGCAGAGCTGCAGAGACAAGCTACTTGCACACACATGCATAATGCGCCCCACAATACACGAACACGTTCATCTGCTTGGACACGGCGCACCTGGACATGCCACGCTCCTTCAGATGAGGAAGATTCCACACTTGATCAGTTACATTTGCGCACCTTTGATCTCGTCATTTCATCCACAGTGGCGAGCAACAGAGACCAAAGTCGGGAGCAGCCATGAAAGTCTTGATTCTCCTCTCTTACAAAGGGGCGATGATTAATGCCTGAAGCTGGCGAGGATGTCACATATTTTTCTTCTTAGACAAAAAGGTGGTCAGTGGAGGGAGAAAAAGCAGCTGTGGGTGTTTGAAACCAAGTCTGCTGTTCTGCCGTTCTCCCTCTGTAGCTCAGGCTTTTCTTCTTGATCCCTCCTTAAAAAATGAAAGTAAAGCTCTACCTGAAATAACCTCCTTGTTGAAAGTGTATGCATAAAGTATGAGGCTCTTTTCCATTCCTTTCCTTTGCCGTTTCTTTCTCATCTGACCTTTAAATTTTTCAAATGTGCGAGTAAAACCCTTTGAACTGACAGCCTCTGTGCCTATAAAAGAAGCTTAACATTAACATAAACACACTTGCACTTGCAAAAAAAAGGCACTGAATTAACTCTAACATTTTGTCCTCGGCTAAGCCAGTTAGACAGTATTAAAGGCTGTTTTATCTGAATGTTTCCATGATCAGAACAGGCCTCGCAGATGCCGCTCATGGTGGATGTGGACGTTTTTGGCAGATCAGATCCTGCATCGCTAAATGACCAGCCACGTGTGTCTTAATTAGCCAAATTTTACAAAGAAGTGCTCCACTTCTTCATGCTGATTAGAGTAATTGGTGAGATTTAATGGAGAGAGGGGTTAGCAGTGGGGTGGCCGGGGCCCACCGCTGCGTAAAGCACATCTTACTAACGAGACACACTGGTAATTAACAACTCAGACTGACCACAGCGGGCCACTACAGAGCCTGGGGGGACTGTCTGTTTGTGTGTTCCTGAGATAACCTATTTTCAGAGCTCAGCTTGTGAGCTGTCCTTAAGTAGCTTTTGACCCAATAACAAATCCATAAAAAAAAAGCATGAAAGCTGAAATGAATTCGCAGTTTTTTTTGTGTGTGTGTTTTTGTGAGGTTTGGTGGCTGTCATCAAGTCCACCTGGAGCGTGTTCAAAAACACAGCTTTGTTTTAACAGATAGAAATGGTTCCAAGTAAGTCGTCTTACCAAACTGCACTGATCGAAAGGAAGGCAGGGCTTAGACGCACTTTATTAAAATTGGATAAAGTCTCCTAACACAGAAACAATGACTTCAAAGTCTTGTGCGCAACATTTTAGCATGATACGACATTTAGAAGTGCAGCTTGTGCAAAGTAGCTCTTTGATACAAAGGTGTGATTCCATAAAGTGTAATAAAGTCTACCATACTACTATCTAATCTAATGACAGATAATTCATCAATAAAGTGTCCGATTATCAATCGTGTAAAACTTTAATGTACAGAGGAAGTTTTATAAAGAAAAAGTTTCATACTGGAGACTTTTTTTTAAAACTATAAAAACAAACTACACCATCAGCTGTAAGATCCACTCATCCTGCTGACTCCTGACAGTCACATGTTTATTAGGAGTGGAAATCACTAGTGGCTGTACGATACGATATGATATTATCATGATACTTGGGCCACAATACGATATTATCGTGATACTTGGGCCACAATACGATATTATTGCGATTTAAAATTTTGCAATACAGTGAGTATTGAGACGATTTTTTTGACTGTTACGCGAATTTGGCATTTTTCTTTTATGTTTGTCTTCTTTACACAGTATTTTATTTTCATTTCAGCACATCTTGCAAACCATTTATATATATTTGTTACACTAACCTTTTCCTGCTCTATGATGTCACCTCTGCCAACCTCACTGGACAAACCGTTGATTTTATTTTTCTATTATCATAGATCACTCGAAACTATGCTGTTTCAATGTTTTTGCCCACCCCTAGCATCTTGTATATGCTGTGCGAATGTGGAGTAGCTGCAACAAAGAACTGAACAGAGAAATATTTCAGACTTACAGGGTCTGTCCACTTTTCTACATGTTTTTTTCTTCTTCTTGATAAAATAGGCAAGTCTATATGGTTGAGTGTCAGTCCAGAGTCCAGCTGGGTCAAAATCAGTCTGGCTGCAGTAAAAACTCCCTGAGGAGGCAGCAATGTGTCAGCTTTGCCGGTCTAGACTGTTGACTCAGTATCTAAAGATGAGATTACATCCCAGTGAAAAAGTCTCCTTCTCTGTAACCAGCTTGTGAAGACCTCACCCAGCCTCCAGCTGAGTGTCTCAGCTGTGCGCTCAAGAGCCTTTAGCTAGCTGGCTTACCCAAAAACATGCTTTAAACTTGAAGTGAGACCATATGTTGTTTATGTCTAGCAGGCAGAAATTCAAAGAAAAAAGCCTGTTTGATTACAAGTTCTAAAGAAGTTGATGTCCCTCATTGTAGGAACATCAATCAAAGAAAAAGAGAGGGTAGTAGAAGTTCCTACTTATAGCCTTACCTATAGCTGCTTATCGCTGCTATAGCTGTTGCTATGGCAATTAACTCTTTCACCAGCCAAAATACCAGCACACCTGATTTATTTTAGTTTGAAAAATGAAGGTGTTGAAATCCTGTCTTTGCACAAACAGGACTGAAGATAAATCCTGATTCTGACTCGTTCTCCTTTGCAACACTTGAAAGTTATGAATCTTTCTCACTCTGGATTTTTCCTGCAAATTTCTAACAATTTCCACACAAAAATAAATTGTAATTTGACAAATCAGAAGATCAACTGGAATTGAGATCATCAGACTGCACTTTGTGTTGCATATTTTCTCCATAAGGGTAAACTGAAGGATGAAACTTTGTGGGCTAATGTTTGAGCCTGAAAATTTAATCCTAAAACCTGCTCTCAGACTGTTTGGGTTTTCCCGGCTTAACTGAGCTTACTCAGCTCTCACACCCTTCTCTCTCTCTCTCTCTCTCTCTCTCTCTCTTTTTCTCTCTATCTCCTTCAAAGAATGAATTATGCCTCCCCTCTTTCAGCTGCCCTTGTTTTATTCCTCCCCCTCACCCCCGCCAGCCAGCAACGATAAGGCACGCTGTTCATCTGCATTGTTCCCCCTCGTCGTAAACAAGACAGATGACGGCTTTTCGCCTCTGTGAGTTTTTGTGTGATTTACGGCGAGCTCTTACACGCAGAATTTAAAAATTAATCTGCTTAATGTTGCATTCTCTCTTGATCTCACTGTCTATGTACAGCTGACCGTCTCTGTCCTCTCTCTCTCTGTCTCTCTCTCACCGTATGGCTGGAGGAGCGTGCCATTCAAAGTAAAGGCATGCCTTTATCGCTGTCATTAGTTCCGCCGTGTTCCCGCCTGCAGATAGACGTTATTTTGAAGGTCACTGACGACCATCACCAGCTGGAAGGCCTTTAAATTGAGGACAGCACTTGACTGCAGCGTACAGTAGACAGATAGTTTTCTGTTGCCTTTCAGCACATTTGTTTAGCTGTAATTGGTGCGTGCTACTTTATTTGTGTGTTTCTTCTGTGGTCAGATAAACCAGCTCTCACTCTGCCTCACAAAAAGATAACGGGCTGAGCTGTACATTTTCCAGATCGCAATCATTCCGGTGTGAATTTTGCACTTCTCATATTTCTTATGGTCCTCATTATTAAAAGCACAGGCTAATTAAAGATGGAGAAGATATTATGAGGCTGTATCTGGTAAGAGGGGGCGATGCTGCTGAGGGAGGGGTGTAGCGCTCTCTCGGGTTTGTTCTGCTGTTATCAATTTGAATTGATCTCCCCTCTGGGCACAGTTTACCTGCAGGGCTTCAGGGCCTGATAAAGCTTTTAATTGTAAGAATTCCTCCAGGCGGCAGAGCACTGGCCTGGTCAACCTCCTACTTGAATAATCCTCAGGTAAATGGAAAATGGACTATATGTAGACAGCGATTTTCCAACCAAAGCACTCTCATGATACGTGCCGTTTGCACCTATTCACACTACATTCTAACACTGATTACAAAAGATGTCATATAATGTGCCCATCAGTGCCCACCAATATCATTTGCATGTATCTAAATGCCATTGACGATGCCACCGGGTGCAGTTTATGCGTTTTGTCCAAAGCAGCAGGGATCAAACCGCCATATGTCCAATCGAGGGACAGCCATCCTCGCTGCTGAGCCACAGCCGCCTCTAGATACAGTCTGTCTTTCTGATTGGTTGAAAAGTAACGTTCAAACTCTGCCTACATTAAAATCAATGTTTTTTGCCCCTCAAGTTTGATCAGAAGTGGGTGGTCTGTTTATTAACAATTGTTGCCATGGATACAAATCTGCAGGCTCACCTTTATGGCAGCTAGTTGTTGGCCTGTTCTGATTGGTCCCAGGCTTTTGATTTGATGCAGGTATCACTGCAGTTTAAGGTAAAGTTTTAGAAACTCTCCTGATGCCTAATTTGACGTTTACCTTTCAAGAAGGTGTTTTTATTCAAAGACTAGTCAGGCTGGTATTTTCAGTGTGGTGCAGCGGTTAGTGAAGGTGTAGTGATTTAAATGTTAAGTGTCTGTGCAGCGGTAGAGGGGATGGAAGATAGTTGAGCATCTGCTTCTCATGGTTGATATTCATGCAAAGTGCAGGTTTTGGACCATAGTTTAGGCTGTCCACATGTGATCCAGTCACCCAGGATGGATGCTAATGTCATGTTCAAATAAGACCTTAAAGTTCCCACTCTGATTATTTTTTTACTACTTTAAGTATTATCAGTGGTCTTTAAATTGTGATTATGAAGGTTTTTTTTTTTTAGCCAAAATCACGTTACCAGTGTCATTTTCAAGTGCTTTTCTTCTGCAGAGCTCCAGTGGATCATTAGAAATTCACCTTTGAGTTGTGCACACTGCTCTGCACACTGCTCTGCACGCTGCTCTTCATGCTGCTCTTCACACTGCTCTTCATGCTAACTTGTAGCCTAACATTGCCGGTGTAGTACAAGTGGCAGGTAACATAGGAGCCATTCAGCTCTTGGACACTAATGTCTTTAGGGACATGATGAAAGCTAATATCATAATTAGCTTTCTTACGAGCATTGCAATCTGCCAAGGCACACGCTTGTTCTGCAATCATCCTCTACTTTTTTGTAGACAGCAAGAAAAATATGATTTTCATCCGAGTAACTCTTTAAAGTTCCCCCTGCGCCTCACTGTAAGATACATTTATGCTGAATTGAAAAAAGATGTTATATCACAACTGAAGATATAAATAAAGAATCAGAAATACAGAAAAAAAGAGGATAAAAATACAGTTTTATTTTTATTTAAAGCGATGTAAATTTAATGGTAAGCAGTGTTTGAACGCCTGTTAGTCATTAAGTACAGTATGTTATTTCACAGTTTGATTGGTCTTTTCTTCCTTAGTTTGAGCTTTAGAGTTTCAGTAAAGTCGTCTTAAGCTGATGTTGGGACTCCCTCTTCATTATTTCTTTCACTTCTTCTCTTACACTTGAGCATATTTCTGTTCCTCAAAGAAATCCCTCCATTCATGCACATTTTAAACACTCACATACATTTCTGCATAGTTTGGAGTTATTTCTGTCCTGTGTTGTAATCCTCCTTTCTCAGTTATGTAATCAACAGAGGGCCATACTAATGTTAAATCATTTTTTTCTATTTCAGCATGTAATTTCTGTTCCTTATGGAGATTAATGTCTGTTTAATGATGAATGGAAACAGATTTAGATTCAGTGGGTACTTTTTTAGATTTAATTAATTTGGCATTCAGTCTGAATTTTGTTCTCTTTTGAATCTCATTCTCCATTTAGCCTCCAACGCTCTTGTTTGTGTTTTGCACCTTTTTTTTCTTTTCTTTTCATCTGTGCTTGGAAAAAAAAAAATCACAAAAACTAAGTGACCTCAAAAAGACTTTTAAGAGGTAAATTTTCATTTGTCAGCGTGATTGGTTAGTGCACTTAAATCAAAATGGGTTTTTCTGTCCCAGGTAGTGATTTGAATCTTCAAAACTCAATACATGATTGTCTTGACACACAAAAAGCAAACTGTCTGAGATTAGACAGGTGGGCAGGATCGTAAAGCAGCTATTTTTCTCTCTGCAGTTTGGAGGGGTGGTGATTGTTGGTGATTTGAAATTGGATTTTTTTGTCCCACTTGTATCCCATCTGTATGATCTGCCCTCTGAACCTGACACAGGCCCCAGCCTCTCATTCAAATCCCCATATACGCCAATCCCTCTGTGTTTTCAAGTGCTGTCGTTTCTCATAACTATTTGTTTATTTAATATGCAGCACTACAGTTGCTTTCATTTTACATCAGACAAATGTCTTTTGTCGGAAAAAGTACAACATAGTTTATTCAGCCATAATAAGTCCCATTTTACATCATGTTTCATCTGACTTGTCAGCTTAGTTTGCTGTTTTCTTCTGCTTCTTTCAGCCAATATGAAAGCTGTTAGCTAACAAGTGTTAGAGAGACTCAGTCTTAACTGTCCACCTATAATAAAACTATGAGTGTTCAGCATCAAATAGGCGACTACTGCTTTTCTACTAACTTTACTGATTTTCTCTGTATGAAGCAGTTAATGCAGAGTGATTTTGGCTCTTATATCCATCTGCAACATGTCAGTGACTCTGACCCACAAACCAAATGCTCATCACCCACCTGGTGTCAGAAACAAGAGTGTTGAAAAAGCGAATGAGTGGATTATTTTTCTCACCAGTGATGATCGCCTCCACAACGTGTTTGATTTTAATTTTCACACCAGGTGCGTGTTGGGGAGGTTGGTGGAAACACTCTGGGCTTCTACGGCTGTCAGATGAGTCCGGACGGCGCCATGATCGTGGCTCATGCTTTTCACGGAGCACTGCATCTGTGGTGCAAAGACCAGGATGAGGAGGTAAGAGCCACAGTGCCAGTATATATCAGACTTTCACATCTACTTGATGTGTTTATTTCCAATCAAATGCAGGATTCCTAGGTGCATGACTTTCCTGTGTCAGGAGAGTCCAGATAAGAAACTCTGTGTTTAAAGTTCTGAACCAACCACACTGTCTATCCAGGGGGAGTGGAGGCCTGGCGTTGTGATCTCAGGTCACTTCAGTGCAGTCCAGGACCTGAGCTGGGATCCTGAGGGCGAGTTCATCTTGAGTGTGGGCTCAGACCAGACCACCAGACTGTTCACTCCATGGAGAAAAGAAGGTTCAAAGCAGGTAAAAGGTGCTGACACTCTGAGCCTCTGACATGTTTTGGGCCCTGATTTTGTAAAGGACTTTTTAAAACTGACTGAGTACAAACTTTGATGTTTTCATCTAGAATAAAAATACATATTTTGCAAATTGACATTTATATTATCCTCTCCTCTTCACGTCAGATTGATTTAGTTTTAATTTCTAAGAGATCACTTAAATATGGGATGAAAACACCATCAAGATCGTCGTCTTCTTCACATCATCAGTGCCAGTTTGGGAAGCTGCCAGCTAGTGCTGGTGCCAAATGAAGTCCAGTAACTGTGTCTGAGCCCTTGTGAGAGCACTTTGCATCTTGAACTGGAAATCTTTCATGTAGATAGCGGTTCTATGTTGCGTTTGGCGGTGTTACAGACTATGGGGTATCACGCCAAGAAAACAGGTTTAATGACATCAGAGAGCTATTTAAATGCTGGCGCTCTCTCCTGGCAACCCTCGTGCAGCTGGTTGGAATCCCAGCGATCGAATCTCCATCTTAACAATATCCTTCAATGTCTTTTTTCCCCCTGCAGGCAACCTGGCATGAAATCTCTCGGCCTCAGATCCATGGATACGACATGCAGTGTCTGGCGATGGTGGGGAGGTTTCAGTTCGTGTCGGGAGCCGATGAGAAGGTGCTGCGGGTTTTTCAAGCACCTCGTAATTTTGTGGAGAACTTCGCTAACATCTCTGGGGACTCCAGAGAAAAGCTGCTGGCATCCAGTGTGAGTGGAAAAAAAAACTTGTTTCCCAACTAAAAAATATGCAGATTGGAAGACCCTGAATTGAGCTCATTTGAAGATGTGTCCATTAATTTCTTGATTCCTCTTGCCAGGATGCTGCCAACCTCCCAGAGGGAGCCAGCACACCTGCACTGGGTCTGTCCAACAAGGCTGTGTTTCAAGGTATGATACTCGCTCAGGTCTGGGCCTGGTTTTGTCTGATAATCAGTTTTCTTGAAGTCCTTTGAGTAACTGAGTAGCAGTCTTTAGAGGAGGCGCGTAAAGCTCCTGTGAGGAGGTTTTCTAAGTTTATGAAAGAGACTTCAATTCTTCTTGATGGTTTTTAATGATATACAAAAACAAACAAGACCATCCGCAACAAGACTGATGATTTTTGATGCTGTAGTTCTTAATGCCTGAATCAGCTGTGAGGGGGTTGGTGTCAGTCAAACAGTGAATCAAACAGTCTTGTTTTTACAACATTCACAATACTTGATACATTTGAGGTTATTGACCATAGACTGTAAATAGAATGGACGACATCTGCCTCCTTACTGGGTGAAGACACCCAGTAAGGAGGCAAAACCCAAACCTTGGTTCTTTTCTGCCTCTTTTCTGTCCATAAATAGTCCAGTATCATCTCCCAACTCAACAATGTTATCAACGTTATCTGATTGTATGAGATTCTCATAGGATTTTGAAGGAAAAAAAATAGTCCAAAAACAGAAAGAGGAAAAAAAATAGTACAAAAAACAGAAGGAAAAATATGATACTCAGACAAACTGAAAGAAGAAAAAAAAATGTGTCCAAAAAATGGCTTAGACAAAAAATTACTCAAAAAAACATTTTTTTTTTTTGTAAGTGAATGCAATATGCTTCTGTACCTTACTAATTTAGACAAAAAAAAAAAAAAAAAAAACGAACAAAAAAAAAAGATAACTCAGAAAATGAAAGATAAACTAAAACTGCAACCTTACAGACAGAAATGAAGATGATGTCTTTTCTAAACACAGCTGTGTCACTGTCCAAGCCTGGATGTTTTTCATTCTTTTACCTGCTAAAAACTGAAATTTCTATAGAAAAATGCACTAATACATGTAACTTCTCCTCACAGGTGATCTTGTCCAAAAAACCAATAAAGGAGAAGAGGAGCAGTTCAGCAGTGTGTCTGATCAATACCAGGAATCCTACTTCCACCCGCTCATCATGACTGGTATTTTTCAAACTTTCATAAATAAATTCCTGGAAATGTTTTGCCCTCTGTGCATCTGATTTCAAACTCTCAGTCCAAAAGAAAATGAAAGTCTAAATGCATCCATGTCCCCCCTACGGTCTGAAAGCCTGACTCATATTCCTCATCCACTCAGCAGCCCCACTGCACATTTAAGAGTTCCTGTCTGCCTGTCGCTGAGTGTTCTTACAAGAGACAATGATATGCCGGCAGACGGACAGTTAGTTATTACTGCTGCCGACATGCTCTACACCCACAGTGCCTGAGGTCTGCTGGAGGCCGGTGCTGCTGCAGCAGGGAGGAGTGGCGGGTGAGAGAGGAGGAGGGAGAAGAGGTGTCAGGGAGCAGAAGGGAGAGAAAAATGTAAGAATAAGACCAGAGAAACTTGGAGGGGTACGGGTGCAAGATGGCAGAGAGAAAACTGAAATGTAGAGAGAGAGAGAGAGACTGGAAAGCTTGAGAGCAGAGGTATCATTGAGCTAATGTTTAGAGGGAGCACAGAGGTGCACCGAGAGTGAAAAACACAGAGGAAAGAGGAGACACTAATTGTAGGAAATTGTGGGTATGGGAAATAGATGTGAGTCAAATGAAAAGAACTGAGCATGAAGCTTTAAAACCTCGGGGCGAGAGGGCGATGAGCTGTCATCAGCATGATTGAAGCCCTTAATCTGCAATGCTAATTAGAAAGAAGACTACTGTGATTGCAAAGTGTAAGTATCAGTGACCCTGGGCGATACAGGAAGCAGCCGAGTGCAGACTGTTGTGAACAATGCATCGTCACTTGTTTGATTGGCTTACATGCAGGCAACGAGGAGATGAATGAATAATTATCAGAGATGTCCAAAGAAGAGTGTGTTTTTTTGTATAATGTAACATAAAGAAAGCAGAGATTTTCTGATGGAGTCTGCAGTATGAGGGGGAGGACTGGGAAAGATCTGGTCCTCCTTACAACGAGGAGCCTCAGAGAACAGGAGATGAAGATTTGGTTTGTTTTAAAACACCTTTTTTTCTAGCAGGCGAGTTGCAGGGCCGAGAAATATAAAAGCCAGCTGCTGGGAGAGGGTGTGTTTGAGTGTGAGGGGATATCATGTGTAGGCTGTTCACACATGCTCTCACACTCACTATCCTATCTGTGGCTGTTTTTAAGGAGGTAGAAGCCTATTCAGTCGAATACATACAGGATCTGTATTGAGCGAGTTGCGTTCACGTTGCGTCTTTTCTCCGTAGTGCAGCGCTGTCTACCGCACACAGAATGCGTACTTGGAGTGTAGCAGCAGCGTAGTGCAGCCCGGTCAGCTGGCCTCAGTATAGAGGAAACAACATGCTCACAACAGGTAGTTTTGTCTTTCTGTGGGCTATTTCCTGCTAACTTGGATATAATTCAGTGACTGGTGAGCTTCTACTCTATGAGAAATAACGTGATTTTACAGTTTCGGTTTTTGCAGGTTTATTCATTTTTAATAAAGTAAACTATGTTCCTTTATGCTGTGTTTTTACCTTTAGACAGAGTTAGCAGTTAAAAGTCCTGTTGGGGTCCACATGGATCAGGGATTGACCATCGGATTGTTCTGTGTTACTGATAAATCCATAACCAGGAAGTATTTCTCATCTACATGAACTGATACACAGTCAGGAGTCCACAAATAGCGTTTTATTTTGAAATTTACCGAATGACATGCGTGGTTTTTGTGCTTGACTTCCTGTCGAGAACACTCTTCACCTGTTGAGATTGACGCGGGTTGCGTTTAGCACTTGATATGCCTCTAAAACTGAGCTGATACGGAGCTGATACGCCTCCTGTATGCGATGCTGCATTGATGAGAATGGCAACCTATTTGCTGCGTGATATGCAACGCTGACGAAACGCGATCCTGTACGTTTTAGCCTTAAGTCGTAAAGAAAGCAGGAAACGGGTTGTATTAACATTTTAAAACAGCTCAAGTTTAAGGGCTTGTCTTACAACAGCTATGCGAGGGTTTTGAGGCCTTTGCTTACATCTTCGTGTTCTTTGTGTGTGTGTGTGTGTGTGTGTGTGTGTGTGTGTGTGTGTGTGTGTGTGTGTGTGTGTGTGTCTTCAGAGCCCCCACCAGAGGATCACCTCCTCCAGAACACACTCTGGCCCGAGGTCCAGAAACTGTGAGTATCAAAGTGTCCTCCTGCTCTTTTCTGTCCTTAGTGCCATCAGTATTAGGTTGTGAGACATGATCCAATCACATGTTTTGATTTCCATGTTTTCTTAATGAAGGGACATTCCCTGATAGAGTTGTATTTGTTTCCCAGAGGGTTTAATTGTCTCTGAAAATAATGGACTTCTCTCCCTCCCTGCATTTATCAGCCAATCAGGATCCAGCTTCCTGCCCTCCCATGAGCCTCCTCTGTAGGCTAGATATATAGCCTCTATTTGTGGCCAATGTTAAATCCATTTACCTGTCAATCGCTCATAAACATGACATACAGCGCGGCTGTTTATTCGAGGAGTGGGCATTGTATGCGTGTGTGTGCGTTTGAAAAGCATTTTTCTGCCTCCATTTGGCTTCACTCCCCCTTTGAATCATTTAGTGCATAATAGAAACATTAAAATGAGTAAGTGGCCAAATTATTTCTGTGGCATAAATAATACTCGGACTGCCTCGGCCAAATGGCTGCAGCCTTTGAAAGCTTCCTAGTCAGAGAGGAGTTTTCTCTCCACTCAGATTTCTCCTTTTCTGAAAAACCAGGTGATTTTTGGCGAGCTAAAAGTAATTAAGCCGTGAGTGATTAGTGGGAGCGCCATCATTGTTTATCTTTGTCAACGGGAGATGAACCAGTCATCACAGATCAGTGTTTTAATTTCACACTCTGTCTGCTTATTTACCTGGAAGCTTGTCAGGGTGACACTTAGGAGTAACAGAGTACTTCATTTACCTTCCATGTGGGGGGGGGGGATCTCTCCGTCTCTGTCCTCCTCCCTCTGCCTGTCTGTCTTTTAACCGTCGTCTGTCCTTCCACGTAATCAGCTCGGTTCTTATCTTGACTGTTGTCATGACTCATCTCTTTACAACTGTTCTCCACTAGGTACGGCCATGGTTTTGAGATTTTCTGTCTGGCTTCAGATGTTACCAGGTCTGTGGTGGCGTCTGCATGTAAGGTAAGCAAGAAAAGAAAGAGGCCAGAGACTGTATCCTAGTCTGGTCCCTCCCCTCTTCAGTGGAAGCAATACAACTGGAACTCTATATAAAGAGGGTCATCAGGTCCCATCATAGACTGTATATAGAATGGACGCCGTCTGCCTCCTTGCTGAGAACAGCACCCTCTGGTGATGGGCTGCAGTATAGGTCATAAATCCCACCTCCTCCAGCAATCATTATGGAGCTGTAGACAAACTTTAGAAATTTATTACACAGAATATACATTTTCACCCCCCTGGTTGTGATGTTGACATGTAGTTATTGTAAGACAAACGTTTAAGATAGAGATTATAAAGTTACTGTCACTCTCTTTCCAGGCATCCAAAGCAGAGCACGCAGCCATCCTGCTGTGGAGCACAGCTTCGTGGCGTCAGCTGCAGTCCCTGCCCTGTCACACCCTCACAGTCACACAGATGGCCTTCTCCCCTGATGCACGACTCCTATTAGCTGTTTCCAGGGATCGCACCTGGTCCCTATGGAGACGGGACCTGCCCACACCTGAAAGTCCAGGTGAGGTGCAAGAAGATGTCACTAATAAAGAGGATCGCCCTTAAGGCTTATTTATGCGTTAACGTTACATAGGGACCCGGACACAGACGGAGCTTGAAGCTTTCTGCCCGAATCCTTAAAGGTTACGGATATGGGCCATACAGAACAGTATCACTGGAAACCGTGGGGGCGGTGTTGCTACTGTCACTACCCAATACATATCTCTAGAGAGAAACAAAGAAGACAATGGCAGGGCTTTCTGAGGATCGTCGTAATTTTCTCTCATCGATACAACTAGTATTAGAAATATTTTACAGCATCTTACTGCGAAATTCAATCAAGGGGGATTTACTGATCATCAGCAAGTATTAAACATAGAAATCTTTTTTTCTGAACCAGCACTGTGGGGAGCTGGTGTCTGTCTGTGAGGCTTATTTAGCTGAACACCCAGAACCTTGATGTGGAGCTCATGGTGAGAACAAACCTACAGAAACTCTTACTTTGCACTATCAAAGTCAAAAATCAGCTTCAGATCTGATGTCGTTTGTACAAAACAAACATCTGCCTGAAAAACTTCCCCACCAGGTGTGATCTACCTGCTCTCTCTGTCAACTTTTTCTCCGTCTTTGAGCACAAGAAACAGAGTCAAACCGTGATCATGATAAGACTTTTTTGAAGCCTAACTTAGAGGATGCTCTGGACTAAATCTAGTAGGCAAAACCTCTGTGTCCCTAAAAGCTCCGAGCTCATGTGAGGAGATTAGAGCTGCTTACAAAATGGACTGAGATGAGCACAGATTCAAACACTGGATTGAAAATGTACACAATGACACCACTTTGATAAAGAGTATTTATCAATAATACTCTTAGACAGATTAAAGTTAGTCTAAGTTAAAAAAGAAATGAAGAAATCATAAACTGATCAAGGCTGGACTCAAATGTCTAAATGATCCTGCGGAGTTGTGTCCATTTAAGCTGAACCTGTTGTGGTCATTGAACCGCCTCTCTCTCGCTCTCTCTCTCTAAAATCACAGTGTTATTCTGCAGGATTCACATCTGACAGAAGTTAGCATTGAAACACAAATTTGACCTCCATTTAAATGTCTGCCAACTTGAATTTGTTTGAAGTAATAAAAAAGTAAAAATTAGTGTCTTTGTGGAAGCAATCTGACGCTGAGAAGGACAGAGTCCATGTCCCCTCACAGAAAAACTCACATCAGTTCAGTTGAGTTCATCCCTTAAAACTGAAGTTTATCAGGCTGCTCAAAAGTTTTTATTCACATAGTTTTTCACTCAAAACATTCGGAGAGCCAAATGATGTCTTTTTTTAGAGATGTATTCACCTGTTTATGTTTTTAGTTTTAAACTTTAACCATTTCATCTCAAGGATCAAATAAGGAGGAGATGAGTGTGCATGGACTGCACTCAGATGAAGTAAAATACAATATACTAACTATATTTATCCCCACATGGAAATTCCTTTGTCTGGAGTCTCAAGTCCGAATACTGTGGGTACAAAAGATCTCCTATATCTATCTGTCCTGCAGCAAAGAGACAGGAGCCATCCACCAACAAGGAATTTTGGTCATTCAAGATGTTTTGAAGTGGATGATCCATGTTCCCCAGAATAGCCTCCAGGTTCCTCAGTTTTCCAGTGTACATCTAGAGAAAATAATTCTCCGTCCTCCAACCGTGAGGCATTTAGTGGCCTGAACGACCGCCGCCCCCTCCAACGCTGCCTCCGTTTCTGTCTCTTATGCGAAATATACAGTATAACTAGCTCCTCCACAGTCGCCATGTTTCTTTTTGTTTGTTGTTGTCAGAAACTTTTTACTCTGACCTGCCCCCTGGTGGATGTAGTGGTTAACATCCATGCTAATGTAAAGGACGCATGAAATTATGTGGGCAGTCATGGAACCATCATTTGAAACGTACACCTACATTTATATCATACGTATGGGGAGCATAAATGAGCCTTACAAGGACCGTGTTTTCCTGCTGTCAGGACTCAGTTTTCTAAAGCAGGCGGGGATCACAGTCCTCCACGGTGCCTCACAGATAAATCCAGATTAATTAAAAATAGGTTTGACTGAATTTCAAGACAAAGAGACAATATTTGAGCCTTACTGGCAGATTGCACCAGATCCCAACGTTCAAATTAGTTTTAAAAAGATAAACACACCGCGCTGATTTGTTCCAAGTCAAGCCAGCCTGGGAGAAAGGAGTCCCCAAATTAGCGCTGGGGACAGCCAAGCCAGTGATGCGCTGACTGAAAGGAGTCCAAAAAAGGCTAATAAAGAGAAGATTATTTCTTAATTCATTTTATGAAAATTAAAGACTTCTTTGCATGTCTTATTTTAACTTCTTTCTTACTTTGTTGGTTAAAAGACTGATTCGATCTCCTTTAGTTACTCTTGTTTTAAGATTATTGTGACGATAACAGATTCTTTTCTCTACTTTTCTGCCTCTGAACATCACAGTACACCTAAGTCACACTGCTCACTAGATTTCTTCTTCCACTTAGTTAATGTTAAAGAGTTTGATCAACATGGGTCCAGATCAGCTGTTAATTACTGAAAAAGAAAGCACTGATGTGAGATCAGTGTTGTCCTGGGTGGGTAGAGAAAATAAGAAGCAGACTCTGTGCATCCTCACTGTGTGTGGGCCTCCTGCAGGGCCTCTGTTGTTGTAAACAGGAGCGTGCTCCTGCAGAGTTTGTTTATATAAGAGAATCTCTGCACCTTGACTTGAACAAATAACCCGATCCTGCATCCGAGGTGAGCAGAACACGACATTTAAGCCCAGAGGATTATCTCCGCCCTGCACCTGGTTACGCGTCTTGTGGCTCTTTTTGGAGCTGGCCTTAAATGACTCTGACAGAGGCTAACCAGCCCTGCTCTCTCCTCTCACTGTGTGTCTGTGTGTGGACTGTACCGAAACAGGGAGGGGGGTGTGCGAGGGAGGGGCAGGGGAGGAGTAGGGGGTCCCGTCTGTTCTGGTTGGCTGCTGAATCACTCAAGGTGATTGTGAGGAACACACACACACACACACACACACACACTGGCCAGACCGGAGAAGGTTAAAGGAAGTTGAAGCTGATCAAACAAACTCACTCCCTCCATCTTTTCCTCCTCTTTCTGTCCTAACCCTTTTGTCCCTTCCTCCTCCTCTTCTTCTTTCTCATTAAGGAGACATCGTTGTCTTCCTCGTCTTTGTCTGTCTTCTCTTTATGCGCCTGTTGCATCTTCTCCTCTTTATTCCCTTCTTGGTCCAGAACCTTCCAGATGAGTGTGAAATAAACGTCTGTGTCCTGAACACCCCCCACCTTCAAATCTGTGTTTGTGTGTTGGCAGTTTGTAGACACTGTGTTGTGAGCACACAGACATGACATGGTGGTTAACTCAGACTTTAGTGACTACACTGTGGTTTTAACGGCTGTGTGTACATGCCGGTTCAGTTATTTATTTGTGTGTGTGGTTGTGTGTGTGTGTGTGCTGACGTGCAGACAGGCGGCTGCCAGCAGCATACAAACAAGCTCTCAGGGGAAAACCAATCTGGGCTCTGAAATGACTTAGGCCGGGGAAATAAACAGCAGCAGGTCATAAAGCAAAACTGAGAGGAATGAAGGGCTGGGATGAGGCTCGCTGTCTTGTTTATTTGTTGCTCAGGAGGGTCTTTGAGCAGCGGCGCGGGGCTCTCAACATGCTGAAATCATGCAATAATAATCATGACAGAGTTTTGAATTGTGGCTCATCTGTCATCTAAAAGAAGAGTCACTGTTCCCTGAAAGTCAAATCTAACTCCATAATTTCACTACTGTACTCGAATCATTCATGTATGATCTCTGTTTTTGTCTTGTTTGTTTGTTTGTTGTCTTGCAGAGCCGCAGTTCTCCCTCCACACACACACAGGGAAGGACACAGCCGTGCACACAAGAATTATCTGGTCATGCGACTGGAGCTCAGACTGTAAATACTTTGTGACATCCAGTCGGGACAAGAAGGTAACTTTTTTCATAGACAAATTTCATTAGAAACGACTCTTTGGATGTGTTCTCTCAGTGTTGTTGTAGGGCAGGAGTTGGAGAATGTTTCTGTCCTGTTTTTCTATGAAGGATAGACTATGGACAAATGGAACAAAAATGACTAAAATATCTCTATTATTATATATTATTATTATTATATTACCTGTGTAGTAATATATGTGTGTGTATTTTTACATCGATGCCTTTTCTTTTTTGTTCTTGTCTCATTCTTTTCCTTTCTTTCTAAGTATTTTGAAAAATGAATGACTTAATGAAAAGAAGGTTTAAAAGAAAATTTCTCTTTTGAATCTGTATTTATGCAGCTGTAAATTTTGAATTTCCCCCTGTGGGACAATTAAAGGAATATCTTATCTTAACTTCTGGGACAGTTGCATTCCCAAAGTGAGCATGCGCTCTTTTTCTTTTGTCTCTCAGTGAGATTTTCTGTCTTTGCCTGTCTGTAGGTGATCGTGTGGGGTCCGTGCAGACTGGACGACTCTGGGGACTCTGCGCCTCCTCCTGAGATTAAACCAAGCTCCTCCATCTTGGACGTGGGTGATTCTGCTACAGCTGTGGCTTTCTGTCCTGTGCTCTGCTCTGATAACAGGTAACACAAACACAAAGCGCCCTCATGGTCACTCTTCACTCACATGTGATTGCTTTTTAGTGACATGGTTTTTTTTTTAAACCTGAGGCAGTCAAAGACCAACTCCTGACTAAAAATAGACTGAAGTTTTAATAAAAGGGGAAATATTTGATTAGATGACCCTGAAATGAAATCATTGTTAAGACAGCACTGAAAGCAGATGTTGGACTAAAGATGGGGAAATTTTAAAGTGTCAAAACCAGCTGCTGGCCTATCTCAGGTTGGTAGTGGAATAACTTTGAAATTAATGTTGAAAGGGCAGGACAGTAGGAAGATCAGGAAACAAGGGAGAGAGAGAGAGGGTGAGCAGTGAGTGACACGTGGGAAAGGAGCTGCAGGCCAGAGCCGGTCCCAGCTGCTCGTGCAAAGATCACAACCCCCACATATTTGGGACGCACGCCTGGACTGCCAGGCCGGCGGCGCTCCAGTTTTGCACAGTTTTAATGTTGCTTTTAGGCCGTTTCCTCAGAGTATGAGCATCTGAAATGAACAGGGTCGGTCACTCGGTTTGCTCTGCTGTAATACGTGTGTGTGTGTGTGTGTGTTTGATGTCTTCTACAGCTACCTGCTTGCAGTGGGCCTGGAGAGCGGCAGGATCTTGTTGTACAGGTGGAGTCCAGGTCAGGATCCTGCAGGAGGACAAGACTGGAGCAGATGTGGAGAAACAGACCTTTCGTATCCTTTAAGACCACACACACACACACACACACACGCACACGCACACGCACACACACACACACACACACACACACACACACACACACACACAGTTAACCTGAGCCTCCAGTGTCCACCAGCAGCAGATGACAGTTTGTCTCAGTTACACTGAAGCCTGGCGGCAGGTGAGAGTTTGGTTCCTGGTCTGTAAAGCGGGGCGGTTGCGGCGGGCTGTATTTACTCAGATTTGGACGGGTGTGTGTCTTTGAGAGAAGAGCGCGGGCAGGTACTCTTGTTTTTTGTTGTGAGGGTGTATCCCATGGGTGTGTGAGTCATAATCTGCAGATCCCAGGAAGTGAATTAAAAATAGTTTAGTGTTTTTGTGAGAGAGGGCATCTGCTCCTCAGGCCTCAGAGCTGCTCACGATTACATTTCAGGCGGAGTGAGTTTAGCTCTTCTGTGCATTACTCAAAATGTTTGCTCCCCCCTGCTGTGTGTGTCGTGATCAGAATGTTTCTTTTTGCACATTTGAATCAAAGGTAGGTGTCTACATTTAGTCTGATGTTTGTTCAGCAGCACAGATTGCTGTCCTGTTTTGCCTTCATCACACTCTCACTCAGACAAAGCCACTCTCTGGCAGTGAAGAGGCTCCGCTGGAGGCCCCGCGCTGGCCGAGCATGTCGAGAGAACATCAAGAAGGACAAGCAGACTGAGGGAGAGAGAGAAACCGAGGAGGAGAGCTCCTGGGTCCAGCTTGCCAGCGCCAGCGCCGACCACTCTGTCAAAATCTTCAACATCAACCGACAGGCGCTTTAGCACTACCAACACTGACACTATTTTGTCTCCGTGACATGAAGAGACTCTTGGACTGAGGGGCCACAGGCCGCTCCGTGGCTCTGAGGCCACAGCTGCTTGCTGGCAAGCCATCCTCTTCCTGTGACAGCCAGTTAAGTCATGGGTCAGTCTCAGGACAGACTCTCAGCTCTCATGCCCCACAGTCTTTCTGAGCACAGCTGAAGTGATGTGAAGGGTGGAGGAGGGATACTGAAAACACCACGACCCCAGGGAGCGACTCTGCTTAGACACTTCAGAGTGTTTTAGATTCAGAGAAGACAAGACTGCCGGACATCTGCACACATCACACAGTCAGAATGGATGTCCAAGTTGATAAATTCATTCTGAAAGGATGCTTTTCAGTAACAAATCTGCTTTTCTCTCATCACTCTATCCTCTCTGCTTATTTGGGATGTTAATAACTGCACAGATTACAGTGTTCATTTGTTTTATTACCGTTTTATTAAATGTTTTCTATAATTAAACTGGACCGTATTTGTTTCTGACCAAGTTCATCAATCACGGAGCAGTGTGTCTGATGCTTTTTATTTAAAGCTTTCTCTTTATGTCAAATGGCGCCCCCTGTGGACAAAGCACTCGACTGATTTTGTCCTCTACATACTCAAGTCGTGTATTCCAAAATAAAATCTTCTGCTGCTTGCTAAACCGATCATTCAATGTTATATTTATGAGGAAATGTAAAACACAGGGCTGTTTCTTTAGCTTAAAGAGATATTCTGGCGTAAAATTAAGTCAAACACACCGCAGCACCAAGTCAGACATCCCGTTGAGAGATGAATGTTGCCGACTGCTTGGTTCTCTAGTCATACCAACTTCAGCAACGACCGCACAATAGCAATACACAGCGGTCTGTGTCACCATGCACAAACCTTAACCAAAAAGCCACTCTGTAGCCACAAATAATGCTCAGAACAGCACCTAACTTCATCAACAGTACATATAGGGTCCCAGCCAAAGTACAAGCCAACAAACATCTTTTTAGCTTTGCCTGATTTCTCTAGCAAAGATACCAAACACAACTCACTCAGTCTTCTCCAGCAGCAGCTTGTTTGTGAGGGATCCCTGACGAGTCGATCACCGAGTGCGGTGGAAAATTTATGATTATTACTTCATGGAAATGCAATCAGACCGAGACGCTAAGGCAGAATAACTACCGCGTTCATAATAATGTTCTTTCTGAGCTGCGAAACTCTGCTGCACTCAGTGTTACGGTGTGTTTGACCATAACTTAAATTTACATTGGAATATCCCTTTAACCTACCCCCTCTGTCACACAGTGTAATATCTGAATTCACTGAGCATGTTCCTGAGCTTTTAGGCTGGTTTGACTAACCCTCAAAGAAAGAAACCGAGTTCTGTGTGTCCAAAGGTTGTGCAGAGTTTTAACTGTTTGTTTTCAGCTCATGTGACCCCCTCAGAGCATTTGCACCTCCAATAAGAGTACATGTTCATGGCAGGCTTTTATTCAGCCCCTGGCAGCACCGCCTGTTGTGCAGCACTGTGGTATGACCACTTGCAGCTACACTGTAGGTGTTTGACAGGCTTATACTGATATATTTGGACAGGGTGGCCTTCTGGGGGAGATATTTGGTTCAACGAACGTGCCACTGATTGCCCAAATGGCACCAAATTTGTTGTGTTTTCTCAAAAACGCACATATTTACTCATAATTGAAGTGCAGTTGAAGCAAAAATGACTGAAATATCAGACATCCAAATCATTTTATTCTGATGTTTAATTTAAAGTGCTAAATTTGGTGTCATAAAAGAGGCAGAGAGTCAATTCAGAAAGACTGAGACTGATCCAGAACAAATCAGTGTCACATACTGTCTGTGGACTTTGGCTGAGAGTGTGCCAGAGCCAGAAAGAAAGCTTCCAAAAGTACAGACGGCTCCGAGTGTTTCAAATTCAGCTGGTCAATAATGCTGCTGTGGGTTTAAAATCAGTGATATACAGTACATACATTAAAAAAAGGAAAACACACACACACCAAAAAAAAAATTTTTTGATCAAAAAGTCAAAACTCTAAAAAAAAAAATCTAAATGATTAAATAAAAAAGTGACTCACTACCTTGTTATTTGGACATTTTATAATTTTGAATTTTTATCTCAATATTTTTAAACTTTTTTTTTATCTAGTAGTTCTAAGTAATTTAACTAACTTTCACATTTTTAATGTTTGCGATCATGATAACAGGAGACTCTTGAATGTTGACTTTTTATCAAACTGTTATGATTTGTCTTATATCCATCCATCCATTTTCTTCCGTTTATTCACGTTCCCGGGGTTGTTTTATCTTTCGATTTCATGTCGTTTGACCTTTTAACTCATTTATGACTATTTTTTAAACACAAGTATTACTTTGTATCTCAATATTTTGGCTTTTATCCTTTAAGTATGAATAATCATGCCACATTTTAAACTTTTTAACTAATATTCTTGACTTTTTTTTTTTATTTATGACCTAATATCTCATAACTTGACCTGTAATATCCAAAGAATGACCCTAAATCTCATAATTATGACTTAATTCCTTGGCATTTTACTTTTATTGTATATTTTAAACTTTTTATGTCATTATTATAAATTTTTATTTCATAACAATGACTCATTCTCTCAAAATTTTGACTTTTCATACCATAATTATGACCTACAAATGACTTTTCATATTTTTCTTTCTCAGATGGGATCCTATAGAAACATAGCCGGGTTTTGTCTCTCCAGGTATTTCACATTTATTTATTTTTTCTGTTTTTCTTTCTTTGTAATTATTCGGCGCGTTACTAGCAAAAGAGTCTAGGATCTTGAACATATAGGCAGGCGGACGGGTGGATAAGTGTGTGAACAGATCGCTTTGAGCCATGGATGTTAGATTTATAATATCACAGGGTAGGTGAGGTCTATTAGAGGCAGGTATTTCAACTCTGTGATCAATCAGTACGACCCTGTCCACTTATTGATCCCTGCAGTCTGAGATGAAGGTTCACCAGCTGTTGAAGAGGAGGAGCCTTTAACTGAATCCTCAAGGACAGAGGAAGTCCGTAGTGTGGATTTACTGTTGGTACAGCTCAGTGTGCCGTCATTATATGTCGGCCATAAATGAATCTGCTACCCTGGTCATAACTCTCCCCCTAATCACCCATCCCTGTACATATGGAAGCATCAGTCAGCCCACGCCGCACACTCTCCTCCAGGACACAACTGCTTTTTCAAACACCAAAATGAGGGTATGGGGACAATTCGCACATACATCAGGGGGCTTTCAACATTATACATAATATAACATAATTACTGAGTCATTATCAGCGATGCTTCAAATTAGACATGAAGGATAATCTTGATGGTAGATTTTCATCAGCGCCTATATATGAGGAGCTCTCAGCGCTTTTCTCTGACTAGCATACTAATACATACGGCATATGCCTCTTCCTAGGATGTCCTCTACAATATGTCCTTGACCACTCATCCTGTTGAGGTGAGACCGCCATAATGTGGTGCTGAGGAGGGATAAAACGCCCTGTCTGAAAATCCTTGATGTTGTAGATTAATGGGGGAAATGGGGACCAGTGGCACGGGTGATAAAGCACCAACAAAGGTGACTGGAAAGGAGAGAATACTGGACAGATCCTTCTGCTGTTGTTTTAGTGTTTGATTTCCCTGCATGATGACCCTTTTCCTTGTCTTATTATGAGTACTTTTTGAGCATCCAAGCGTGGTCTTGTTGAGGATTTGTTCAAGTGCACAGTAACTGTTGTCTTACTGTAGTTTGTGAATGACTCATATATCAGCGTGAGTTATTTCTGTGTGAGTGGGTGAACATCTTCCTCCCCCTCTGTGCTTCTTCTTCCAGTGCAGCAGGACTTCAGTGGTAACTGTTGTTTGAACTCTGGATTAGTCGTGGACAGACAGGCTTTGGATTCAGATCAGGATCAGAGACATCTTCATAAACACTGTCTGTTTCTGCAGGCAGTTTACAACACAACATCATTAATCACTAAATCCCATTAAGAACGGTTCATAAGATTCAAATCAGAGCGACTGATTTGAGCTCTTTGTGAAACTGGAGATGCTCTCTTTGTGCTTTAAACCTGCATTCTCCCTACCAGCCAGCAGAGGGGGCGCCATTGGATGCAGAGGGACATGGGGCTACATTGTCCTGTCAAGTTTATGGTCTCAGTCTTTCATTTCAAAGCTTCATCAGGATAGCAGGTGCTCAAGTTTTGGAGGTCAGAGTCCAGTTTAGTTCGTTTAGTTTAGTTCAGACCAGGGATATTTGACCATACCTACATCCTACGACTCAGTCCCACCATTTAATCAATCCATCTGTATTTATATTGCACCAATTCTCAACAAAAATAGGACCAGGTAAAGTTCTTTCTTGTAAGATCAGACCCACTCCTGTCCTATCTTCAATCATATGAGTGAAACATTTTGCAGAGAGGAAGAACTTCCTTTAAAGGTGGGGTAGGCAGGATTCCGCTAAAGACGCATCTTTTTTTGTGGTGTATATACAAAAAAAAGCTTTTAATACCAGACAATAGCAGTTAGTTCTTGATGACCTTTGGTAATATAATGATATCGCTGTGTTTTGTTATGTCTGTGTAGTCTACATTTTAAACAGAGTGGCGACACTCCCATAGACAGACGCTGAACAGCCCGGCGGACCCCACTTCCGGGTTATAGAACTCTTAATAGTTCCAACCTGACCGTCTGTCACGTCGGACGCCGTTCGCTTCTATGGCCACAAGGCAAGCACTCACCGGATTAAATGATAAAATATCAACAAGTTTAATGCCAATACATGTGTTATTGATATCGAGGGGACCCCTTTATATGTAAAAATGTATATCCCAAATGTAATTACGTTTTTATAGTCAGGAATTGGGATCGATTTTTTAGCCACGGTTTGCTCCCACACTCCCCGAGGTAAAATATTGTATCAACGAATGTAATGCCAATACGTGTGTAAATGGTATTGAGGGACCCCTTTATATGTAAAATGATTTTAATTTTAGTATGCTCAAATTGTAATTACAGATGTAATTACGTTTTTTTAGTAAGGAATTGGGATCGATTTTTTAGCCACGGCCTGCTAGCTGGACGTCGTCAGCTGTAGAGGCCTGCCAAAATCTATTGTGTGACTGAGTTATGAATCACAGATGAATCATCATCATCAATCATATGTTGAGATGGTTACTTATGGGCTTTATTTTAGATTTCAGCCTTTATCAGTTCCCGATGTTATATGCAATTTATTATTTTTAGACTAACATAAGTGCTATGTAATTTGATTTCTGCTTATGGGATGATAGAGTTAAGGGGCCGCTACTTTTTAAATCCTGTCAGCATTTAAGGCGTATGTTTAACATGGAAAAATGTTATGCAGGCCATGCTGCAAGACCAAAACATTGCACAATTGTTTAAACAGCTTGTAACACCTGTTACTTACCACTTTATTGTATTATTTTCTCTTATTAAAAAGTAACACGTGTTACAAAACTTGTCTTATTTCACTTTTATTTGTCATCCAGCCGCTAAATATACGTACGTGACTTTGACGTGTACACAGTAATCCAATAAGAGTTGCAGATGTTGACTTTTTACGGTTAATTTTAATATTTACCTCTTAAATGCGCGCTCACTGCAGTCTGCCCCGTTGCAGAGCATGGACAGTGCAGGCTGCGTTTGGAACTATGGAGGGGTACATGAACCACGTGACCGCTCCGGCGGCGAGATCTGAAGTTGTCGCCACTCTGTTTAATCGACTGCTCTGGTCTGTGTAGTCTACATTTTAAATTTTTTGAGCGACCTGCTCTTTCTGACTGTAAACAAAGCCATTCCCCGCCTCCCCCAAACTGATTGGTTGTGAGGCAGACGCTGCTCCCCCGTGTCATTCACGAGCCCAAACAAAGTTAGAGTAGAAACCAAACAGAAAGTACGGGAAATGGTCTGAATCCTCCTTTGGCCACGACTGCCAACACAAGCAAGAAAACAAAGTAAATACCGGAGACTCTGGCGGAATAACGGGCGCTTAAAAAGGAGGTAGACCAGACAAGAGCTAAGAAGCCAGGTCAACATCAATGGAGCATAAAGGCTTCAGGATCTTACGGACCCTGTAACCTTTCTGTTGGACATGTAAACTGCTTTAACAAAGTAAGCCAAGTATCTGTAACAGAAGTGTTTCTTGTCAAACGGGACCTGCTGCGTATTGTAGCGATGCTAAACTGTTCACTTCGGGCCACATTAGTAATTATCCGAAGTATTTATCTGCATCAGTGGCGATTGCTCTAAGACTGCAAGGGAAGCTCGGCTTCCCTTAAAATGTCACCCCCCCAAAAAAAGAAAAAGTGGTGAAATACGTACGGCTGTGTGTACATTTCATTAACTAAATACGCACTAGAAAGCCTTCATCTTTTGTTCAGACACTGTGATAAGAAGCTGATAATTACAGGTAACCGGCATAACTTCGTTCTCATTCATCCTCGCAGCGCCTCAGCGCTTTAAACAGCCGGACGCTGGGCTTCTGCTGACTTCAATGTGGAAGCTAAAAGTGGGTTGTTCCAGCAGCGAAACTAGACGCTCATTGGATAAATGCTGGGCTTTGTCCCGCCCATCGGAAGCCCAGCTTCACTGGAGTTCTATGGCGAGAGGGCGGTCCCGACTTTCTCCCGGACTCCAAGCTTCTGCATCCATGATTGGATGAGCTGTCTGAGGCGAAATCCTTTTTTGATTGACAGCTAAACAAGCGAATCAGCGATCTTGAAGAATAAAACATCTACCAGAGCATTTTCCAAGTTATTCATTCCGTTGTTCTTAACTGCTCCGGAGACTTTACCGATCCTCAGCGACTTCTGTCTTTGTTAAAAACGACTGCCGTTGTGTTTGGCGACTCTGTTCTGTTACATACTAATAAACAAATACAATTATGATGTAGGCCAGAAAAATGAGCTTCCCCTCCTTGAAAGACCAGCAGCCGCCACTGATCTGCATTATATGTGAATTTAATTGAAACGATATGAGCGAGCAGGAGCGTCTGTTTGTGGGCGGGGCTTGCTGGAGCAGAGAGGGAGGGGAGAGGAGGAGCTGAGGGGAAAACTGGTTAGGAGGGGTGGTGTTCACATTCAAGATTTCTCCCCAAAACTGGCACTTTCTCAGATCCTATCTACCCCACCTTTAACAGGCAGAAACCTCAAGCAGAACCAGACTCATGTTAGACAGCCATCTGCTGAGACTGGGAGATGAAGAAAGAGAGAGCTTCTTTTTCAAACAATGGCCAAGTCTAACCTCTAGAGGACCATGACTGTTTTCATTTTAGCTGCTGGTAGTCTTGTGATCTAGAGGCCATTAGGGTGAAAGTCCAAATACTGTGTCTTCAGAACTTGGACCATGACCTCGCAACAAATGTACAAACATAGCTGTTAATTTAGAGGATGAATAAAAGTAGATATGTACTCAAAATATGTTAGCTGTCTCATTAAAGCCCGTCATAACGTCACGTGTGTTCCTCACACATGTGCACCAGGCTGAATAAACTGGATATAAAACTGACTCATATGTGTTATTTTCTCAGGTGGATCAGTCACATATAAAGGACACATCTGGCTTTCCCCTCCACTGACACTCAGGTCAACTTAATCAGCCTGGCCTCCATTTGCACAGCGTGATCCTGCTGAGACACCAAAGAAGGTCAGGAAGCATTAACACGCACAGATTGGTTTCCTCCACTAGAGTCTGTGCTGTATTTGAAATGACAAAAACTAAGAAAAACAGGCTGAATTCTTCTTACTAAGACTGAAGTGAAGGAGTTTAGTCTTTCTTAATGTGCAATGGGAAAATCAGAATGTGTCTAGTTAATAATTTTCAGGAGTTTAAGACTTTGTTCAGCATCTTCTACATGCAGACAGGTGGCAGTCAGGAGTCTGCTTAGCCAAAGCTTCAGCAAACTGCTCCACAGCGTCTGCATGAGACCTGGACTCAGCTGATCACCAAGTCTGGCTCCAGCATGCGAAACATCTAGAAGTCAGTTTAATAAAAAAGCCTGAGTACGCACACACAAATAACACACAGGACACTGTCAGGAACACACACTCAACCACCTTCATCCTGTTTGCCACCGGGCTCCTCCTCACAGTTCAATCATTTATCCACCTCGGCACAGAAGGCTTTTCATTACAAATTTATTTTTCCTTTCTTTGCCTCTCAGTGCAGAGCAGAGCAGCAGTCGGTACACTGGAGGTGGACTGGTGTACCAAACAGGTGTAGCTCACCTCACATCTTCAGGTTTTGGCCTTTGCAGAGATATTTGACAGAGTTTTGAGTTAGATGTGACATTTTTTAATAGAAAAAACTGAGAGTGAGTGACTACAGCAGGTTTTGGTCTTACCTCAAAGACCCAGAAAGGTGACATAATGAAAAACAGTCAATGTGTTACTGTACTTCATTGCTGCAAGAGAAACATCTGTGTGCCAACAAACTTAGCTCAAATCTCTACCTCTTATTGAAAACTTTAGACTCACATTTATTGATGGTTTTATATTAGTTTCAGTTAGCAACAAACTGTGCGAGAAGAACCCCTCCTACTTACTGGCTGCAGAACTTGTTATAAGCCCCGCCTCCTCCATGATAGCAGATGGGACATGGGTCAAACATTTATACTGGAATGAGCGCCAAACAAATTTTTCTTAAATTTGGTTTTTATCATTACAGTTAATTCTGATCGTGCACATTTATGTGCAAGTGTTCACTCTTAGTTAACTAGTTATTTGATGCTATGAAAAGTATATAGATTTATATATAACTTCACAAATGACAGCCCTTGTGTGCACTGAATTAGCAGAGTAAAGGAAAACAAGTTTTATTTTCTTGCTTTCTTGCTGATCACATGCTGTGTTAAATACTTGATTCTGATTGGTTAAACTTCTCTGCATTGGCTATAACCTTGCCTAAATGGAAGCAATGCCAGCAACAATGGTGCACACGCCATGTCAAATCAGTCCATGGTTAAAGTTTTGGCATATTCACTTCGGCTTGTTGTTACCAAAGCAAAGACTTTATTTTCTGTAAGCATCATCAGTCAACACTGTGGAATTTTTTTGCATCCATTAGCATCCAAAATTGGTCAGCTAAACATGGATATTTTCAAATCACATCCACTTTGTATTTGCAATACAAGATGAATGCATCTTTAAATTACCCAGTGCCATGAATAAAAAAATGACTAGTGCTGATAAAAGCAAAATCAACTTAATATGAATAATAATAACCAATACAAAAACTACAAATGTTCCAATAGACGCAGCTTTATAACATGATTTTTGGTGGATATGCTCAGTTGAACAGTTTTTGGGCTAGTACGCTAACATTCCAAAGTTTAGTTTAATGCTTTTTGAGCTGAAGGAGAGTCTGCAGTCACAGTGGCGCTAACAACGTAATCGGGGACTCCTTTTCTTACAATAACATATATGGGATATAAGCAACAAAATCATCTTCATTTAGTGTTGATATACGTATGACTTTTGTTAATAGTCATGAAATAAGTGGGATAATGTATAGTGAATGGGTTGTCAGGGTTTTAATTTCCATGACCACCTGTTCACTTTACCGCCGTCTGAGTTGTTTTTTAAAGGTGTTTCCTCCTACAGAGGTTCAGACGTGTAAAAACCTCTGCTGCTCAACAGGTGTTCACCTTTACAGACAGATTTCACTTGTTTCTGGTTTAAAGATGTCTTCTCATGCAACCTGAGGAGCACAGATGGTGAGCAAACAGCATAAAGACAAACTCTCTCTGAAGAACCAGCTGAGTGTCTTCCACCACATACATCAAAGACGTCTGAAACAAACATCAAATCGTTTTCAGTCTCACTTTATTTAACGATGATGTGAAAAGTAAAGGCTGTCCATAACATTCAGACAAGAAAAGAAGAATGTTATTCAAATCCCCCCCATAACAACTAATGGCTTCAAAAATGTTCAGGTGTTCCAAGTGTGATACTTATTTTATACAACTTTTTCATATCTATACCTCATCTGTACATAACATAGTTACAGATACTGTAAATTAAAAAAATGACTTCCAAGTATCCTTGTGGCGCATTTGTGAAATATTTCCTATGTAAAAATGAATTTACGTAAAGATCTTTTACATATACATATATATAGTTCTCTATTCTTTCTGTAATAAGAAAACAAGTTATTGCCCCTCCTTAAACATTTTGCATGTTACATAGGTTTTTAGTTTACCGTTAAACTCTTAATTTGAACTGAACTCCATGTGATACCACATATCAAACCGACAAAAACAGTAACAGTATGGACCTGTGTGTGTTTTTCCACTAAATATATACGTCATATTGTTATATTTTTGGACATGTATGTTTCATGTTCTCCAGAAACCCTGATGATGACACATACAAAGTTATAATTATATACGTATATGTCACTTTTGATCTTTCAACGAAAAGGTAAAAAGACCTGTGGCAAATACAAACCATCAGCATGACGTTAATTATTACAGGAAATAATGAGCCCTTGACCCATCACAATTGCATTTGAACAATTTGATCATCTATGTGGAAAGAAAGAGGTTCAATGACTCAAAAGAAAAGAGAAAAAAAAAACAAAAAAAAATCAGGGCACATTTGAAAAGTAACAGAACATACCTGATGATCTGCATTTGGCATTTTAGATGGATTAAAAAAGTCATTTAGTAATTTGGTAAATGCCAGGAGTGGGTTATTAGGGTTGATCGTTTGCTACTACTTTCACTTTATTGCCCTCAGTGAATAACTGCTAAACCAGTAGCATAGTTGATATGATGATGTTTGTCCACTGAGAATCTTGGCATTGACATGTGTGAGCTGATCAACAGGTTCAAAGAACTGAAATGTCGTGTAAAGAAACAGAAAAACCAAACCGTGGGTGAGAGGATGAAACAACAGAGTGGACTCGTCACGACAGTTGCAAAAACAGAGGTAACTCTGTGAATTATACATTTCATTTCATGCCGTCTTGAGAAAGCCAAATACCAAATATCCATACATGGACACCATCATCAGGGTATCAGCAAATTGTACACAATCACATAGAATGTAATATATAAAATGTGCAGTTGGTTTTTCTTGTTCTCCTGAAGGAAGAACCAACCCTCTGACAAAGTCTCTCACTCTCTCGTGGAGTGACCGTGATTCTCTGGTTGGCAAAAGGTGCGGGAGAAGCCGTGACTCCCTGGAGGTCTGTGCTCGGGGTTTCCCTGCCCCTGTGCTCATCAGGGGCTGGGAGGGGAGGAGCTCTCACAGGAAGTCACCCTGATATGTCCCGTAGCAGGTGGACCTCTGCTAGCTTGTTTTCACTCCGTCTCTGTGTCCTTGCCTGAAGACTGACAGCGTTTGTTTTTTCCTCTACGAGCTCGAAGAGGAGGTCCGCTGCACGCTCTCCCACACTGTCCCATGCATTGAGGCGTTGAATTGAAATAAATCTATGACACGTTGTACAATATACAGATGTGGCCAATGTTGTTTGTTACAGTTTCAGTGCCGTTTTCACCCTATTTATGTAGTGTGGGTCCTGCAGGCTACAATGTAAGACGACAGGCACAGCGCTCAACAAACGCCTTAAAAACTAAAAACCAAGACACCAATGGTGAAACATATGCTGAGAACACACTCTCTCACACTCCATTTACAGTCCTTTTCAGTCTGGAGTTCCTGTTCACTTCTCCCCCCACATGAAAACAGTTGTACAAAAACATGACGACACTGTGCTGATGACCGTTAAGCCCAGTGCAGCCATCCTGAGCTGTAATCGACAGCCCGCTTTTTTTAATAGCAACTGAGGTACGTCGACTGTTGCTAAGTGTGAAGCGACCTCTCATGACACTCAGTATGAAAGAAAGCCCTGTGTCTGTGCTTTAAGATCTATCAGTGTCTTGAAACTGAAAGCTACAGCAGGTTGGGGCTTTAACACGAGGCTCATGTGTGCAGCGCCTTCA